TTAAAGATGATGCAACACCATTATCAGAATCTTTCTCTGACTGTCTAGTGCTGCTTGATACCCTTATCACCACGTCCTGCAAGCTTGATGCGGCTGCTGCTATTATACTCCCTACGTAACGGTCAAGCTTCTCTTCGTCAATTTTTATTGACTCGCTAGAACTGGGAGTAGCATTCTGAAAGTAAAAAATCATAACAATTATTTCTTAGCTGAAAAACTGTGAAAGAGAAAAGTATAAATAAACTTCCTATTTGCTGTTATAATATTAATGATTAATTAAAAAAGGCATTTAAATGTTATGATTGAGTCTTTTGATACAAATTGTTCCTGAAGCACAGCATGCACTACACTTATTTGAAACCCCATTTGAAGCCAGCCGCTGAATACATAATTCTGTATTTAAACTCAAGAGTCTGGTACTTATTAGGCTCCTAACTTTAAGGCAGCTAATGCATCAAGTTTAAAATGAAACAAATAAACATTTTTTTTTAACATATTAAAAAGGAGAAAAGTCATTTGAGAAAAGTAAACAAACTATTACTCTGGGCTTGATTCCCTTAGAGGTTCAAGTAGTTCATGTATGATATACACACTAAATCTTCATTCTTTAGAGTTCTGTCACAATATATAGACTGGTAAACCAAAAGCTGGTAAATCCTTAAAGGTTCATGCATAGTAGACTCAAAGAGATTTAATAAAAAAGATTTCAAAATGAGCAGGATCTAGTGCACTTTAGACAAGGTTAGTTGTATGTATCATCAGTTTGGGTTGTTTTAATTGATTTCAAGCAACACTTTAAATATATTGCATGGCTAGGGATATTTTAGGTGCCCCTTCATTAGTGGGGGTGGTATTCCTCCTCTGCTAGACGTCATTTGACATGAGATGAGATTCGTCATCATCATCATCATCATCATCATCATCATCATTTTTCCTCCACTGTTCTAGCATCCAGATTATGTGAACAATTTCGCCCCGTTGGGAAATGTTAAAAATAAGCTTAAAAGTGAGCCATTGTAATAGGCAAAATAATCCAACTGCGTTCTTTCTTAAAAAAAAGGTAGATTATTGCATTATTTCATTTTATTGCCCTGACACTTCTCTTGATGGCGATCATCCCCAAAAATTGAAAAAGTTATTTCAAACAAAAAGAATGACGAATGAGACGAGCAGTTCAGTAGAAACGAAACCTCGTTAGTAAATAAGTCTTTCTCCAACCTGTAAGCGCGTGCAAAAATACCGTACTATTGCACGAATAGGAAAAAACCTTGTTCAGAAATTCCGTCTTGCAATGTTTTCCATAGTACTATGTTGTTGTGAAAATATTTCGTTTTGTGCCTATCCCCTGTCTGCACTTACCTGGGGTCTTTTTCACTTGCTACAGTCTCGGATTTTTGACAACTCTGCTCATGAAATAATGAAGCGCGCGCATTTTATTTTCATTTCACGCGTGAAAAGATCCAGTTGCTGCGACAAAATCTTTCCGAATTTTCATTGTTCTTAACCACACAAAATGCTGAAAGATCGAAACCTAGTCAGATTTGTTCTTACTATGAGCCATTTTGGACTACCAACAAGTCCACCCGGAGCGGCGCTATTCCGTCGATCTCTAAGACTGTTGTTGTTGTTGTTTTTGTTGTTGCCATGGTTGTGTTGTTGCTTTATTCGTACAAGAGACGTATTTTGATTATCTAAGACCTACGCATCTTGATTTAGCAGACTTTTATGTTTATTAGTTGGCCGTAGTTGTCAATAACTAAGAATAGGATTTCCTTGTGCTTGCTTTGGTACCCGCCCTTTGGAGTTTTTTTGGTCCCCAGCTCCGTTTTTTTTTCCATGGTCCGTGTTCATTTCAAACGGCGTCACTTTCGCTTGAGTTTTGGGGATATGAGTCCTTTGCGTTTACATCTGGTCCTTCATTTCCTATGCTTTGTCTGTTCGCTTCCTCCTCTAACACATATAAATTCTCCTTTTTCTTTTCATTTAAAGACAACTCAACTTCATGTATGTAAGAGCCCAAAGGCCTGGCACGCGACAAATTCCGAATTTGTCCGACGAAATATAGTTAGGAGCTCATTTTAACCCAAGTACAAAAAAATTGATAATGAATAGCTATATAGTACTCACGTTGAGAGAATTCATCTCTTTGATTCCTTCCATCACTTTCTTGAATTTTACTCCAAATGACTCATGACGAGGCTAACTCCAACCAACGCAAAGTTATAATGACGGGTTGTAATTTTCGCGCGTCGTGATGACGTAACAGACGAGATAATTTAACTAATCAACAGATTAGCAAGTATACGTAACTTCTGCCTCGTTTTCAGGCGCCTTTGCACTGGTTTAGGAAAGCGCGGTAAACTGCCCGAGTGCGCAGACTGCTGGATAGGAGGATATTGACAGGTTTTAGTAAAAGTTCGCCCATAGACTGCCTCAGGCTCTCATTTACTCAAAGTGATTGCAAAACCAACGGACAAGTCCAAGAAACGAGAATGAGAAAGATTGGCAGCTTGTCAGGAAAAATAAAGGGATGTGTCATTGCGCAGGTAAACTAGTCTAGGGCTGTCGGTTGCTTTGGTCACCACGATGCGCAGACTTCTGACCGCAAGAATTTAGCACAGACTTCTTCGCAAATGAGAGTTCTGGATAGGAGAATGAGAAAGATCGGGAGCTCTCCAGGAAATAATGAAAAGAGCGCGTCCTCCCTCAAGGAAACCAAGTCTTCAAACGAGCTGTTTTGTCTTTGATGCTTAGTTTGCTTGCGAGCACATGAAAATAGGTATACGCAGCATGAAACCACTTGCCTATAAATTAACTGACATTCCTCCCCAACAATAAGCTTTGCTCTTCGGACCCGTGAATGATACAAAAGAGATGATTTTAAACCTTTGACCACAAGCAGTGATCATTAAGTAATTTTTGGCCACAAGTGCATTACACAGTTTGAGGGACAGGCAATGAAAAGAAAAAAAGTGACTAGACTGGATTGAAGCTTTAATATCACAACAAAGTGTCGATAGCAAAAGACATGGGAATATATATGGGGCACCAGTTATGAACATCCATTTTCAGATGTGGAGGGTGAGTACTTAGCTTCAAAAAACTGGAAAGGTTTCTAGGAAGTATTTCACTTTGGATATCATGCTTCATTTTACCTGTTCCGTAAGCGTCTTATGATCCAAACTACCATCAGAGCATGCCCAGTTCCTAAACAGTTGGAGCGCTTGCTATCAGGGGACGGGAGAGTTGGTCAGTAGGTACCCCTGGGGGTATGGCTGAGGACGTCATCAGGTTCAATAAGTCTCATTAACTACATGTAAATAGCCCTCTTTTAATGTGCCGGACATGTTTTCATTCCTCGATGCCCATGCATTAGGTGAAAATACCGTTCTCTCAGACATGTTGTCGAGGCTGGAAAGGCCAACTTACGTCAATGAAAAAAAAAAAAAAAAACGACAAGTAGGCCGCCATTTATAAGAAAAAAAAATTAAGGCTACGAACTACGGAGCAGAACAACAACATTTCCGCACAAAATTGAAGGAGTTCTTTTTATTTCTCTCTGCAAAACATTATGAACCATCATTAAACATCATCACGCTGAATATTCAATAAGCCTATTTTACGTTGAGGATTTTCGTATCTGCTCACGTTTTAATAACCTAAACGCCTGGTGTGTTTACAAACGTTTGTTTGGTTCTTCTGTTGCTACTTGCCGGCTCGCTTGTTTCCGAAATGTCACTTTCAATTATCGGAAAAAAGCTAAAATTAATTCTATTTTACGCATTTGCTTGGATTCCGCCGTACTTTTGAGAAATGAGTGCTGTCACTCGATAACATTTCCAAGATTCAGCTCACCTCAACAGATGGTAAATGTTTTCTTTTAATACCATATAGTTCTATTTAGGATGGTATCTGAGCGCCTAGCGAGGTTTAAAGTGACATTTACCACGCTATCCATGGACGTATTGGCAACAGAGAAGTGTTTCATTGAAGTTGCAACATAACGGTAAACTTTGCAAATTTGAACGCTTCGTACAAGGTCAATATACTTTGGCCAGAAACGTGATGTATATCCTTCTAATGTCTGATTCTATCCTTCTAATGTCTGATGTGAATGCTTTCAACGGCGTAGAATTTTGTAGAAATAATTATTTTAAAATCATCTCCAACGCTCCATCTAATTTGATATGCAATATTTGAAAATTTATTTTTCATTCGCTTCTGCAGGTTTTCGATGTTTATCGAACGATATTGCATTAAAACGCCTTTTTCTTCATAACTGCGTAGTTTTCTCATTATTTTGTGTTGCGATAGGTATTTTAGAACTGGTTTTTGAAAGGGCATATTTTGGGACAGATTTTTGCTGCTATCAGACGTAACAAGTTCGCGGCTCAATATTTTTGGTTTAAAGCGAAACTGAAGCAAAAGAAATTCATTTTTGAATAGTATCAGGTAACCTCTACTTGGAAGATAAAAATCGGCCGATTTTAATTTTTAGCCAGAAATCATCGGTCGTTTCTCAGGCGCAAGGCCTCTTAAATTCGATCTGCCGAACTATTTTTGATTTGTAAACTATTACCGATTGGGAACTTTGATGGTTCGACATTTGTTACAACTGTGGTCTTGTTCAACTAATCAGATTTTTTAAAACATTCTAACAAGAATTCTGATTGGCTTATTGTAGCGTGCTCTATGAGAGTATAGAGTATGCTGACGACACTGTTGTTCACTTTGGAAGCAAAGTTTGTTTTGAAAATTAGAAATAGTGCGTGGGGAATTTAAACGGATTCTTAATAATAAAACAAATAGAGAAGCCTTGATTGTGCTCTGTTCGGTTGTAAAGCACCAAGGAAGCGGCTAGAGCACTCAAGAATTGGGGAGAAACGCAAGACTACGTCTCGTGTTTCTCCCTACTCTTCTTTGGTGCTCTAGCCGCTTCCTGCGTGCTTTACAACAGAACAGAGCACAGCCAGGGCTTCTCTATCTGTTAAATAAGACACATCGTTTTCGTGTGAGCCCTGGTTTATCGAAAACCATTACTCAAAATTTACGGTTTCTTTGAACAAGTTGTCCATAAAAAAATTTCCTTTTTGAAGGAAAAATGATGGCAAGCGAATTCAAAATACTTAAGTTCTAGTGGCAGTCCTAGCTTAATAGAGATCCGAAGGAGGGTTTTGATTTTCAAAATGGTAATATTATTTCCTTTCAAGGTGTGCTGATTTGCTGAAAATGGACTCCTGAAAACAAGCAAGTTTCTTTGGACCACCGCGCAGTTATTCTAACGGTCAGTGATACGTAAAAGAAGACCCATATGTCCCCGTTGCTTCGACTGACTGACGGAAAATTTTGTCAACAGCAACTCGAGTCTAAATGGACGGGAAATTTGCAACAAAATGCAACTGCCCACGTCGTTTTAACGTGCGAAGAGACGTGCATACGTTGCAATATAGACCAAGATTAGCTTAACAGTCATTACATTGGACAAGTGACACTCCACATTACTTCTAACAGTCAATTTAGTTTGCTTAACGTCGAGCCAAACCCCTCCATATTTTAACGAAAGCACGAAAATCATGTCTTAAGATGTTAATTTTCTCTGTAACAAGTGTTGCCTAGAGTTTATTTTAAATTTTAGTCAGTATCAGCACGGCCGAGGGTACCAGCCCAGCATCCTGGAGACTAGTTTCCATGTCTCCGTCCGTGTAAGTTTTCCGGGGAAAGGTGGTCATCAAGTTGAAAGGCGTCGAGCCATCTGTGCGGTTGTCATGTATGTAATTACGAACTGCCTCCAGGGTGTCCGTTGCTTGGAAAGTTCCAGTGATCGTACTGCCATTTGTTAAACGAAACTGTTGATGATAAAATGAAAAATTGGAATGTAGTAGGTACAAGTTAAAATTTGAACATTCTCGAAAAAGTAGCCCTTAAATTAAAGCGAATTAAGAGGAAAAAAGCAATGATTTTTCAACGTGCTGAATTTGAAATGAAAAAAGTGAAACCTGTATTTACCCTAAAATCCCGAAGTGACTATTATCTAATTTCTCATAACTGTATCACTGCTGAGTTAAACATTAAGGTCACGAGAAAGAAGGAAATGATCACCAACCAATGAAGCTTTTGATTGTTTAACAAATTCTCCTTAGAGATTTTAGATATATGAAAATTCACATATTTGCACTGCGGTGGAAAGATGAAATTAGAAGATCCTCGCAGCTAAGAACACTACTTACAACTACTCGTTTCAGTAGTGTTCTTAGCTGCGAGGATCTTCTAATTTCATCTTTCCACCGCAGTGCAAATATGTGAATTTTCATATATCTAAAATCTCCATTCACTCGGATGTTTATTTGTACCCAATTCATTGACCAACTCCCAGTTGGCTTGATAGCTCAATTGGTAGAGCGCTGCACCGGTATCGCAGAGGACATGGGTTCAAATCCCGTACGGGCCTGAAATTTTTTTTTTTTCAGGTCCTACTTACAACTACTCGTTTCAGTAGTGTTCTTAGCTGCGAGGATCTTCTAAATTCTCCTTACTAGCACCATAAGAAACGAATAGAAAACAGTATGAAGAATATGCATACTGATGTTAGGGTATTAAAGGTGAAACAGACATCCACAGGACTCTTGCTACTATCCGCTTGACAGTGCAGGGTTTCTGTCTTAAATACGACTCACTCCAGGCATTATTTCAAAAGCGTTATTTCCTAATTTTCGTATAAATTCTCTCCGACAAAAGAATCAGATTTAGTAATTGACTGCTCTGGCTGTATAGTTCTGATCATTCGAGTATTATCTTTATAAATGGACCGGTCGTGCCAGCGTAAGCCCCATATGTATTGCCTGATCAGTGTAAATATTACCCTACCTGTAGTTTACAAGTCGTGTGTTGTTTTTTCTCTACAGCGGCGGGTTGAACTGTTTGAGCTGGTGCTGCAGTAGCTGCTGCATTGACCGGCTGTGGGTCGGCTCCACCCTTACCGAACTGTAAACAAGCATAGTAAATAACGTAAATTGACAACCGTAAAGAGTTTAATTAAAAGCTAAATTAGTAAAACGAGGCACAATAGTTAATATCTCTTTTTACCACGATTGGCAGTAATGTCGCAATCTGATTGGCCAATTTGCCGTTGTTGATAAGAGTACAGACAACGCTGCTCACGTCAACGTGTCATGATCTTGATCACGCACTGAAAGAATCGTTTATTTGACGCCGATATTGTGGCAAAAAAACAAATTGTCAGTGGCTTAGATATTCGCCAAGACACTGGTCAAAATTTGTTGCGGACTCACTCGGCTGCGCTTCGTGAGCACAACATTTTGACCACTGTCATGACGAATATCGTGGTCGATAACAATGAAGACCACACTAAAGCATTGAGGATTTGTTAAATAGCTATAGTAGCGGAGGAGAGTAAAAACGAACCCGACCCGACCTGATCCGATCCGATCCGACCCGACCCGACCCAAACCTTTCTCGCCCTGATTTACTAACTGTAGGCTTGGAAAAGGTTATTCTTGAGTATTTTCCCTCCTCACCTTTCCAGCTCTCTCAGCTCTATCTCTTGCGATCTGATCTTTGACTCTTTGTCTATAAAAAGAAAAACAATTGCATAGTCGATACTGTCTGAAAACGGTTAGCCATGCTTGTTCTCTCGGACTGAAAAGTTACAATGTCGTCACGGTTGCATACAAAGGGGAGGGGGGGAGGGGAAAGAAGTCTTTTAAAACAAAAACAATCCCTAAGTTAATCGTAATATACACAAAACAAAGTAGAAAGTGAGAATGCGGCTTTTGCGCACGCCTTTCAAACACGTCTCAAGGACTCAATTATTTAGCCACTGACCCCCCACCCGCCCCTCCCCCGAAACAAAACAAAAAATGCAAAGAAACAATAACAACATATCAAACGAACTGCAACAAAAAAAGGTTTAAGACATTAATGACTTACTTTGCTAATCTTTCTTCCATTTTCTCCCTTTTCCGTTCATTAGCTATCTTCAGTGCTTCTTGATATTCCATCCTAGCAAGATGAGGCAAACAGGGCAAATTGTAAAATATAAAATAATACCATCCAAAGAGAACTCATTAATGATATATTTCTTATCACCCTTGTGGATGTTTAGAAAGTCAGCGCAGTGCCTTGTGTAATTCAAATAGTTTCTCTATAAACCATACATACCTCTCCTTGAAAAAAAGTTTTCTCAAAGAATCATTTTCACGATTTTTTTGTGCAAAAAATTATTTGATAAAATGCTGTTAGGTAACAGTCTTAACAGACTTGCACATACTTTTGTTTCACCGTTGTCAATTCCTTTCCAAACTTCCTTCTGCTCTTTTCTTTTTCAAGTGCCTCCTACAAGAAAGTTTGTTTTGAGTCTGAATCATAAGAAATACTGGATAAATATCAGTATCTGGGCAACTGCCCACCTACCCCTCCCCTAACCCAACATTAACCCTAACTTGTTATCAATTGACTGTTGTTGAGTTAGGGGAGGGGTAGGTGGGCAGTTGCCCAGATACTGATATTGATCCGAAATGCTTTTTAAAATTACAAAGAAAACATACATATCTTGAAGCTCTCTAAAAGAATGCAAAGCTGCCCTTTCACCAAAATGAATGAAAATAAATTGAGTACATGTAGTAATCACTAAAGTAATCCTTTCATCCTCATATCTCAATGTCAATTCTCATAACTGTCTGCTATACATTTCTTGTGATGTCAGTTCTAAGAATTTGGAATAAATTCTGTTTCTTAGCGGGTTTTTTTTTCTTCTTATCATTTGTCTGCTACACAAAGTATTAAGATTGTAAGCCTGTTATGATAAATAACTGATTGAAAATGAAAAGAAAGAAATTTCAACAAAGAGATCAATTGATTGAACAAGTTGTTCACAACAAATGCTCTGTTTTACTAAGTTCACCTTCTTTTCATTGGCTAGTTTCTGTTCTCTTCTTTCTTTCAGTATTTGTTGTAATCTTAAAGATAAAAGTAACCACAAGGCAAAGTAAGGATGCTTTCAAAAAGACATAATGATTAAAAAAAAAAAAGAAAAAGGAAAAAGAAAAGAAGGGAGAGATATAAATATTAATAGACCAAGAGAGATGCTGTGGGCTTGTGCTAGACATCCTGAACTCTGAGTCTTGGGAACTGGGCTTGAGCCCTGGTTGCATCAACAGGTCATGTTCTTAGGTAAGACACTCTACTCTTGCAGTGCTTTCCTCCAATTGCAAATGCAATTGAGTGCTGACTAACTGTGAACCCTCTAACTCCTAAAAGGGAGTAGCATCTAAGTTATCCTTATCTTATCAGCCCTGAATCACTCAACAAGGTCACAAGAATAAAAGAAATGATCACCAACTAAAGAAGCTCTTGATTGTTTAACAAATTCTCCTTATCAGCACCTTGGGAAATGTAAAGAGAACAGTATGGAGAATATGCATACAGATGTACAGGTGTAAAGGGTTAAGACCACATGACAAATAACCAAGGAGGGGGAAGACAGGAGTTACCTCCTGAAAATGAACTGGCATCCCTTCCAGAAAACTAGAATCCTGCACACTAATATTCATGAGGGATAGCTGTTACTCTTCAGGTTGCCATGCAAATGAGTGTGTCCATATCATTACAACTGGATGTTTTTTTCTTTTATTAGAGAAAACAAGAGCCTTACTTTTCTTGTTGCTGTTTTTTTTCTTCCTCGGTAAGAGGCTTGATTTCCTCTGTCGACTCAGAAAAGTTGGAATGTCCTGATCTTGCTGCATGCATCTTGAGAATAGAGAAAAAGTGAACTGGTTCAAAAAAACACTCTAAACATAATTATTTCTCCTTTTAACTTCTGCCTAGACAAAAAACCTCCCCCTCCCCCACTTAAAATTTTAAGAAAAAAAAAATTACACAAGTTCCCAGAAATATTAAGAGTTGAAGATTCTCTTTTTAAGTTAAGACGTTTTTTGGTATACTTGGTTCCTATTCTGTGGAGCCTGAGATTAATGATCAACAGTCAATATTCAACCTTTCCTCAAGGTTCCCTCTTAATTTTTAACCATGGTTTAAAGGACACTAAGAACACTTCGAGTGTCTGATCAGTATAAAAGCAATTGTATTTTCTTCACATGTATTGCTGAATATTCAGTAGGAAAAAAATCTGTTTGGTGTTTTTCCCTCAATGAGATGTTTGTGCTCCAACCAGAGCAGTGAAAACCTTGGTCTTAGAAATACTTGATGAATAAATTCAGGGGAAAAAAAAACAGTGAACAAACCTGCACATCATTCTCGCTTTTGAGTCTTTTTCCACAGCTAGAAATACATTTAAATGTACCATATTTAGTTACTATGCAAACATTTATTTCAATCATTAATAAAAAAATTAACTCCAACATGCTGCCAGAACAAAATATCCTTGGTCCTAAAAGGAACACTCAGTTCAGCAATTTTGCCTTGTGGGCTTTCAATCTAGTGATTTGTACAAAGCACAAATCATTAGGTTGTAAAATCCAAGTTTACTGACTGGGTAACCTTGACAGATAAAGAACAAATTTACAGAAGAGCTTTACGTATGAACTAATAGAAGCCATCAGTTAGCTAAAGTTGAACTAAAGTCAATAATTTTGGGAATTCCCTTTTGGGGTTGAATATCAATTGGGACATCATCCTGTTTTCTTCTCCAGTTGCCGATACTATTCTGTACGTGTAACAAATTTCAATAAAGTAAAGTAAAGTAAAGTAATTTAATATATAACAATCAATTAATTTATAACTGATCATCCATAACAATTATCTAAAGTATCTACAGTGACTTTAGATGCCCTATCGTCTGACATTTTTCACTTAGGTTATCAAACAACATATACAGAGGACACCTTGACAGAAAATCAACAAAGACCAACATTCTAAGCAGTAATTATTAACAATATTCAGCTAAGAAAAGTAATCATTGAAAGAAATCTCACTCATCACAAACAAGAGATAGGGCTTGTTGGGGTTCTGCACTGGATCCAGCAGCAGCTGATGAATGATCTAAATTCTCAACTGGAACTTTCTCACTTGCTCCATCAGAAGAGGCTGCTTCGTCATCTACATCATGATAAAATTACATACAATGTATGTAACATAAAAATTTAGAGCAGGAGAAGTGCAGAGACTTTGAGAGAACTTTTATGGTAATGAAACTAAATGATTTAACTTTAAAGGCTCTGATACTTCATCTAAGCCTTTAACTCCCAAGATCCTAATGTTAATTCTTCCTTCTAACTGCTACACATCTCCTTGTAAATCAGGTACAAGAATATTGTGCCAGATCAGGATAACAACTTTAACCTAATACGTTTGGATATTCTCATTACCTGCTTGCTGGACATGTGCTTGTCATATTTTAGGGAGAAGTTTCATGTTAATCACTGGTGGGAGTTAAAGAGTTAAGAAATCAATAGACTTTGAGGTACAAAGAACAAGGTTCAAGCCATTTTGGTGTAGATATAGAGACAGAGATTCTTGTAATGTCACACTTGTGGCCATATGAATAAAATCTTCATTCCACTTCAGAGCTCAAAATTTACCTCTTCCTTATACTATTTACTCACTTGACTTTTTCAAACTAACTCACCATAGTGTTCTCTGTGGCCAAATGGTAACGTATTGGTATGTACATGTAAAATGTGAAGGTCTAAGGTTTAGTTTCTTAGGAGGACTCTTATTTTCTCTTTGTTCCATATTTGTAACAATATCACTTCTTTTGCTATTTCATTAAAGAGAAAAGGCTTTACTACAGTAACTTTCTTATTCAGTTTTGTTACCTTGACCCAACACATGTCCAACAGGTGGTTTGTAAGGTTCATCAATGTCTGGATCTTCTGAATGGGCAAGGAGCCTGGACAAGACAAGACATGGTTACTGACAGTTAATTACGTTTGTTTACATCAAAAACTGCAAATAGCTAGGACTTGACTTGGCAATGTTTTTGAGCTTGATTTAGAAATAAATATATTGTTTGATACAGCATTACGGTACTTAAATGAAGAATTTACAAAGACAACAAACTGAACATTAGTTCAGTGACTAAATTAGTGTGACACTATATCTAAAGAATCAAATCTAGAGTCTTTTAACACTGTAATTCCCATAACTGACCAAGACAGAATCTCTCCTTACAATATCATTACAGTAAATCATCCTCTCTCCCAGAGTGTCAAGCAGACAAATGAAGAATAGAGAAATATCAATCAGGAGATTATTAGTTGATCCAATGCAAAATTCTCCACACTAGCATAATAAGAATAGTATAGTGGACAGTAAGGAGAATTTCTAATGAGATCTTATCCTCGACGCATGATTATTTGGGAATTTGCAACTGAATTATACAATACTGAAATTTACTAAATCCAACTTCATTTCCGAGGTGAATTATCAATTCAGCTCTCGTGTGATTTCAGATATTATTTTTTCTTTCCATTTTAGTCCATGATAGAATTTTTTACCTGATAGGGATTTTGTTTTACATTATGTCATTGCGTCAAAATTACATTGCCGTTTTTTGACATAAGTTCAGTCCAGATACTAACCATTCCATTGCCTGTTCAACGCCTTTGTTACCAGTTACGGCAAGGGCCTTCTCTCTAATTGAAGATTTGAACAATAAGTAGTTACATATTTCATTAAAATTTTTTTGATGAACTTGTCTCCCACATGGCGAGCGAAATTTGATGAAAAAATAGAAACGTCTCATTTCAAGATCTACTTACGCTCTGTTCCTAGGAAAACCCATTTCAACCAGAATATCTATTTCAGACATATTTATCTACGCTATCTCGCTTTTCCGTCTAAAAAGCATCCACTTCCACACTGTCTCCCACCCTGCAAGATCGGTCAGGCTGTATTGGGAGCAGTGATACTTTCGAAGGAGAAGCGAGAATCCTGGGCACGAGTTCGTTCGTGAGGTAGAAGACAGTGAATGATTTCTTGTGCCGGGGATTGATGCTTTACGTCTTATGTTATATCCGGGTATCCACGCATATTGCAGGCTTGGCTGCTAAGCCGAAGGACGGTTTGGATACGTTGGATCTGACTAATTTCGGTGTAAAAACTCTTCTTGTATATTGGAGTCTGTTCCGTTACAATTAAAGACTTTGCGACACTACAAATTGGCGACGAGGATAAAAGACAATCGGATAACACGCCAAGATGAGTTTTGAAAGGTTTTCGTTGTCACCAGTTAATTTAGAGGCGACAAACTTGGCGGATGAGTGGAAGTTTTGGCTCGATGCTTTCGACAACTACCGAATTGCTACGAAATTAGATAAGGAAAGCGACGACGTTCAAAAAGCTACTCTTCTACATCTTGCGGGGACGGGAGTCCAGCGTTTGCTCTCAGGTTTGCCGGGAGAGAACAAGAAATTTGAGGAAGTTAAACAAGCGTTGAGTGCACATTTTCAGCCGAAGAGAAACAAGTGGGCAGAGAGGCACAAGTTTCGAAAACGTGCTCAACTTCAACATGAATCACTTGATACCTTCATTGCAGAGTTACGTATGCTGAGTTTAACATGCGACTTCGGGGAAGCAAATGATGATAATATTCTTGGTCAAGTTATAGAGAAGTGTTCTGACGGATATCTACGAGAAAAGCTACTACAACAAGGAGAGACTCTTACACTGGAAAAAGCCCAGACGCTCGGGAGAGCAATTGAATCTGCAAAGAAGGATACACAGCTACTTGGGGGTCACGGGGCCCAAAACGTTCCTGGAAAATCTGATGTTAATGTGGTAAGATTTTCAGTAAATAAAGCGAAAGAAAAAAGCCTGCTTTCGCTGTGGAAAAACGGATCATCTTGCTAATAACGAAAGGTGCAAAGCTAGGAATGCACAGTGCATAAAATGTAAGAAGACTGGTCACTTTTGGAAATATTGCAGATCAAGAGAATCAGAGAATAAAGAAGATGTAAAGTTTGTCCAGCCAGTCCAGCATCAGTCAGATAAGTCTAACCCTGAATATGTTTTGTATACTACTAATAATGAGGGGCTGGGTGTTGAAACTGATGTCGAAATCAATGGTAAACTTGTTCAAATGATGATTGACACTGGCTGTGCTAAAAAACCTTGATCCCGAAACAGTGGTTTAGAAACAACCTGAACATTCCTCTTAACCCAACCAATGTCAAGTTCTCAGCTTTTGGTGGAGGAGACCTCAAGTGTTTAGGAGTATTTGATGCTAAACTGAGATGCAATAAGATGGAAGTAATGGAGCCAGTGTATGTGATCGATGTGGAAGGTCCCCCTGTTGGGAAGAAGCGCCCTGTCCACCCTCAACCTTGTAAAAATCCATGCAGTAGGGGAGAGCCCAACCAAGGCGAGGGAGAAGATCTATCAGGAGTATGAAAATCTCTTCAAGGAAGAGCTCGGAGACTTTAAGAATTATGAGTACAAAATTAAAATCAATTCAGATGTCCCTCCCAAGGTACAAAAACAAAGGCCAGTCCCTGCACCCTTAGAGGATAGATTGAAACAAGAAATAGAGCGAATGATCCAAGAAGATGTGATTGAAGAAGCGACAGGAGCATCGTGGATATCACCTGTGCAGATTGTCTACAAGGGGAATGGAGAATTGAGAGTGTGCGTCGATCTCAGGGAAGCTAATAAAGCAGTGATAAGAGAGCGGTTTCCAATTCCTAGAATCCAAGACCTGTTACGGCAACTGAGTGGGGCTCGGATGTTTTCGACTCTGGATCTAAGGAAAGCATATTGGCAGGTTCGCCTAGCAGAAGAATCTAGAGAAATTACATCGTTCATAGCCGCAGGCAAAGTGTATCAGTTCAAAAGGCTGCCCTTCGGACTTGCGTCAGCACCAGAGGTGTACCAAAGGGTCATGAGCATAGTGTGTGAAGGCTTATCAGGTGTGCTTAGCTACTTTGATGATGTTGTGGTGTACGGGTCAACACCAGAAGAACACTGGAAGAATCTTCGTGCAGTGATGGCTAAACTTCAAGACTGTGGCCTTCGTCTCAATGCAGACAAGTGTGCCTTGGGCATGTGTGAGCTGAAATTTCTAGGACACGTCATCTCTGCTGAGGGCATTAAGCCTGACCCTGACAAGGTAAAAGCCATTGCAGATGCACCAGTACCTCAAAACCAAGCTGAGCTGAGATCATTTCTGGGAAGCATTACATACCTTACACAGTTTGTTTCCAACCTTGCAACAGTGATCACCCCTTACGATATCTTACGCAGAAGGGTGTGGTGTGGAAATGGAGTACAACAGAATCCAATGCCTTTGAGGAAGTTAAAGAGCTTCTGATTAAAGCACCATGCCTTGCACACTACTCATTGGAAGCCGAGACCAAACTTGTAGTAGATGCCAGCCCAGTCGGTCTTGGGTGTGTCTTGCTGCAAAATGTGACACAGCCGTTGGCAGCCCATATCTTATGCGTCCAGAAGTCTAACTGCTGCAGAGAAGAGATATTCGCAGATCGAACGAGAGGCAATGGCTGTGCTGTTCGGATTGCAGAAGATGCATTCTTACATTTATGGTCGCCACGTTGTCGTCTCGACTGATCATAAACCACTACTTGGCGTATTCAATAAAAACACTCAATCAATTCGCCTGGAACGGATCGCTTTGAGATGTCAGGACTATGACTTCACACTCACTTATGAACCTGGATCTGAGAACATTGCAGATGGACTGTCAAGATTACCTTTGAACGCTACTGTTACAGAAACAAGTTTTGTTGAGGAGCATGTACACTTTGTCAAAAGTGCTGATGCTTTGCTCTCAATTGATGAAATAAAAGAGGCTGGAGAGTCTGACCCTGAATTACTAGAGGTGGTGAAGGTACTTGATGGAACCCAGAACCTGGTAAATAATAAATGGAAACATTTTAAAGATGAACTGAGCTTTGCACAGGGCCTACTGTGGCGAGGTCGACGAATTTATGTTCCTGAGAAGTTGAGAAAAAAAGGCATTGACCTTGGCACATGAGGCTCATCAAGGTATTGTGCGTTGCAAGCAACGCCTTCGTAGAATTCTGTTCTGGCCGGGGATGGACTCTGATGTTGAAGACTACTGCCGAAATTGCGAGACTTGTGTGCGCCTTCAGCCACTACGACGAGACACACCTAATACAGCAACTCCTCTTCCCGATTACTGCTGGGAGAAGTGTGCCCTTGACCTGGTGGGTCCATTTCCTGGAGAGATCTACATCATGACTGTTGTTGATTACAGAAGCAAGTGGCCCGAGGCTATTGTTCTTAAGCGTATTACAAGTGAGAGTATAGTCACTGCACTTGCAGATATATTTGCACGATTTGGAAATCCAAAAGTTCTGATCACGGACAATGGACGTCAGTTCGTAGCTGAGGAATTCCAAGACTTCATGAAGGCAAATGGAATACAGCACAGAAGAGTATCACCCTATTTTCCACAAGCAAATGGGCAGGTCGAAAGATTTCATAGGTACCTAAAGCACAGTATCAGAGCAGCAGAGTTAGATGGTCTATCCTGGACAGAGGTTCTGCCCACAATCCTGCAAGTTTACAGATCCACTCCACATGCCGGGACTAACATGACCCCGGCTAAACTGTTTCTCAACAGAGAGATAACAACAAAGTTGCCAACAGTACCAGAAATGGATCAGAACAACCCTGAAGAGAGGTACAAGGAATACCAGAGGAAGTTATGTGAGTATACTGATGCCAAGCGACATGCACAACAACATAACCTAGTACCTGGGGATATTGTATTTGTAGCAAATACAAAATCTGGAAAATTGATTCCCACGTTTGGTCATCAGAAGTATGTCATTGTTCGTAGCAAAGGACCAGATACTTTTGAACTTGTCAATGCTGAGACTGGACAACATCTCACTCGTAATGTGAAGTTTCTTAGTAGAGTTCCACGCATGGAGCTACCAGTTAAGGATGACAATGACAACGGCTGCTTGAGTCGGAAGAGTTCGCTGGGGCAGCGATGCCTCCTTTGGATCAACTCGGATCTACAGTCTCGGATGATAGGAATCCCGCAGATAGTGGTCCTCCCGACTCAGCAATGGAATTGAGACGTTCAACTCGAACACCAAAGCCAAAGAGAGATCCTGACTTTGTTTATGACTAGAACATTGTTTTAGTTCTTCTATGTTAAGTTGCGTTGTTAGAATGGACTTTGAACTTTAAATAGGTTAGGATGGGATGTTATATCCGGGTATCCACGCATATTGCAGGCTTGGCTGCTAAGCCGAAGGACGTTTTGGATACGTTGGATCTGACTAATTTCGGTGTAAAAACTCTTCTTGTATATTGGAGTCTGTTCCGTTACAATTAAAGACTTTGCGACACTACATCTTACAACGGTAAATTGTATATAGTGACCGTGAATGATGCCTTGCGACGGAGATGTTGTCTATAATTTCTATGAATGATGCCTAGTGATGGAGAATAATGCCTTGTGACGGCAAATCATTTTCTATGGTGAATGTTAAAAACGCCGGAAGAGCGATTTCTAATGACGGTCAATGATGACTCGTGACGGCGAATAACATATTGCGGAATGATACTTAAAGACGGTAAATGATGCTTAATGCTGGCGAATTAGGCCTAATAACGGACAGTGAGGTCACCCGTGTAATGCAGTGCATTACTCGTGTAACCTCTCCGTCCCTTCGTGTCCCGCTTGATCCCGCCGTTTTCGTCCCGTTCCCTAACTAAATCTTCATAAAAGGACCACTGAGGCGTAACACTTTTTCTTTTATTTTTTTTCCAATCCTGATTATAAAACAAACTGTTCGTGTAAAATTTAAAATAACGTCAGGCGACAAATAAATTCAGTTTATCTTAAACATTTTCCAAACAAGTCACAATAAAAAGTGACATTAAACTTCTAACAAACTGTGATCATGTCAAATATTTCCGCTTTTGGAAAATCAATACAATTGCACATCGTTGATCTCGCTTTCTGTGAGAAAAAATCAATGAACGATGAGATGTGAAGTTGCTCAACAGTGGGATTTATTTCGACGATGTTGGTCCTTCCAGTAATAAACGCTCCGCCTTAAAATAAAAAAAAAGAAATAAAAACATTTATTCGACTAAAACTACTAACTTGTGGATAGAACGCGCCAGCTCTTCACATATCTTCGGCTAAGTTTTTTTTTCAAGTTTGCAACGTGCAAACCTTAGCTCGCTACATGCTATGGAAACCGATATAAGCTACTTTGGTGTAGATCACTATGTACATGTGGAAGGCGTCACCTTCAATAAAGTTACAAAAAAAAAGAAACTTACCTCGAGTCGAGTCTTTCTCTCAACTCTCATGTACACCATCACGAGCGTTTCAGGGAGGAGCACTTTGCTGACATAATCAAAGTACTGGCGAGATAAAAATTGCAGAGAATTTAAGACAATAAAATTCTGTTTTATACCTCTCAAATTATCTTCCGTTAGAGATATGTTAACAACTCAGCCTGTCACTGAGTTTAACTTAAACACAGTGTTACCTTGCTGTGTTTGTAACAAAACATGTTGGTGAGGACTCCCATTATCCTATCTCGCTGTTCTTCAGAAAATGACCCAAACTGTACTTGAAATGCCAAATCACCTGTAAATTACCAAGGTAAAATCACACAATAAGGCCATTATTTTCTCACTGTGGCCTAAACAGACCTCATTGATGTCGTTAAGATTCAATAGAAATAGTGGTTCACGGTACTGCCCATTTGTACCCCTTGAATTCCGGTAGAGAGACTGAAGTGTGGGTGTCTTTGAATAAAAGCAATAAGGTTTCTTGGAGATCGCGAAAGAAGGGAAAAGTGACTCATTTTGAACAGGCCATGATGGCCCTGATAACCCGGGTTTCAATTTCAATGTGCATCATGCGAAAAAGCAAATGCAATCAAAACAATTAACAACAATAACAATAAAAAAAGAGAGAAATCAGACTGAAATGTAGTTTTCATTACCTTTCATCTTTCCACCTTTCTTGTAATCTTCATGGCGTCGACAATATATCTGTATCAATAAAAAGAGGTACTGTTTTTCTCTCAATCAATCAATCAATCGATCAGTCAATCAATCGATTAGTCAATCAATTAATCAATCAGCCAATCAATTAATCAATCAGTTAATTTTTTAATCAATCAATCAGTCAGGCAGTAAGTGTCCTTCATCTGTCTTTCAGTCCATCGATTGCGGCAATTTTGTTATTTCAACACTCAATCGATATCTCTTTTTCGCGATACGTAAAAGAAACATGTAACTACCTTGCCCTCGAATATATCCCTCAGTTCACGGGTATACTCCCTCACCAGTTGCTCTGTTTGGCTTGCAGTGAGTTCCTCAACATTTCTAGGAGGGGTGTAACAGAAACTGATTAACTTTAAAGTAGTGATAAGTGAAAATGCAATGTCTCTTTAATTTCCTTTCCTAAAAGGTTGCACGGCAAAGTGACATCGAATAAATGACAATATGGCTTTTAAATAAAGATAACAGCGTTAAGTCAAAACGTTTGTCTATTCCTATCACACTTTTACTTAATAACAGCTTAGCATATTAAGGAGAATCTGCATGACAATCAATTTGTAGGTCACTCAAAGGGTTATCCTCAACTAAAAGAAATTACTGCACCCACCTTTGGAGTAACCACAAGCTGGTTACACTCTTGAAATTTGCATGTATAGTGGAGAAAAGCAGGAAGGAAAACTTAAAAGGAGCTAGTACAAAATTTGCAGGATATCAAGTGATATGTACCTTATATTCAGTTTCACAGGCTTGTCTTCTACTGCAATCGCCCTCGCCGGACTCGACTCAGGCTCCTCAGTAACATCTACAGTTAAAAAAAGGAGGTAAAGATCTGAACACGGGAACACAATCGAGAAAGGAAATCGAAAAAATAAGACATTAACTCTGCGTATTCCGGTTACTTTCCCCACCCCTCTGCCCCTTCCCCCCTCCCGGTGGTCCCTGATTAAATTTCTTATCTTGACCCCCAAAAAGGGAAACGAAAGAGAGGAACACCAGGCTTGCTGGGAAGAAGAACTATCATAAACCGTGCTAAGGACTATGAACATGACCTCGGAGGAGACAAAGAAGGCGTCCCGTGAAAAATTAGGGCACGATTAAGGCCCTGTCCCAAGAGGAAAGGGAGACTGAAGCAGCAATCAGTTATTTTACCTTCGAAATCCGTCACTGCTGTCCCATTCACCGTCTTCGCTTGTCGTGTAGTCACTCGCTTCCTCGCTAAATTTGCAGCCTTCCCATTCAAAGCTTTTCCTTTTATTTCTACCTGATTGGTCCTCCTTTTTTTGGAGTTAATAGTTCCCTTTGCGTCAGGTTTAACATTTGAAGAAGTTTCATTATCAGTTGAAAAGGCAGAAGTGAACAAGTCTTGATCATCGGACAAGTCCGAACCTTTGCGCTTTGCCGTGTTTCGTCTCACCTTAGGTGTCTCAAAATCGTTATCATCTTCTGTTCTATCAACAAGAGCTATCGCTTTTCTTTTACCTCCACTTTCATCGTTGGATACAGCTCTCTGTTTCTTAACGGTCCTGTACTTGGAAATTCGAGACCTAAGACACGGAACTGAATCAGAGTTAGTCGTATCAGATTCAGAAAAAGATCTGCGTCGTTTTAGCTTTGAAGAATTGGAAACAATCGATTCTAATTTATTCTTTTGAGTGTCTTTAACAGCTTCAACGTTCGTGACATCTTTCAAGGAATTGAAGCCGTCACTACAACTGGCTACTTGAGGAACATCTTCCTTCGTTACGGAGACGCTATCTGCACTGATATCATTCTGTGACCATCCCTGCTCGTTATATTCGTTTCCACGCCTTTTGAGAATCTTTTGGTCATATTCGTCTTGTTTTGAGCCATTCTCGCTTTCGTGAAGTGGAACGACGTCGTGAGTTTCAATTTTTGGGCTGAACTGATTAACACAAGAGATATCTTCATTTCTTCCATCAGTTTCTACATCCTGAACTTTTGCTGAGTCAAAAACCTTGGAGTTTTCCTTTTCTGTTTCCTCTGAATCAACCCCAGCAGGCAAATTGGAACAAACGTAGGATTCACTCTTTCCCTGTGAGTCGTTTTTCTTGTTCCTAACGGATAAAACAGCACACCATACACAAATGAGTAAAACAAAATCAATATTAAGACCTTTAGACCTAACGATTACCCGATCATCATCTGACAATCTGAACACAAGATCGAACATTTTGACAAAACAATTGTACTTTCAACGTCAATTTGTTGACGGATAACATTTGCCCTTAGTCCATCAAAATGGCAAACATTAAAGAAAAGGTTACAGAAAAACATACAGGACAACAAATCTTGGTGAGATGAGCACTTCTACTTACAAACACTTCGAGGCAGCTCTCTTTTTCAGGGTTGAACGTGTGGCATAGACATTTTCTTTACTGAAGTACTTGCTGATGGTTGACCTGGGAGGCTGTTGTTCTTGAACATCTTCAGTCACCTAAATTGAACCAATTTTATCAAACTCAATAGCAGTGTTATGCAATTTTCTAATTACAGTGGATGAAGTTTCTTTAGTCAATAAAAGCTACTGGCTGGACACTGTCACTTATGGCAAGTATTAAGGAGATTTATCAAAAAAGCCCTTAATCACAAATTAATCACAGGGGAGATTATTTGCTTGTATTTCTACTGTACACTGATTGATATACCCCTCGTGCCTTTAACCCTTTACCTCCCATAAGTGACCAAGACAGAATTTCTCCTTACAATATCAATACAATATCAAGCAGGCAAGTAATGAGAATAAAGAAAAATATCAATTCAGGGAATTTTGTTCTTGATCCAGTACCAAACTCTCCAAATTAAAATCATAAGCATTGTATGGCAGACAGTATGGAGAATTAAAATGAGATCTTAGGAGTAAAAGGGTTAAGTGTGAAAGTGCAAGATGATTGTTATCATGAATAAATTAAACAAGAAGTATGTGCACTTAGTACTGGTGCATGCTGATTATAATCATGAAATGTACACAGATATAATCAAAGAACAACTTACCTGTGATTTTGCCGAAGGCTTCTGATCACCAGGTTGAGAATTTAACATGACTGTAACATGGAGCTTCTCTGGATAGAAAACACAGCTCTCATAGCCACCACCTGAAAAACAAAAATCCCCAAATGTTTCAGAAGCAATTCTTCAAGTTTGCTCCAAGCCATTATTGAAACCTGTGGGTGACTTGATGTATAACTATCTTTGGGCCAAGCTCCCTTATGTACCCATCCATCCATCCATCCATCCATCCCATCGCTCTGATGAAGGGCTAACGCTTGAAACATCAGCTTTTTTACCCTTTACGATGGCTAATTTACGTTTTCAACCCAGTTGTTAACACTAAATTACCTGCTATACTCTCCCACCGACGCAGCACCACAGTTTCTTTAGAAACTTACCCCCTTATTCCCTTATGCACCCCCCTCTGATTCTTCTACTAACACATTTTTGCACTAAATAACAAAATACTATATGTACTCTAAGCAATGGTGGCTCATTATTGATTTTGTCCAAATAAAAATGTGGTCCAAAGAAGAAAGAAGAAAGAGGAATGAAAGAAGGAAACGAGAGAACTTCTGGATTCTATCCTCAGTCACAACAATTTGAGGTGATATCTCCCACTGTTTCACCATCTTTGCCTCTCCAAAATTATTGGAATTATGAGCAAGCCCATTGTTTATTAAGTGAGACTGACCTAAAAAATTTAGATCACCTGAACTTGTGTAACACACTCCAGTTACCAATTAGATATTTACTTCCATAAATATTTTCATCATAACATGACACAGAATTAAAATCACCTGAATAGTCAGATTGCTGTACATCCCTTGCCACCTTTGGATCTCCTGCTTGCGACTCATTTGAGAAACAAGCAAATTAAAAAAAGAAAAACTCAATAGTGATCAATAATCATTAATTTTCACAAAGCAGGAGCCTTATGACCAAGTTGTGAGCAGTTTATGCCACTGGCAGTTTTTAAGGGACTTAAGATGAAAAAAATGAGTGGGATTAACAAGGTAATTTGGTGTTATCAACTGAGTTGATAATATAATTATGTAAATTGGCCACTGTGAAGGTTTCAAAAGCTGATGTTTTGAGTGTTAGCCTTCCACTGATCAAAAGGAGACAGGCTAATACTCAAAACGTCAGCTTTTGAAACTCTTAATGGTGGCCACTAAAATGTTACCAACTCAGTTGATAAAATCAAATTACCTTGCTATACTCTCCCACCCATGCAATACCATAGTTTCTTTAGAAACTTAACCCTTTTATTATTGAGTAGGATTTTAGTCTGTCCCATTTCTACCACCAAACAACCAGCCATCTATACCAAGTAATGAATCTTCATTGCAATATTAGTGGATGAGCCCATTCCAGGCATTCAGTTGGTAAAATGGAGAAAAAAGCAAATAAAGAGGACATTTTCATAACTTTTTCTGTCACCAGTTGTAAAGTTGCACAAAATTATCCTCAAGAAAAAAAATTGGTTTATTAAAAAAATGTAACATATTTAATATACAATTATTAAAGCTTATAAAATATAATTACTGTCCTCACCTCTTTCTTCTGAACCAAAACAATTTGCCCACACATTCTTTTCCTGACAAACTGATACTGAATGAGCAGTTCATGATCTAAAGGTAAAGAGTGATTTCTCAAACCATTATTATAACAAAAAATATAGACAACTTTATTGACACCTCTTTCAAGTAATTAAATTAAAATGAAGTTCTTGCTAACCAGGTAATGTTTCAACACAATCACATTGTGACATCCTATCATTTTTTCCTTTCTTCTTGCCTTTGGTTTCTGATGGAGCCAATACTCTTGCAAGAATGACATCCTGCAGTTTTGAAATCAACCTCTATAGGTCATAAGCAAAATAAAGAAAATAAGAGCAAATTTTAGTGATTTTTTTTGTTTGTTTGTTAGCATACAATTAGTCATTTTTTTTTTGTTTGTTCGCATACAATGAAATCACAAGCTACCTTCCACTCAGCCTCCAAAGCAGAGGTTTCAGTAACATTATACCATAAATCAGATTTATATAGACCTTAAATGCACAAGATCTGATTGTTAATTCTCCTCTCAAGCTACTACACACTTTCTTGTCAATTAGTTCAGAAAATTTGGTGTTAGATCAAGACAACAACTTCTGCTTGTAAATTTAGAGTATTTTTATCTGTTTGCTTGAAATGCAAGGATTTTTTAGGAAGATGTTACATTTTAATCACTCCGAGGAGTTAAAGGATTAATTACTATGATAAATATTGCTACACATTCCAGAAGTCTTTGCATACAGCTTATAGCCCGAGTTTGGAGATAACTGGTCTGAAACACTTAATATGCGCATAGTATTCAGAAGTAATAGATGATCAATTATTACACAAAATTCTACTGACACGAAAGTGTTCTTCTGTAAACCACTTGTATTTGTTTTCTTTATTTTCTGTCGCTGACTGATTTCCAAGTGAACATACTGGATGTATAAAAACCTCCACCATCAATATCTTGCGATCAAGAACCTAAAAAAAATAAATCCCAATCTATTTTCTAATGCAAAAAAAGCTTGTCACAGAGCTTGAGAGAAAAGAAAATGTATACAATTTCATTAGACGAATACCAGTTCTTGTTGCGATTTTTTACGTTTCTCACAAATTAAAAGCTGAAACATGATTCAAATGAAATAAAAACCTGCTTTGCTAATTTGGAATTCGAAGTTAACTAAATAAGGAGAATTGTCGATTCAGGTTAATGACAGTTCAGTGTGTGTGTTATTGTAAAATTTAAATTCTACGTTCCATTTATCCATTAAGACCATCTAGCTAGGTGTACGTAGTATATTACCTTTGCATATACTATGCTTTTCTTTGAATTTGGCTTCATTGAGGTATTTCACTCTGTTATTCGCCTAGAAACTGTCGATCAAGGGAAGTAAACTGGCAAAAAGAAACGACCGCCATTTTGGAAAAGATTGGCGGGAAATCCTCAACGAACACTGGGAGCCAGTAGAAAATGCCCAGAAGGTCTGGGGAGGAGCTATTTTAAAAATGGCGCTGAAGATGGATATTATTTCATGAAATTCCGGAAAGGAAGCTGTGAAGTTAGCTGTTTATATCATGAATATTTTATGTGAAGTTGCCAAGCGTAATTCGCCGTAGGCCTTTGTTTTAGTTGGGACGGTTGACTACCCTGTAATTGGGTAAAGGAAATATGGCGAAAAGTTATGACTACCTGTTTAAAATTCTCCTGATTGGAGATTCAGGGGTTGGAAAAACTTGTATTCTCTGTCGCTTCGCCAACAACGAATTTAACAGATCACACATATCAACCATAGGTAAGCTGAAAAAAATCAGTCGGGGAAAAATTTTCCTTCGCTAGAATTATTCAGCAGGTTGTCACTGAAATACCTGTAATTTGCTGTATCAATGAATAATTCTGCATCTTTCTGTATTTTCTAGGAATAGATTTCAAGATGAAAACGATTGTTGTCGAAGGGAAAAGGATCCGAATACAGATGTGGTAAGCCATCTTTAGATATCCAAAATCTTCTCTCGCAGTTTGAACGCTGGTTTCCGGTGTTAAGGCTTAACAACATTCTCACTATGGAGGTGAAGAGGACGTACTCCTTTGCCTTAATTTTGTTCTTAAATGATTTTTGATGTAGTTTTGCCATAAATCTAAGGTACAGTAATGCGAAACTAAGTTACATGTAGGTCCTTTTAGTATCGAAACCATTTTACATAGCGCTTAAGCTACCGACGCTTGTGAAGAACTCGGGAACAACACTAATCTCAACTCTTCCTCTTTATCCGCGTACGAAGATGCTATTAAGATGATGTTAACGTTTCATAAAATAATTTAACCCTATAGCTGTTTCATTGTTATTTACTCTACTTAATTCATTTGAAGCGCCAGTCCGCGACTGTCTTCGTATGTCCCTAAATATACTTCTCCGGGACGATCACGAGAAGATTTGGTATATTCTAGCTATTTCCCTTTCGATTGAGAACAACTAAAAACTTTGTAATCCACATCGACTGGTTTCGTCTCATCAATATTTGGTCGTGTTTATTTTGAAGCGCATACATGAGGTGTTATTTTCGTCAAACTCGTTGGTGCAGTTTACGATATCGATTATAGCCAATTTAGATTTTATTACTCTATGCTACATTTAAATTTTATTGCGCCCATTAGAAGATTCTTAAGTGCCGCTCTTTCAGCGGGACATTTTGAGCTTCACCGAGATACGTCTCCTCGTCAAGAGTATTTAGTGGAAACAGTCAAATTTTAGCGGAATGTTACTTCCTTTTACGTTTCCTTAAACTATCTCAAAGTTAGTCAGACAATTACATCATTATGATAGTAAATTTAAGAAGGTTAAGATGCTATTTATTGTTTTATTGTCTGGATCAATTGCTCAGCCTTTTTCTGTTAAAAAGCTGTATTTGAAGGAATTATCTTTAATGTGGTTGAACTCCAAGGAAATATACCCAAAGAAAGCAATCATTTTTCAGTAAAATCTTTATTGAATTTCCGAGCCAAGACCAAATGTTTTCCCTAATAATTACAGGGTCACTGAACTCTCCTTTGCTTATCTTATCATTTTCTAACCTTTGCTCAGATGACTGAGAACTGAATCTTTTTTTTTTTTTTTTGGACTAATGGACCTCCTAGCAATTGCATGACAAGCAGTGAGACAATAAAATCAATCCAAGCTATAATTTGGGGTTAAATTTGCTTTGATTTGTCAAAGAGGATCTTTGTAAAGTAGTATGATTTAAATAAAGTGCTCAAGATTTAATGTTTTGCTTGATTCATTGTTTATGTAGTGGAAATTATGATATTAAAAGAATGGCGGACTTTAGCCATTTAAGTGGAGGGTCAATTATTTATATTTGAACTGATCTCTGCTTCTTAAATACAGATAAATACAACTATTCAGGATTTCTTGTTGTCCAGGGAACATCTTGTTTCTAAAAGAATGTTGGAAACCACATGGGAAGTACAAAGCAATGGCCTTCAATCGCTAGCAATTGCTGTTGATAGATGTGAAGTAATATTTGAACTGATTTCTGTTTCCTGACTTTATAGGGATACAGCTGGTCAAGAGAGATATGAAACAATCACAACACAATACTACAGAAGAGCACATGTAAGTCTAGTGGTTGAATTCATATGCGTATTTGTAAGATATGTAGTCATGACTATGATTCTCATTATTATATAGTACAATCATATCTATGGACACAAAGAATATTTTTTGAAGAGCATGAAAAAATTATTTAAATCTGTGAGAATGACCTCAACTCAGCTGGGGGACCAATCTGTTTTCAGTTCTCTAGAATTGCAATTAAAAAAGACTCATTAGTGATGTTCCCTTTTGGTGAATTAAAGCAAATATTGTGGGGGAAAAGAAAACAGGAACAGTTTCAGTGTAATGTGCCACAATTATCGAATGACTTACCTCAGATGAAATGAATGTCAGAGGAAATAATTTTATGGCTTTGACTGGTGTCCAACCACAGGGGTTGATTAAAAGCAAATGTTACCTCCTTTCCCCTTTCATCTCTCTTCTATATATTCTATGTGCCTATGAACATACAGTATTGGTTGATATTTTCTTTACTACCTTTCAAACCTTTTAACTCTCACAAGTGATTAACATATAACTTCTTTTTACAATATTCCTACCTTATTCAGCAAACAGGTAATGAGAGTACTCAAACTTATCATGTAGAAGTTGTTATCTTGATTTAATACCAGTTCTTCTAACTAGTTTACAAGGTAATTGGTAGCAGCTAGACAGGAGAATTGACAATGATATCATTGGAGTTAAGGGGTTAAATTAACTCTTTAACTCCCATGAATGACCAAGACAGAATTTCTCCTTTCAATATCAGTACAATATCAACCAGATAAGTGATGAGAATAAAGAAAAATATCCTTTCGAGGATAATTAGTCGATCCAATACTAAATTCTTTGAACTAACATTCAGGGCTCGAAATTAGCACTCGCAAACTCGCGAAATGCGAGTGGTTTTTCGAAGTTGCGAGTCTAAAAAATATCCTCTAGCAAACATTTTCGAGTACTGGTATTTTTCCAGTAGAATTTCGATTAAAAAATTAACGCTGAAAATGGCTGCATTGAAAAGTTGCTCGTTAGGTTCCTTCTTTTGCTTGTAAAAGAAATCATACTAGCAAAACTTTGCTAGTAGACAAAAAAGTTAAGTTCGAGCCCTGACATTATAAGAATTGTATGGTTGAAAGTAAGGAGAATTGCAAATTTGATCTGGGAGTTAAAGGATTAGTAAATCTACAACAGGGTCAAATTTTTACAGGTGAGCAAATTCAAAAAGGGCTTGTTAACTTGAGTGTAAACTTGTCAGATTTATTAGCTCTAGATACCATATAATTTTAATTGATATTTGCAAGTCCATATCTGTATCAATCACTTTGAATGAATTTCCTTTGAATTTTATTCTTCCTTTTTACAGGGAATAATTCTAGTGTATGATATAACAAGGCAGGAAACATTTAATAATATTAGGAAATGGCTTAGATATGTTGATGAGGTGAGTGTTACAGGGATTTTCCTGACTTTCTGTCCATCTTTAACTTGTTAAAAAACATTGGGTATGCCTTGGTTAACAGGTAATTTTTTTTTCTTAGCATGCTAACAACAATGTTCAGAGACTACTGCTGGCTAATAAATGTGATGCTGAAGATGAAAGAAGAGTTTGGAAGGATCAAGGAGCAAGGGTTGGTATCCTTTGAAATCTTTCCATTGACATTTATTTCATAAGAGGAAGGGCTACAGTTGTCTTCAATTTTTAGACTACAGAAACAACTCCTATGAGTAAAAGATCTATCAGTGATTTCCAATACAGTATCTTGTAACACAAACCTTTGAAAAAGTGTTTCATTTTACTTTTCAGCTCGCTGCAGAAAAAAATATCAAGTTCTATGAAACAAGTGCACAGTCCAATATAAATATAGATGAGGTAAGAGCCGAATTACTGCCAAGTTTTAAATAGAAATTTATACTTCTGTTTTACTTTTTATGTGGGTTTTAATCCTTCTCCCATTTTGTTCTTTAATTTAAGGCCTTCACAGAAATATGCCGACAAATTTTACAAACTATGGATGTGCCTGACCAGGTAAAAGTTTGTCAGCTTAGACAGTGCAATATGTATGACGTAATCTTATCTATAATAGCTGCAGTACTTCTGATCAGCATTGATTATTGGTAACTGAGGATTTGAAAGGTCAAAACTGAGTTTGGGTCAAAACTGAGTTTGCATAGAGTTGTAGAACTCTTTACTGAGAAGTAGTTTACTAGTCAGTTAAGTTGAAAGAAAAATAGGTTTCTTTCAGAGCCTGTTTGATAAAAAAAAGTCATGGCTCCAGAGACAAGAATTAGCCACATGCTATAAGTTGCAGTGAACATCAGTCAGAGTTCAGTGCCAGCCCACTGGACTCCAAATAGAAAAGACTAGGTTTTGTTCCTTGGAAATGTCACTGTGTCATGTTCTATGGTTAGATGCTTATTTCTCCACTGGAAAACTTGTAGAATGGAGGAACTGTAGACTAGCTTTCCATTCAGGAAGAGTGGAGCACACTTTCTAATTGAATGGCATTAAAAAAAATTTGGAATTGACCAATCAGAAAAAAGGAAAAATTACCAGGAGCCTCAAAGTAAAAAAACAATCACTCAAGGCATGATTGGTTTTTGTCAATTTTGCATCTGATTCATTGAGAGGGTGAAACAAGCTTTGCTGAAACTTCACAAGGTGAATTCAAACTTAAGTATTTTAACCTTGGACAACTTTTAAGACTTAATTTCAAGTCCCTAAATGCATTAGAACAAGAATTTATTCTGTCAGTAGTTGACCACTAGGCCTGTATTGTGTATTATGTATTTCCTTATAAAGTGTATCTGATCTTATTCCATAGAATGGAAGAATACTCTCCTCTGCTGGTGAGATTGGATCAAGTGCAGTACTCTTGGACACGAAAAATGAAGTTCTGCCACGGAGCTCTTGTTGTTATTAAATAAATTAATTATTAATGAATTTAGAAATATTTCTTATTATAAACTTATTGATAGATTTTGTTGCAAGACTACTAGTATTTGGGATTATTAGCCTTGTAGAATCTGCCCATTTGGCTCACTTTTATAACTTGCATTTATCCAGAGATCTTGTTATGAATATTTTGTATAAAGATGATTTAGAACTCAATGTGACTTATGTATGAAAAACAGGAATAGTTTTGAAACTTGAAATACTGAGTAAACATCTAACAGTTGCATTGTCAACTACTAAAAATTCTCTCAGCTGTTTCATGTATTATAATTCTGTATCTGCTGCAAATGGAAATTCATCTGACACTCAGAAATAGGGCATTTAATCTAGTCTGTTCACAGACTCTATTTTTTTTCTCAAGAGAATCATTGTGCTTCTTTGCTAAGTCCAGCAAAAAAATGTGTATGTCTCTGGACAAACTAATTTCATTCCTGTGCTTTATGTTCTGTTCTCCATATATGACAACATTAAATTAATAGGCTAACTTTGTAATACTTTTTATATTTAATTATTGGCCAGTCTATAACACCCTTTGCTGTTTTTAGGGACAGGTCAAACAGTCCACAGTTTGCCAGTAGTGAAGCAAAAGTAAACATATTTTGAATAAGAACAAGTAATCAAATGATTTAAGGGGAAAGTATGAAATGAATGGGTCTCAATATAAATATAATCACTGTAAAATACAAGATGTGACTTAAGTCAGGGAAATAAGTACTTCAGCCATATATATTAAGAAAATTAAGGATGCACTGGCACTACTTTTTTTGGCAAAACTTTTTCATAACTACATTGTTGTAACTGCAAATAAAAGTAGTTTGTGAGGATTGTATACTTGCCTGTCTTTTGTCTTTTGTTTATTTTTACCAAATTAGTTATCATTCCCAATTATTATCATCAATAAACTTTGTTGCTGAGTGCTGATCTCCTTGCAAAATTTCACTGAAATTGCATTGCACTATTCTCACTTCTGGATAATGCAGGCTGTTGTGGGTTTTACAAAACATAAGTCATAATCAGTCATTCTACATGGAAGCTGATAAATATTTACATTTTTGGCAGAAAACATCATCATTGTGGGAAATGCCCCATAATAGTGGGTGACACTTTCACAGCAAGTTTGGAACTAGGCGTATTTCTGCTTAAAACCCTTAACCACCACCCAGGTGTTAATTTTTCACATCATCTCCTCCACCCTAACTCTAAATCAAACATGGGCAGTCAAATTAACAATTGTGGGCTTGTAACATTAACTCTTCCTATCAAGACATCTGCATTGCAGGCTGAAGTAAACCACTTTTGACATCTTGGGATCCTTGTCACATCATGGTAAGTCTGTTGGTCTCTGGTATGACTTATACCACAGGCCAGCATTTAGTTGCAATTGTCAAGGTATCCATGGTTTATCCATTGAATAACACTGACAGTATATTTGCATTTTTATTTTTACTTGAGCTATTACGGGAATGCTCAAGTCCAAGAATGAAAGCACTTTGTTTTTTTCTTCTTATCTGGTTGCCAAATCTGCATCATGGTCACAGGCATTCCTGTCACCTGTCTTCGGTCTTCAAGAAGTATCCAAGTACTTTGTGAATGCTTGAACCCATGCACTGCTCAAAATACTTGTGAGATTTATAAGATAAGTAAACACACAAGCCTCCTTGAAAATTTATTCTCTGACATTATTCAAGAATATTTTCCCAGCAAATTTAGATTGTTGTTTCATATAAAGAATTACCAAAACAAAACAAACCAGAGTTATGGTACAACAATATTTTATTGAAGAGAAAGCACCATTTACATGACTGTAATTCTGACAACTATAGCACTTCAGGGTGCATTTGAATTAGGTCCCCTTCTTTTTCCAAATCCAGCAACAACATTAACAAATCGCCTGTTGTATTGCATTCTTCGCTTAGCACGGCCAGTCTTCTTCTTTTTCTTTTCTTGCTTGTCAACCTGTGTAAAAGGTAGAAACCACATTTATGTACCAAAAGCTGATAGTTTCTTCCATGGCCTACCTGCTGCATCTTAATTAACCCTTTAACTCCCATGAGTGACTAAGACAGAATTTCTCCTTACAGTATCAATACAATATCAACCACATGAGTGATGAGAATAAAGAAAAATATCAATTTGGGAATAATTGGTTGATCCAATACTGTATTCTCTGAACTAACATTATAAGAATTGTATGGTTGACAGTAAGGAGAATAACATATTTGATCTGGGAGTTAAAGGATTAATATCAACAGGAACACAATGATATGGTAAGCTTACACTATGTACAGAGTTCATAAATGACAATGAAAAGTTCAGGGCAAAAATTTCTTTATATCTTATTTCCTCCTTGATTTCACTTTACTTCTAAGAAATATGGTACAGCATGTGAAAAAAAAAACAACAAAAACAAAGAAAAAAAACACTTTGATTTCCCTAGAAAGGTTCTTTGCCATGTTTTTACTGATAAGCTTGTTGATGAAGACAAGTTTAAAAGGACTACCTCAGCGCTTTGACCACAAAGAGTGAGTAGCATCTAACTTCTAAATTCAGTATTGCCCTGGAGTCACACATTATGGTCTTGAGAATAAAGGAAATGACCACCAACTAAAGGAGTTCTTGATAGTAAAACAAATTCTCCTAGGCAGCACTTTAGGAAAGGTATAGAGAACAGTGTGGAGAAAATGCATACAGAAGATAGGGCGTAAAGGACCAGTACACAAAACACAGAAACATACCTTGGGTGTTTGTCCCTTCACTTTACCAGCACGAGCAAGGGAACCGTGAACCTTACCTGTGTGAGAAAAATGAATAGTTATGAATTTTCTCTAAAACTTTCTTCCAGGAAAATGCCAAAATATAGTTTGATCAAATATTTAAAGGTTCCAATCTGGGAAAGCTGTAGAGTCATATCACCTTCATATACACTGTAGGTGTCATTGTAAGGATTGACAGGACTCTACATGAGCATGTAGAACTCTGTTGAGGTGATCCAGTGGTATTTAGTTGAATATATCTAAGATCCACAGCTAAATTACAGTGATAGAAAAGGCTTACTCCAATTTTCTCAAATCAATTCCCTTACATGATAATGAAGGATCATGGTTCCCACAGACAGCAGTGTTTCTATTGCAATAACCACAGAATTTCTTACATCAAATAATTAAAAATCTATCACATAGTAGTGTGTCAAAACCATATGTTACGATTGTCTTTTCCATCCATTTAGGTATTATCAACAAATTGGTATAAGTCAATTGTACCATAGCGATGCCAAAACAATTAAGAAAGGAAAAACTGCTAGGTCGTAGTTAACTAACATGAAAAATTTCCTCACTTTTCTTCTGACCTTACGGCTGAAAATTTCCCTAACCATGTAGAATGCAAGTTCACCACTTAAATCATCTGATAGTTTTTTTGGAAAAAAACTAATACTCTACTTTCAAAGAGTACAAAAATGTGACAAACAGAGCCCAACTCTCTTTGAAAAGCATAAAAATAGCTCTAGCAATAGATAAACAAATCAATTTAAGGGTTTATACCTCCGAGCAAGCGAAGCCCGACTTCCAAAGTAGCCAGATCAACTACCCCACAATCCGCAAGGCTCAGTTCATCCTCTAGAGGTTGTCCAGCATAGAAGAGAACCTGTTCGTCGACAGAAATGCCCTCAGCAAAGGCGATTTCATTCTTGAGATACTGGACACTCTCCGTGCCAGTGACATCGAAAGTATGAAGGTTTTGTCCGCGAACAAATAGCTGCATCTTGAATTATCTATCGCCGAAAGGAACAGCAATAATTACTGATACATTTTCCTGATAGAGAGCTCACTAGTGGACTCTCTATAATGTAAATAAAGCGAATTTATCCCTGCGTTCTTACCGATTACACGTGGTGGTGCAACCAAATTTTCGTAAAGGAAGATACCTCGCACTGCGCATTCATTTGACGCATGGCGCCAAGTGGCCGCTGGGAATAGAGCCTGCGATAAGAATGTCAGCTGTGTAATCAAGATTCATATAGATATGTAGTGTTAACCTATGTTTAAAATTGCATTACACAAGATGGCGGCCAGCATGGCGGCAGCGTTTAGTAAAGTTTGCAGATCTTTTATTTCCTCAAACCCAGCGCTTCAATCTCCAACTGCAAGAGGATCAGCCAAGGTTAAAAATCGTCCTTTGTGTTGTTTTTTTTTTTACAGGATTTCGCTTACTGATTGAATCTCTAATTTACTTCTTTTTCAGTACACGCTTCCTTGTTTAAGAAGATTGGTCCACACTGATGGAATCAGCTATGAATTTAAGCCAGATAGACTTAAACAGATTGAAGCATCACCCAGTGGATGGGTTCCTCCTGCCACTGGTAAGTATTTATTGTACAGCTGATCTATTGCTCGTTGAAATATGCGTAGTTCTTTACGTTATGCATCTAGCAATAGTTTTCAAAAGTCATTTAAGTTCCCCGCCCTTGGGTGTCCATTCTAGGTCAAAATTTCACTCCTGGGGCCCCAAAGACGTTGTTTACCAATTTTTATTCCAATTTTTTACCAAGAAATGTTGTTAGGTGACTTCCAAGGTGGTAGATGACTCTCATTTCCAGTTTCCCTCAGTCTGTCAAGGTGGTGACTAGGTCAAAATTAATTCCGGACGCTTAGGCTGTGCGTAGATGTCTTAATTCCTACCCAAGGGGGTTTTTCTCCCTCCAAGCCATCGATAGGTGCATTACTTGCCCCCGAACACTCACTTGTATGTATGTCATTACAGTAAAGCTAAATGTATGACTGTGTATCTTTACAGAAAAGCCAAACTTGCCTTTCTTCATTAAAAGAAGCAAATACAACAACATTCCAGTATATACGGATTATAGAAGTGGGAGAACTCGAAAGTTAACGATAATAAGGAGAGTCAGAGGAGATCTAAAGGTAATAAAGATTGATGTTGGCAGTATGCAGCAATTACTTGTGTATCAATCATTTCTTGGGGTGATTGTACAATGACCTAATTTCTTACAAAGCTGTTGAAAAGCCTAAACTGCCTCAACTCATTGAAGTGAAAGATGAAAGCATTGAGTTGTTTAGGTATTTTTTTTCAAACCCCACTAAATTTTTTGTTGGACTACATGATTGATTTTGGTGCCAGGTCATTAAGTTGTATGTTATCTTGAGAAAATCTTCATGATCAATTACAATTTAGGGATTGAATAATCAGCTATAAAATGATTTGAAAACAGACGTGTTAACTTAATTAATAGAAATGCTAGCATCTGGTAATTTGGAAGCTGATGTTTGATTCACTCACATTGCACTACTTCAATATTGATTATGTCTTTGATATTTATTTGATTCCTTGAATAGTGTTGTAAATGTATCAAAAATATTATCAGTGTTTGGTTGTTTGTTTTTTTTTGCTAGGCTCTAGAAGAATGTCTGAAAAGTCACCTTGGAAATGATATTATTACATCAAGAAATGAACTTACAAGCCAAATAAAAATAAGAGGAAGTTACAAAGATGAAGTTTTCACTCTGCTTAAACGCTTGGGATTCTAGGAATTTCATATCAAAGAAAAGTACCTCTGAAATATCAGAAAAGTTCATAAAACTCCTTTGGATGTGGATTACTGGGAAGATATGTTGGTGTGACATGCCACTGAAGTTAACAGCTATCATGGATGTAAAAATGTTTCACCACTCCAGCATATAATGGGCTCAAGAATCAAATATTAAAAATGCTCAGCATAATGAAGTGAAAAGTTTATCGATATAAAGTTAACAACCATCTTTGTCTCAGCCCTTTGACCCCTAAGAATGACAGTAATAACATGTTATTTCTCCTCAAAATATCACATCTGAATCACACATGAAGGTCACAACATTAAAAGAAATGATCACATGATAAAGAAGCTCTTGATTTTTAGAAAAATTTAATATTGTCAGCACCTCAGTAAACATATAGAGGTCATTAGGGAGAATTTGCATACTGATGTTAGAGTGTAAAGGGTTAACAGATGGGAAATTAACATTTCATCATGTTTAGAGGGAATGTTTCTTTTTTGATTGCTAATATGTAACTGGAGAGATTCTTCAAACACAGTCTCAAAGTGATATAGATGGCTTGAGAAGGACGTTCAAGAATACAATACAGCTTTAACTGAACATTTAGCCTCAATATTTCTCATAGGCTAAAAACGATATTTTAAAGCAGAGTTTGTTGAACTTTTAACAGCTCTAGGTAGTAGAATTTTGTTGTAGAGATATCTGTAATTTGTAATAAAAATATTCATGACTATATTCTGATCTCCTCTTACAGCTACCCCCTATGACAGCCATGCTCTAGTCTACAGTTACAAGGAAATTTGTTTCAATTCTCTGTAGAGTCCTTACTCTTTACTATTGTTGAAACCACAACATAAACAACATTCACCTGTCTTCAAAATTCTGTTAGTTTTGCTCAAGAAAGCCACTTAGAAGTTTTTTTTTAAATTTTAAATTTTTTTATTTATTTTTATTTAAACAAGGTCAATTCAACTATACATGTAACATTTTTTTAAATACATATTAAGTCTTCATAAGTGTTATTATGCAGTGAACAATTTATTGAAATTTTTATGGAAAGTTGAAAATTGTTGTAATGAAACCTATTGATAAAGTGGCCAGGCAAACTGTTGAGCCCAGTTGGTTGCTAAGGGAAGGAATTCAATTTATGAGTGTTCAGACTACAGGAGCTTGAAATGCAGGGCCCTTATCTGGACATAAATGTTTCTGCAAACAAAAAAAAAATTTAGTGATCATTTCATGATGTCCTTCATGAAGCATTTCAAAGTGGTATAATAGTTTCCGGTTAAGCGTTACCTGGGAAAACCGCACACCAAACTAAGGTCTGCATGAAAGTCTCTTTAATCGAGATTGAGAGAGGGAAGTCTGGGGCTTAGAGGGCATCTGGTGTAATTTTACATGACAGTGTAAATCAACGAAACAGGAGTACTTTGAATTCGTCTTTTTCACACTCAAGCTTCAAATTCACTGGCAGGAATCACGATTTTGTCCCTAAAAGATGGTGTGCGATAAATGTAAGAGATGTCTTTTTCCCTAATTGATAGCCTGATGTTAAACATAATGACGTAAAATGGGTTTAGGATAGGCTTTCTCCTTGAACTTTCATCACACAACTTTTCATTTTGTTTGTTACTGCATGCTTTGATGACGCAGGTCAGAAAAAACTCGGGAAAGTGATTTGCCCTGATCCGTGGAAATCTGGAGCAAGAAACACGACAGGTAACAAAAATTACTACATCTTGAGCACAAGTATTCGACCCATAAATGACAGAGTAAGCACCAATAAACGAGAAGTAGAACATTTAGTATAAGTAGGTAGACAGTACTGATTTTCGTGATCTGTGTCGATACTTTCTGACTATGATTGTATTATTTGTCTTTCCATTTAATTTTTAGAGGGTGGAGGAAGGAAAGTCAACGAAAACAAGCTTCTCACACAGAAAAAGAACAGGTTAGTGATCGACTGCACATGCTAAAAATGAAAGTCTAGTTGTAATAGAACATACCAATATTGTGAGTGTTCAAGGCTGATAAAAATGCTAACATCACGAAAATTATGATTTTTGGAATGGTTAGCCCAAAAGATAGCATGAATTTCTGTCCTATGTCTTGTGAAATGGTTGAAACACTAGAAAATTACTGTGTTTACTCGTGTATAAGTCAACCTTTTATGACCAAAAAATCAGCCCAAAAAATCACCCTTGACTTATACACAAGTCATACACAACTACCTGAACCAAACAATCCAAGACACAAGCATAACAATTGCCTGAAGCCTGTTAGGAAAACTGAGTTTGTTTATTGAGCATAGTGGGGAGCCACAGCTTGGCAATCAAGCTAATTTGCGTTTCCTGTGCCTCTTGCAGTTTGCTAGGTTCATGGGTTGATGTGATATTTTCTTTGCTCCCATTGGCAGCTGTAATTAAAAATAAGTAAATTATGATCCTCACAACTGAGGTGCAATTTCAGCAACTGCAATTAAGAAACATGAAAAAAAAATTTAGACTTTGGTAAGATCTAAACCTGTGCCTCTTAGATAAAAACTGGGGGCCACTACCAACTGAGCTACAAAGCTACATGTTTAGTTTTGGTTGTAGGACACTCATTTTAAAGTGCTTTAGTGATAAAGCAGTTGGTTTTTAACATAATTGCTCACCTGTATCTTGTATCAAGAGGCAAGTGAAACTGGACTCAGTATCTTAGTCATGATTGTATTTCTAAGGATGAATTAACCACACAGTAAATAAATCCCTGTTGTGAGCATTTTCCATGATGAAAGAAGAGACAGACATACAACTTTCTTCCCTAGCTTGGAGCACCAGCCTTTTGAAATTACTATTGAATTACAGTCAATGCTACCTTTATCAAACTCACCTTAACAAGCCACAATTTCTGCGGGTTCATATTTAAAATTTTATGAACACCGTTTATGTACTCAGTTGAGCATTGGGTAAGCTGACAGTTCTCACTCGTTTTTGGGTTTTTTTTCAGATTTAACCCATATACGACCTTCAATAAATGCAGAATCTGTAAACAGACTGTCCATCAGGCACATTCACACTATTGTCAAAGTATGTGAGATTCTTATCTAAGGGAGTTTCATCGTGACCTTGTGTTTTTTTTTAAGAATTAGAAGGCAATGATTTTTTGATCACTCACCCTGAAAGCAATGGTGAAAGGATGTCTTTTGAAGATTCTGTGTAGTTTGTAAGACAATTTTCTGCTTTAAGCTGGCATTTCCTCGCCAACCTTTCTTTGTTTCTAACCATGTATTTGTGTCAAGAGTGTTAGGGTTTTGAAGAAGACTGAACAGACATTTTCAACATTTTTTTTTTTGAAGATTTCTTAAAGAGTGCAAACAATTATGTTCAAAACTTTACAGTGAAACCACTTGGCTGCGGCTTGTAGTTTCACTTCAGTTTTGAAAGTTACTGACACAATTTTAAAAGATAATAGACAAGGAAACTTTTGTTTGATTTCTTAATTGCCCAATGGTCAAATTTCACACAATTCTCTTTTTTTTCACTTCAACAGGCTGTGCATACAAGAAAGGTTTGTGTCTGTTTTTCTCATGTAGTGATACATGTCAATTGTAGCTCAATCTTATCTGTTCATCATTCAATTTCAAATTTCATTGTTTCAGACTTAGTATTGTACTGTGCTGTTCCCCCAAATAAGTAAAAAAAACAACCAATTTAAACAACTAAAACCTGAAAATGTATAGCAATCTATTGTGTTTGCCAATGTTTTCTTTATCCAAGAACTGTATACATAATGAAGTATGGGGCTGTATAAATTGCATGGTTGTAAATAAATAAAGAGAGATGAAAAAATTTGAGATTTGTTCTTGCATAAGGGTGGTTTTTTCATTTGTGACTAGCAAGGGACATGTGCTATTTAATGGAATGTCTTAAAACCAAAACAAACTACATGTAATCGCAATGGCCAGTCAGAACAAAGGGTACTATCCAGAGGGACCAATCAGAACAAAAGCAACCAAGTTGCAATTTGTTTTAGTTTCACATTTGATTGGTTAATGTGGAGCTAGTTTCCTTGACTGGTCATAGAGCCTTGTATAACATTTTCAAATACAAAACTTCTCAATCACACTTTTACCACCCATTTTAAATATGTTCTGTAATTCATGACCAATGCAAGTTGTCTCTTTCAGGAATTTGTGCCATGTGTGGGAAACAAGTCTTGGACACATCAAATTATAGACAGACTTCCGTTTAAGAAAAAACAACTAATTTTACTTTTATTGCTAAATACATGCTAAGCTGCAAGGTTGATAACTCAGTGCTGTACCTTTATGTACATAACTGAAAAACAACAGCTATTGTAGTAACACCAGTAAGCAACTGTACAAATGTTTATTGTCAGCGTATTTTCTGGCTTTATTAACCCTTTACATTCCAACGTTAATATTGGTATTCTCCGTACTGTTCTCTTTACATTTCAAAAGGTAGTGATTAGGAGAATTTGTTAAAAAATCAGGAACTTCTCAAATTGGTGATCATTTCCGTTATTCTCATGACCTTTACATGTGATTCAAGGGGATATTGTAAGGAGAAATAAGATGCTGGTCACTCTTAAGTGTCAAAGGATTCAAGAGCTTCTTCATTTGGTGATCATTTCCTGTATGTAAATAACTTCAGTTCTTTTTTAACGGCACCTCGTTTAAAGAAGGTTTCGTTTATGAATTTACGTAACAAGGAAAAGTAGGCGTCAATTTGACTGAGTAGGACTCTGTGCGTGTATATCCTGAATTTTCGAGTTTGCACTTAAGAACTAAGGCGTCGCCATAATCGATCACCCTTTTTCTTCTTGGGGCTGTATTCAATTTTCATTGTTTGCTTTTCTTGACAATCGGATATTTGACAGTTCTCTTACGTTTTAAAGGGAGTTTTGACGTACATGTAGTTAACAGAGACTCGTAAATACTTGTAACGTAAATTCGTTTGATTAAGTGTTTGTTACCGAATCTTGTGTTCAGCTATTGCCCTATTCTTTTATACCTGTTGACGTAGACGTTTCTCCTTGGCGTGGAGGGCGCGGCTACACGTGGGGTAATTTCTTAAGAACCACAAGATAGGAAGGCGTATTGAAAATGATTCCAAAAGAGTAGAAAAAATTATGTTCCCGTTCACAAAATGTATTGGTATTAAAATAATATTTATTAACCTTGTACTGATTTTGGTGGTTAGTTCAGTTAACGGTGTATGTGGCTTCGAACTCGAGTGTGGTAATGGCGAAGAGGAACAAAGACCTGTGTGACAAGATAAAAAACCGCCTTACATGGTGAAGTCATTAAACCATACTAAAGCTTTATCAAGTAATGTTAAAAGTAAATTTATCCCGCGACGGTTGACCCAATCCAAAGACGGCTGAGATCACAAACGTATGTATAAGATCACAACTTGCCTGTACCTCAACTACACCACAGCAAAAAGGCGAGAGGTCTGACTGCCCCTGTCGCTTCCATGCATTGCAAATAGAGTAAGGCACGTAACTTATTACAGACGAACTGATTTTTTAGCGTAAAGTCACGAACGTTCATCCTTCGCAAAAATCCGCTCATGATCAGCATGGAATCACTTAACGCTTATCCACGATCAGCGTGGAATCACTTAACGCTTATCTACGAAGTAATAGCTATTCTTCCACGCTAGTTTTGTTTTATTTTCAACTGTTCACATGAAATATAATATCATGATTTTATCTCAATGTGCGTGCCAGATCTCTCTGCTGGGTTTTCAACAAAATCATGTTCACTAAAACACCCAGAGACAGTGATAAAAGCGACATCATATGGAACATTTTTATCAAACAGTTTTCAATCATCTGGTTTTAGCTGTCCACACCGAAAACGATCGCACAGAAGCGTCCTCGATTCTAAACGACCTGTTTTAACGAATACACTCTTTAGTTCGAAGAAGATACAGTGTGTTGCCTTCTCGCGCGTTTTTCAGAACAAAACAAATGAATGAAATCAAATCAATTAGCCTAGTACGTAAGTAATTAAGCTACTAATTGAATAGAATCAAGAAAATAACCACTGGAGCATTCGGCCAATTTGAATTCACATCAGTACCAATTTCTTACTAATCAAAGCAATAGCGTCAATAGGAAATACGTTCGTTAGCCTTCGCAAGGTGGTCCCGCAAAATAGGAGAACCCAGCTTTGAAGAGCGGTGCTACCAACGCAAACCGACACAGAAGTAAAGTTACAAACAACGATTGTGGCGCATGCTCATTTTTCCTTGAAATTTGAAAATAGAAAAATATATGGAAAACAGTTTCTTAAAGAGAGGAGAGCATTCGTTCTGACGAAGGGCTAGCGCTCAAAACGTCAGCTTTTGAACTCTTTACGGTGGCCAATTTACGTCATCAGCTCAGTTGATAATACTTAATTACCCTGTTACACTCTCCCACTGACGTAGCACCACAATTTCTTTACAAACTTATTCTCTTTATTCGAGTGATTTCAAGTAGGCTGGCACGTAGCGCGATGCTCATTCTGGTTGCGTAGTGCGATACTAATCTGAAATGATGAGCACCATTACTCCCAAAAGTTTGCGACTCAAAGTCCGATTCCAAATCAGTTGCGTTAATAACAAATTGTGAGAAGCTCAAGAGAGAATCATTTAAAATAAAAGCGCATACATTTCTCTTCATATGGACACTCCTAACCTGCTCACGTAACAGGTTTCCTTCATTCTGATTGGCTAGCATTAGTTTCAGTTGAGTTTCATTGGCTGATGGCTTAAAGTGCTTATTTGGTCTGTCCATATGTGTGATATCGGTTTGGACTTGGAACAGCCCATTAAGCTACAAATAAAGGTTGTTAAGAATCGCTCATATTCGAGAATCTTGCTATTAACTCCATCACATGAAAAAACACGTTTGAAAACGATCTTTTTTTCTCATTTTCAACCCTTACAATTTACTTTGGAGGATCCTTTTCTATTCCGTGACCGGAAGTACAACAGTAGACGTACCAATGATACCATATTTGGTAATTAACGTCATTGAGTCTAATTTCAAAACTGCATTAGAAGATATAAATTGTGAAGTGATTTGCTAACTTTTGACGACTTCTGTTGAAACTAGGATGCATCAGCAAACTCCAGACGCAATGAAATCTGTGGACCAGTCAAAGGATATGATGACAGAGGATAGCGGATACGATTCAGGAGTGAGCGCCCTCCGTTATGGACGGAGGAATGCCAAGTTCGATTTCAACCATGTCAAACGCATATTGCGTAAGCCCGAAGTGCATGTGGAGAGAGACAGACGGCGAAGAAATGCAATTTCCCAGAAGGATGCTGATGGAGAATTATATGACATGCAAACTTTCCCAAGTAACGGAGAATTGGCGTACCACCGAAAGTTGACCCAAGCATGGTATAATTTATCCAAGGAGGAAGCAGCCTCATTGAAGATCGATATTTTCAAGCCGTTAGATTTTAACGAAATTTTGATGAAAAAACTGAAGACAAGCAACAATGGAAAGGTAATAAGCAGTATGAAGGAACTGTGGGAGTAGAAGATTACTTGCCTGAAAAGTGAAAAATCACCCAAAGCGTTTGTGTAATTTCAACTTAAAATTATTGAGCCATGTATGTTGTAAGAATCTTATCTAGATATGTCGTGCAGGGTGATCACGAAGGTTCTTGAAATCATTTTTGACTATTAATTTGTGATTATAATCATCTTGTGAGCTCAGTTTTTTCAAATGTTTTTTCGTCATTAGTTAATTGATTTTACAACTTCACTTTTGATTTGGGGCATGTCATAACTAAGTGATGCTCAAGCGGAACGAAATGGGACTGTGCAAACTTTATTCTCTAGCTTCCAAGAAGGTTTATTGAACCATACTAGTCGTGTAGTCGTGTAGTCGTGTAGTCGTGTAGTCGTGTAGTCGTGTAGTCTAGTAAATATAATAAATTGTCTTTGAAAATGACATGGCCAGTTGAATCCTGTTTTTAGTATTGATATGTCTTAAAGCTGAAAGTTAAAAAGAGTCAAATAAGACGAACATGAACGTGCGGCAAGACACTGATGACAATTTTTTTTGATCTTTTGGTATTTAGAACGCAACAGCATTTTCAAAGTAAGCGAAATGTTCTGTAATATGCATTGAAGTCTATATTGTCAACGTCCAGTCAAACTCAAAACGAGCCAAAAAAGGGGGAGGCCCAAACTCAGCTTTTCTTTTTTCCTCTGTATGGACAAGTTTAACATCCACCTTCAGTTTGAAAGACAAAAACATTTTTTCTTGTAAACGGCAGAACATATTTTCCCATAAGATTCGCTCATAAAGAAGTAATTACAAGAACTCGTCTGCATAATTTATTTACATGTTCAGGGTACCCGTAATCATTTATCGCTTTTTTTTGGGGGGGGGAAGGGTGTGGAAGATTTTTGTAACCACGACGGAGCGCTTACGTGATCCCCCCTTAAGTATACAATGTATTTTTCATCCCCCCATATTTGCGGTGGAAAATTTCATGATACCCCCTCTCTTTTCTCCCAGCCCGGCCAAAAGTAACGTTTTACTTTTGCATGCATCTTTTCCTACCTTGCTGAGAGTTTAGGTAATTTCCTTTTCTATTGCTTCACCACTTTTATTAGGTACAAATTTATCCAGGTTTGTTGCTTACTAACAATAAGAGCACAAAAAGAGAGAAAAATAACCCGTACGGGCCCGAATTTTTTTCAGGTCTTATTTCAACTACTCGTTCAGTAGTGTTCATAACTGCGAGGATCGCTTACATTCGTTTCTTCAACCGCAGTGCACATATAAATTATGATTTTCATACATTTAAACTCATTAAAATATTACATCTTATTTGGTATTATCAACTGACTTGATAATGTAAACTGGCCACCGTAAAGAATTTCAAAGCTGACGTTTTGAGCATTAGCCCTTCGCCAGAGCGAATGATTCGCTAACGCTCGAAACGTCAGCATTGGAACTTTCTACGGAGGCCAATTTACGTTATCAACTCAGTCTATAAGACCGAATTACCCTGTTATACTCTCTCACCGACGCAGCACCAGTTTCTTTAGAAACTTAACCCCTTTATTCATGAGTGATAGAAAACTTGATAAAGAGCAAATGGAGAATGTGGAGCGACACGCAGACCTATTTTCTCTAGACAGACTTATCTGATAAGCGGTGACATAAAGACGCTGTGCAATTAACCCCGCGTAGAGATCTATCACTTCCACGCTTCTTACGAAGAGCTTGATGAGATCTACTGCAGAATCCATCCAAAGCCCAACGAAAATCATGGGGTTTTTGCGAAGCAGCAGTTATGAATAGAAATACATTTATCACTAAAAATAGCAAAAGACGATAATTATACTTTCTTGAAGATAAATCATCATACGAGGTTCTTTATCTGTCACCAGCAAAGTTGTCGTATTCAAAAGAAACTTGATGGCAGTAAAAACTTGTGCTGCTACCGAGAGTTTTGCATAGCGAGTTAACCCTTTAACCCCCAAGATTTCAACAGTAATTCTCCTTACTGTCTATGATATAGTTCTTGTGATGTTAGTTTGGAGAATTTGGTATTGGATCAACTAATAATCCCCTAATTGGTATTTTTCTTTATTCTCAACACTTGTCTGCTTGATTTGTATTGATATTGTAAGGAGAAATTCTGTCTTGGTCACTCATGAGAGATAAAAGGTTAAGAGATTCCCCTCCTTTAGTATAATATATTTATTCAGTAGCGATGTCCATTCGCGAGTTAATTAAAACACCCCAATTCGTTTGGCCTGGAGTAATTTATCACTTATCGATAATATATTTTATTAGCAACCTTGAAAGTATTGTTTAAGCGGTAACATTATCTCGGATTTAATAAAGCGATCATTTTTCGCAATTTTGAATTCTTGACTCTTCTAGTAAACTGTTCGATGTGCAGAGACCTAAACAATTAGTTCGTGACTTCTCCAATTATTCAGAGCCTACCTTTCTAAACGAGCTGTCACAAATTGACTTGATTGGTGCTGTCGGCAATTAAGCGAATGTTAGTAAATCATACTCTGTATTTCACAATAAAATCAATACACTCCTTAATAAGCACACACCTTTAAAATCACTTTCGAAGCGCAGATTGGTTCGCTTCATATCTAATGGGACGTAAACAAATAACTCAAGCTGATCTGCAAAATATATCCAATAAAGTAACCGTCTTGTCTGGAGTCCCACAAGGCTCGGTTCTAGGTCTCCTGCTCTTCCTCATATACATAAACGATATCACAAATAGCTGCAACCGATTACAATTTTATTTATTTCCTATTTGCGCATCAAAATCTGAAGATACATGCTTGAATCGATAGTTAATGACGAGCTTTCAAATGTCTACAATTGGTTAACGGCCTATAAATTATCTTTGAACCGCAAAAAAACTAACCATGTTATTTTTCGACCTAGACAAAAAAAAAGGCCCTTCTTTTGTCTTAGTCGAAAAATTGATATTTTTTAGTAAAATATCAATTAAATTTTAGAGTGATTGACCATTATTCCGGTATTTTTATTCCCCTAGAGTGCAAGAACTATGTCAAATACCTGGGCGTGCATATTGACGATTAATCTATCCAGGAAATACCATATTTCTCATATAGCCTCCAAAAAAAAGTATCTCAATCGGTATTATCTCTAGGTCTAGACATTTTGTTCCCTTGAATAACTTATTTCACATATACAAATCACTCATTCAGCCGTATCTGTTGTACGGTTTATTTTCTTGGGGTCAAGCTGACAAGACCCATAGAAACAGACTGTTACTTCTTCAAAACCGTGCCCTGCGACTTATGGTCTTTGGTGAATTTAATGCTCATGCTACACTTTTCTTTGTTTCTTCTAATCTACACCCTTAGATTTTCTTTACTTCAAATCATCAGCTGAATGACGTATTCAATAACCTAACGCCATCTCACACAGTCAACATATTTTCTAACCAAGCCAATATCCTTTCCTATATAAAACACGATCGTCATCAAGAGGTAATTTTTTGTTGAATACTCAAGATTGAACTCGCAAAATAAATTTTTTTTTCTCGATAAGGCGTGTGGTTTTGGAACAGCTTAAGTAATATGAATTGCATCGAAACAGAAACTTCAAGCTAAACTTCATAACGTCTTACTTCAAATATTGACCGAAGCAGACAACTACATCGAGTTAACTGATCTAATAGCGAAAATGTCATAAAAACGGCTCCGCTAAAATTATATTTGCATTTGAATTTTTTTTTCGTTCTATTTATCTATTGTAATATTATAGCGATTTAACTTAGTTACTTATTTATTTGTTTTAGCTTGGTTTTTTTTGTGTTTCTTTCTTTTTTCCATCTCAATACTGTTAGTACTGTTATTACTATAACTTTCAAGTGTATATTTATTTCTGTACGGTAATTTGTTAAGGTAAAATTTTAGTTCTTAATCTGCGTGAACTGCTGCTCGCCTCGACTAGCTGTTGCATGCTATCTGCGAGCAGTAAATGTCAAGCTGTAAATATATTAGTATCAATAGACTGAAAATGAAATTGAAAAAAAAAATTATATTAAACGCTTCCATTATGGATTAATTTCTTCCATGAATCTTGAAACAAGGTAAGACAACTTTGCCGTTTGTTTCGTCTCGTTGTGTAATTTCCCCATAGACTTGTGAAACATCAATGCTGAGAATACATATGCTGGTTCCATTTTCCTGATTTGGTTTTAAATAAGCGTTTAGTCCTACTCTTTATATAACGTCTGAAGAACCGCGTCTAAATTATGCCGTTAAACGCCACGTTGGAACTCAAAAAGCCCTCACTGAAAATAAACACGCATTTGCTGAGATGAAAAGCCATGCAAAGTAGACCTGACAGTATTGTAAACTGAATTTTACTTTTACTATTAAAATGTATTCTAAACTACCTGCCTCTCTTTTGCTAACGCTCTATCTGACTTCGTTACGACAAGCTGTCCCAAACTTTCCGCATTTTTGTTCAAGTCGTATAACCCACCATGATTAATCGGAATTCGTAGATTCCACACGAGAACTGAACGGACTTCTCAGCAAAGAATAAAGCTGTTGAACTGTCCCCTTCACAGATTGTCTCACTTCTTTAATTTTCCAGCAATAAAGAATCGGATTTAATGATGAATTCGTGAAAACTAGCGACGCTGTAAAGTTCCTTGCTAACACAAAGTACGAAGTTGTTCCAAAAAAAGTCAGCAACGCTTCCACGACACCATGAGGCATGTAACAAATGACTAGCGCAGCCTGCAGCCACAATGCACTGGTTACTGCCTTTTTATATCGAGCCATGTTCAGAGGACTTATCGTTTGTTTCTCTTTATTCTGGTTCTCTACCTGAGTTTGCTGCCGACGGAGAACCAAGAAAATCTTGGTATAGGAGACCACAGATGTCCCCATACAAACTGATATCAGTATGTAACAATAGGATGTTGTTAGCAGGTAATTCCAAAAGTAGATCCCTGCGGCGCCAAGGGATACGACCTAAAAGGTGAAGACAAGAATATTGGCTCGTTTCAAAGTTACAACTTGTCGATATCTGATACCCAAAGACAAAGCGAGAAGTCTGTCAACGCTTATTGCAGATATTGTCCATAAAGACACTGAACATAGTATATAACCTGCTAAAAAGCTTATGTCGAATTTGAAGCGACAAACAGACCAGTGTCCCTGTGCGAGACTTATCTGATAGCTGGCATACACAGGTTGGGCAATAAGCCCTACACACAGATCGGTGGTCGCTAAGCTTCGGAGAAGGAGCTTGGACGGCGGATGCAGCGAAGACTCCTTGTGCAAGGCAAGGAGTATCAAAGTATTTTCAAGAATTGCAATAATGGACAGAATTATATTCATAACTGCGAGATAGACTACCTGAGCGGGTACTGTTCCGTTTGTTACTGCGGCTGAACAGATTAACTGTCCAAGTGTTTTCTGCTGTTCATCTCCAGTTAAGTTTAAAAACGATGTCGACATGTCGAGGCGAAAATTTGATGTTTCCTAAATTGCCTGCAATGAAACTGATTTTTCCCTACTGCTTCAACAAAATCTTATATTGAAAAATATTTTGTTCTTCGAGAGGGATGTTGACTTTTCTGGTTGGAGAACTACTTAAATTCACTAGTTCCTGATATTGAGCTGACATTCATCTGTCATATTTTGATGGGAAATTTTACATCCTGTCCTTCAACGATCTTAAGACGGCTTTGTAGTCATGCTTATGCTTAAAAAAAGAACATCTTTTTTCAATTTTCCCGTAGGAGCCGAAACAGTCTCTGCCAACAATTCTCGCCCGGTATCCCGTTTCGGAATCGCTCGTGCAGATTACGTCCACGTACCCGGCGATGTGCATCTGTCAGCAAGCTGTGTGATTCCGTGTTTTCCTCCATCAGGTTTATTTATTTAAACGGTCTCTTCTTATTCCTTTTATTTAAATAACGTGTGAAATACTCTTAGAACTTTCCATCATTATGCTTAACAAGTCAGTTAATTTGAATCGACTCAAAACAATGGATCAAACATAAATCAACTTGTTCGCTATGCTAAATTTCATCTTTTTGATAGAAGATAAAGAATCGAAATAAATTCAGTTAACCTAAGAACTAAGAATACTAGGTTCCCTTAAAATGAATTCTTTTTTAAATCTTAAATCCATCACAAATATTCAAAACTCATTAATGATAAAAAATATTCCATCGTAATTTTTTTTCTGATATCTCCACAATGGTAACTCTTAATACTTTTTTCTTTCCATTTATTCACATTTACGCACTTCATTTTTCCGAAAAAGCATCCCACTATCTATTGCAAAAAGGTAGATGTTTTCGTTTTTTTTTTCTTTTTGATCTCCCTGTCACTTCTTGATTTTTAGTGACACTTACATTCACATGGCCATTAGTTGATCTGGTGCTCATGACTACTAGTTTCCTGTGTCTATCTGCTGATGTCACTTATTATTAGTGAGAACAAAAGAAGGCATTTATATAATTTTTTTCCTCTTAAATACGCAGCTTGCACGTTCACAATTCTTTGAACAGCTGCCCCATGGGAGTCATTTGTATCAACGAAAATGACTCTCATATTTAAGATTCGTTTGAAATGTCCCATTGTTCGTCCATTGTCTCTTTCGTTGCAGTTTGAGTCGTTTAAAACGGACAACCAAGTGCTGATTTGTTACTGATTAACAGCAACGGAACACTTTAACGGCCGGTCCTTTTCACACTAGAACTGGAATCTCTTAAAACCCTAAATTCCAAGTTCGGATTGTCCATTCTCCCTTCTAGCTTCTACACAATTTCTTGTTAATACGTCATGAGAATTTGGTGTTTTATCAAGATAACAGCTTCAATCTGATAAGTTTGAATATTCTCATTACCTTTTTACTGGATATTGTATGGATATTATAGGGAGAGGTTATATATCAATCACTTTTGGTGGTTAAGGGGTTAACACTTCCTCGTTTAGGTGATTTCTGAGATCGGTTTTTTTTCCACCCAAACTTTTTGTCTTTTTGATATTAATTATGTTTCGTGGTTACCATTTTTTTAATTCAATTTTTGGTTTCTTAACCCTTTAACTCCCCAGATCTGATTGTTAATTCTCCCCTCTAGCTGCCACACATGTCCATGTAGATAAGTTGCGAGAATTTGGTTTTAGATCAAGATAACAACTTCTACCTGATACATTTGAGTATTCTCATTACCTGCTGGATAGTGTATGGATATTATAGGGAGAAGTTACTTGTTAATCACTTCTGGGAGTAAAAGGGTTAAAAGAATACGCTGGTACTTCAAAAGAATACAACCTGAAATCAACAATTATCACGATATTTTTCGATCAATTAATTTTCTTAAATTTGGATGAAAATTCAGTGTTTTTATTCTTTTGGTTTCTAATTCCCGTCCTCCTAATTGTGGTTTTATTGAGACCACTTGATAAAGTCATTTAGATAATCACTGAGTCCTCAAAACAGCAGAAAAGTTTGCAAAGAAAGTCGCAAACTTTTCATGGACTAAATTAAACTCGACAACGTAATTAAACGCCAATCACTGTCTTGTTTTCGTTGTGTGTGGTGTCAATCAAAGGCAATCAATATTAATGCATTAGGTAATGGATGGATGAGTAAAAATTATTGTTTCGATTAAAGACAATTGAATTTAGCCAAATTTGGATTGTAGGTCCTCATGGACTAAAACTCCCGAGCGGCCTGTAGGGCAGAGAGCAGGTGTCGCTGAACGTGAATCAAATTTGGTGGCATGGGCTCGAAGATTCTATATAACCTCTGGAAAGGCCCAGTATAAGGACGAATATGATTTTCGATCCCTTTACGGATGAGGCTGACTTGGGTCTGTGATATGAAGCTGAGAAACATAATGCTAAACAAAGTTATAAGGTCCTCATCTAGTTTTCAAGGAATATTTTTCAAAAGATAGTTAAGTTATTTTAGATTTTGTGGTACAGCAAACAGGTATACCGTTAAATTTTTTTCCTTCCGTAGGATGCCTTACACTAAGAAGGGTATTCCACTAAACAATAGCCCTGACATACCTTCTTGGACAAGAGATATCGATATCAAAACCAATTTGTACTTAACCCTTTCACTCCCAAGATCTCATTTGTAATTCTCCTCACAGTCTTCCATACAATGCTTGTGAGCTTCGTGTGGAGAATTTGGTTTTGGATCAACTAATAACGTTTTTCTTTATTCTCGTCACGTGTCTTCTTGATATTGTAATATTATTTTAAACAGCATTTCTATCTTGATTACTCGTGGGAGTCAAAAGGTTACACGAGGACTCCTCTCTGGCTCTCAGCGAGACCAAGTTTCGATCTGTAACCATAACTGTTAATATTTGTCAGAACAAAAAAAAAGAGTTGCGTGATTTCCGAAGGCTACCAAATTTGGCGTACAGGAAGTGAGAAGATCAAGCTTTCTTTGGGATACAGTCTATCAAATAAACGACGTGGTCACTTCATGACTGTTTACTCCCCATAGCAAACAAACCGGCGGTCGACGGCGGAAGCCTTTCAATGGAAATTCAACTCCAGTGTGAATATTGCCGATCATATGAACACCTTGAAATGTTAAGCAGTTAACAACCATTTCAGTGTCATTTTCTACCTTTGAATTTGTACATGACCGAAATGATTGATCAAATTTGGATTTATGATGTAAGAAAAACCACACACATACACATGCAAACTCTATGCCGGAAATAGCCATGATGTGGGTCTTGGCTTCCACGAGTTTGTCTTACATTTCATTTGATTAGAGGCTTTGCTCACGAAACAGAAATCAACGAAAACGACAGATCCTGTTACATTGCATAGTACATTGACTCTCTTCTTATTGTCTGCATACATAAGTTTACCACTTTGTATTTTCAAATTGTCAAGACTTTGCAGAGTGGAGATGTGATTATGGAGACGTGTCGACAAAAAATGTTAATCAGTGTTACATAATATGTAACAATAACTGCTTTATGGCTTTTTCAGCGACATCTCTACTGGAGTCACGAAGGCTGAATTATCTAACTTCAATGAGTGATTAAGTTGAGAAACTGAATCTATACATATACCAAAGGTAATAAATCTCTCGTTAACTGTTTACAGACTAGAGGTATATCTAGTCGTCACGAAGATCATGTTTTACCGACACGTTGTTTACATGCTATCGGCGTAGATGTTTACATCGAGAAATAATGAAATTGAAAACGGTGAGTATGGTTTTTTCGAATATCATAGGATGTTTGCTTTAGTTTCCACCACCATGAAAGCTAATACTGTCTACATTCGTGTTAATTCAATAATATCAGAAATTCAAAGAAATGTTTTAAGACGCTAAAATTACGCCTGATTACGATGAATGAGCTACTATTTCATCAATACAAATGAAGCCTCTGATTTATGCTTTTTACTGAAATATTCAACGGTGGTTCCGAGGGGAATAATCTTAAGTGGTTTTTAAAAAAGAGTCTACTCAATTTTCCTTCGTCATAAAAGACATTTTTAATTAAAAATTCCATTAAGAGTAGAGATTCTCAAATTCACCTGCTCAAAGATAAACAATCTAATAATGACATGTTTAAGCGTTAAAATTGCGCGAAGACCAATAAGCAGATAGCTCACAATGATATATAACTCCAAACTGAGTATACAAAAACTTATTAAATCATTTCTGTCGCTTAAATCATGCCGATTTACCAAAACATTTCTGAAGATGGCAAGGAGGAAACTTATGAGCGGTTGTTTTGCTCTCAGGAATTAACTACGGGAATACACGGCTATTTGATATTTCTTTCGGTGTTCAATTTCTTGCTGGCCATTTGTTCATCTCTGGGTAATATTCTGATCCTGATTGCCCTTCATAAAGAGACATCTCTTCACGCGCCGTCCAAACTGTTTCTCCGATCCCTGGCTACAACTGATCTCCTCGTTGGTGTCATTTCTGAGCCTCTAACCATCACGTACTGGATTTCAGCGGTGAGAAAACGATGGGATGAATGTTATAACACGTTTTTTACCAGTATCATCGTGGGGTATCTCCTCTGTGGCATATCTTTGTTGACAATGACTGCAATAAGCGTGGACAGACTTCTTGCTTTGTCATTAAGGGTAAGATATAAACAAATTGTGACGCTGAACAGGGCACGAGCAATCGTTCTTGTATTCTGGATTTTTTGTGTTGTATGCTCCGTGATGCATGCGCATGATTCTCGTATCACAACATGGTACACCCACATAACAATACCTGTTTGTTTTGTAACCTCAATTTTGTCTTACACGACGATTTTTTGGAAACTCCACCGCCATGAAATTCAGGTACGTGGCAACATTATCCAACCTGAGCAGTCAAGCAACTCAAGTTCAGGGCCACTGCATATTTCTCGATATAGGAAGGGAGTGTTCAGTGTAATGTGCCTACAGTTAGCAGTTGCTGTTTGTTATCTTCCACATGGTATAACTACAGCTTTGTGGACCTATAGTGGACGGTCATCGTCTGTCACTGTGCTCAGACAATTTACAGTAACTCTAGTTTACGTAAATTCAGCACTAAACCCGTTATTTTACTGCTGGAAGATCAGAGAAGTGAGACAATCGGTTAAAGATATAATCAGAGAAATACTTTTCTGTTAATAAATTACAAGGCTGGGGCCTGGAAGAGCTTATAGTTAGCTTATAGAATTGATGATGGCTTAAGCTTTTCTGAGAGCTAAGCGCACTTTCGGTAAAAGAAATTCTTCCTTTTGTAAAATTTCCAGTTCTTTCGATGCCTTCTTACCACGATTGGAGCAGCCGTTATTCGGAGATAACAGTCTGAAACAATATTAATTTCCGGCATCAATTTGACTTGCGCAAGTAGTGACTGTCAAAATGAACAGGTGCCGTATAGAAGAAATAGACAATTATAATTTCGATATACTAATATAGTATAATAAAGGCTAATAGTTCAGTTTTTTTTTTGGAATTGTGGTCTCTGCCAACCACGTTTCTTTTTTGCTAATTTTGGTGATAGACTTAGTTTGTCTCGACAAAACTTGAACTGGAAAACCCACACCTCTTGCAAGGAGTATAGTGAACTTATCTCCCAATGTTGCTGTCTGCTTATAATTTCTGACTAAGATTTTAATCCATAAGGTAAAAACCTTTGGGTTCTCTTACGACCATTTCCTTTAATTGCACTTAAAAGGCGAGGCAGCTATTTCGAAATTTAGCGCTCCTGCTATAATCACCTTGCGCGAGGTAATTATAGTTAGGTACGATTCAACCCTCGACCAATCTGAGTGTTAGAATTTCCACCATCACAAGAGCAATTATACTAGGTGAAAATGTTGCGTGTGACACCGAATCTTGTTCTCTAGATGGTAGAATGTATTCAGACCGTGGACATTCTTTTTAAAACCCGTGAACATTGGTTTAAAGAAAGTCAAGAAAAGCAATGCCCCTTTCCCCATAATATATTCGAGGTAGAAAAGCTTTCCACACAAATTAGCGAAAAACACTTTGATATTAGGCGAGACCGCAGTTGAGCAAAACGCAAATACTAGAGCAATCTATAATACAGGGATTGACGAAATAACAGTATTTGTCCAACTTCGAAAACATGACAACTTCACCTGGTGCAGTTGGCGTATCATTATATCGTTACCTGAGAAGATATCAGTATTATTATGGTGACTGTGTTTATCAACATGGTGGCGAAACACTCCACGACGATTTTCTTTTTTCAATTTATCAATGTTGCTAGGATTGAATTCAACTCTTTTAATGGCAAGACATCATTTTTACAAGCAAATATTTTGTTTTCGAGTTAGAAATGAAAGCAGTTTTCTTGCAGGTGATCTATTCATTCGGCGTTGTTAAAATGTGTTTTAAAGTGGTACTTCATCTAAACATAATATCTATAAAATAAACAGAACTTTACAGGTCTGCACGTGGATAAGAAATAATCTTCTCCCGTTGATGACACATCTGATAAGTTCGCTTCAATCACTCGTGAGAAATATTATTAACAATTGTGGTTGAAATTCAAATCCAAGCACTGTACGTAATATGCCCTTTTTTCCATCAGCTAGGTATATATTGAAATTAGCAGTGTCAATTATGGGAAAGAACAGCTGCTCTTTTTGCTCAATTCTATAAGGTGGCTGTTAGCACTTTAAGGACAATTTTCTAGCCTTTAAATCAATTAGCAGCAAAGTGTTCGTCTGAGTAGTTCCTTCACCGATTGTCTCATCTCACTTATCTTCCAGCAGTAAAGCAACGGGTTTAGTGACGAGTTAAAGTAAACTAGAGTTATTGTAAATTGTCTGAGCACAATAATAGCCGACGACTGTCCACTATAGGTCCACAAAGCTGTGATTATACCATGTGGAAGATAACAAACAGCAACTGCCACCTGCAACCAAATTACGCTGGACACTCCTTTTCTATATTGAGATATGTTCAGTGGAGCAGAACTCGAGTTGCTTGATTGCACTCGCTGAATGATGTTGCCGCGTACCTGGATTTCCTGGCGATGGAGTTCCCAAAAAATCTTTGTATAAGACGAAACTGAGGTGAAGAAGCTTACTGGTATAACTATATGGCTATACCATATTGTTATTCGGACGTTCTGCGCATACATCGCTGAAAAGATAATGGAAACAATCCAGAACATGATGACACACGCGCACGCCTTTTTCACAGTCACAACTTGTCTGTATCTCAGCCCTAATGTTAAGGCGAGCAGCCTATCCACGCTTATTGCAGTCAGTGTTAACAAAGACATGCCGCAGAGAAGATAGCTTGCTATAAAGCTTGTAAATAATGCGTTGTAGCAATCATCCTGTTGCTTTCTCACCGCGGACATCCAGCACGTTATGGTTAGAGGCTCAGAAATGACACCAACGAGGAGATCAGTTGTAGCCAGGGATCGGAGAAACAGTTTTGATGGCGCGTGAAGAGATGTCTCTTTGTGAAGGGCAATCAGGATCAGAATATTACCCAGAGATGAACAAATGGCCAGCAAAACATTGAACGCCGAAAGAAATATCAGATAGCCGCGTATTCCTGCGGTTATTTCCTGAGAGCAAAACAACCGCTCGTAGGTTTTTTCCTCTGCATTTTCAGTAATATTTTGATAAATCGTCATGTTTTAAGCGACAGAAATGACTTAATGAGTTTTCTTATACCCAGTTTGGAGTTAAATATCACTGCGAGCTACCTGCTCATTGGTCTTCGTGCAATTTAAATGCAACTGATTTCTTTATTTATGGAATATTTAATTGTGACGTCTATCTTGAGGAAGGAGCGAACCATCAACTGTAAACATATCGGAAGTTGTTTTTGTATTGATAAAACACCAGCTTATTTATCGTAAGTAGGCGTAATTTCAGCGTCCTAGGACATTTCACTGAATTCATAATATTATCAAATTGACAGAAACACAAAGACTATTAGCCTCCCTACTAGTGGAAACCAAAACAATATCTATGCTATTGATTCAGTATCTTTCGATCCATCTTTTGATATCTTTCATAACCTTTGATCAATCTTTTGATATCTTTCAGTATCTTTCGATTCATCTTCTGATATCTTTCAGCATCTTTCGATCCATCTTTTGACATCTTTCATAACCTTTGATCAATCTTTTGATATCTTTCAGTATCTTTCGATCCATCTTTTGATATCTTTCAGTATCTTTCGATCAATCTTTTGATGTCTTTCAGTATCTTTCGATCCATCTTCTGATATCTTTCAGTATCTTTTGATCCATCCTCTGATATCTCTCAGTATTTTTTGATCTATTTTTCAGAATCACGGGTCTTTCAGGACTATAATTAATTCGCCTATTTATTACTAGATAATAGAGCTTGTCTTAAGACAAAGCTTGGCCCTTTTCCTTTTATTCAATTTTTGCACCAGTTCTTTTAGTTTCAAGTCTACATTTTTTTCGATTTGTTTTGTTTTGTTATGTTTTTTATTTCATCGTGTTTTCAGTCCTGAGCAGCTGTTATAAACTCAGTTCAAGCATGGAATGCTGAAAGTGATGGAAGGTGACGCTCGCCAACTGAGGCATGTGTTGAGGCCGAGAATTAAAATTCCTCCCAGTTTGCCAAGTTTGTGGCGGTCCTGCCTTTCAAAATTGCAATTAGTTTGCATAGTATCTACCTTAACAAATCAGAAAACATTCTCCGTACATGACACTTGAAAGACAAAAAAATGAGGAAAGAGAAAAATGATTTAAAGATTATGGATTAGCAAGAAAGTTTACTTAATAATTTCTTGAAGAAACATCTGGGAATTAAGAATCTATGGTATCTACTTTAATACCATACGTTTGTAAAATATTTGAAATTCTATGAGCCTTATGACAAGCCTGTTAACTTCTATTGAATTTACAAACAGACGGTAGACCAAGGAGTAGTTGCTGTGACTGGTCGACGAAATCTCTTTTGAACAGTGGGCGAACATCTCAAGATGGTAGACAGAGACTGTTCTGACTTTTCTTGTTCTTTCGGATTGGAAGCAAAGAAACAGCAGCCACATTACTGATATCGTCATCTGTAACACTTAAGAACGTTATCAAACGTGGTGAAGCAGCCTCTACCAGGTGCACTGAGGGTTAATACAACAAACAAAAATATACTATGTCATTTTAATGACACCAACCGAAAATAGATGCGCATGAGTAAATGGAGACGTTACAGAATTAATTCCGTCCTCATTAATATGTCATATGCCATCGATGTCAAGTGACGTGTACATCGAATAAGAATTTCTGGGTTTCAAAAATTATCTTAAGCGGGAGACATAACATTACCCACCAGCTAAAGTATCTTTTTCCCTCATACGTTCCGTTGCACTCACGGTAACCTAACCAAACCGGTTCTTCTGAATAAAGAAAAAATTTTCAGTTATCTAAAGTAAGAGAAAATCAAGATAAAAGGCGAGCCTCAAACTCGCCAACAAGTTGTTTTAATCTAAATGTAGGTTAGTTTTACTATGAATGAGGGGAGAACCTTTTCCCACAAAACTTCAACATGAAAGGACAACGTTGCGATCTGGGGGCGGATTATCTCGACACTAAACTTCAATGAGTATCCTCGTTTTATTACCTTCAGAATACATTTCCATGATGCCTATCAATGTTAGTGCTGCAGGACAGCTCCCTAGACAGTGCGTATAAAATAACTCTTCTGAACAAAATATAGTTATAACATAGCTAGTAAATTTGTCTAATCAAATTCAATTGCGCGAGCGTGCTTCGTATTCCTATTGTGCACGCTCATGACGTCAGCAAACATATCCCTCGAGAAAAAAATTTTCCATCGGGTTGAAAATGTTATAAAACAATTGGTTCATACGTCAGCGGTGCGTTCATCGAGATATGAAGCACTTGGGAAGTTTAGAGAGCACTCAAGAAGCTAGAGTTGCTCTCGGCTACGCCTTGAGCAACTCTTACGCATCTTTCGTGCTCTCCAAACTTCCCGCGTGCTTCATATCTCGATGAACGCACGCTGACGTATGAACCAATTGTTAATTGATACTTACAGCAGTCGATGTACCGTCTTTTTAAAAGTTTCAAGTTCACGAACTTTTTCACTTTTACCATGAGCAATAAATCTCACCTATTTTTATTAGAACATTTTAATCATCATTACTACCTTCACCTGGATCTAACACTATGCCGACGACCAAACCTAGTCCACATACAGGTCCAACGTACTTGACCGTTCCTCGAAGTTTCCCAAACCAACTAAACAATACCTTCATACCGACTTCAATGTCGCTGATTGATTCAGGCTTGAAGCCCTGTTTCATAGTATCACCTGTAATAAATAACAAAAACAACATATAATTAAAACGACCATCGTACTATTTACATCACGATCATCAATTAGACCTCATTGATGTTTTAGGTCATTAAAGGCCCACATAACCCAGTAGTTTTACTTGGACCGGAGTTCAAATGACTTAGCTCTGCGTTACATTAGCTTATCAGCAAATCTACACACAAGTGAACCCCTTCCCCACACAAAAAAAAAAAAAGAAAAATTAAATATCAAATACTAACTTGCTGGTAATAATGTGTCAGATACGGGTAAGAGTGTGATTATCGGTGAGACTTCTATTTTTCTGGATATAAAGCACACGCAACCCAAAATTTCTCAAAATTTTCTCTATTCGAAGAGCTGCCGGTCGAAACGTCAGCTTTAGAAATTCTTTACGGTGACCAATTTACATCATCAACTCAGTTGATAAAACCAAGTTATCTTATTATACCCCCATCGACGTAGCGTCACAGTTTCTTCAAAGAAACTTACCCTCTTCAATCTTGTCATTAGTTGCCCCTATCTTGTTTGTCTCGTCATTGGTTTGGTTGGTCGTTGTGTCCATCAGCACAGCTTGGCCTGTCAGGCTTTCTACCTGCTGCACCAGACCCTGCACAGTGGACGTTAAACTGTCTATCTGCTGTTACTGATCATTCAACTGTTGTGACTTATCATTGAATATAAATGTCAATCGCTCAATCTGCTTTGACTGATCTTTAACCTGATTCTGAGTGGTCTCAAGGCTGAATACAGCTAAGTTCAAGTGGCTTTCCATGTGCGATTCTAAGTGAGATTTGGTCCTTGTTCTTTGAAACTAAAAAAAGACGATGAGGTTAGTAACCTCTTTTATTCAACTGCCACACTGGTCAGTAGGAATTTTTTAAACCCTACAAAATGAGAAAATGTATATTCATTTGACAATTCGTCATAATTCGTTTTATGATATGGTTATACAATACAAACGCACGACCTCTCCGCAAAACCTACAATTGGATATCAACTGAAAGCTGTTTCATACCGCATTTTGGCATCCTAAGTTCTTGTATTTGCATTCAATTTCTGCTAAAGGACAGTTATCACGAATATGAGCCAAGAGCTACAACAAAAAGATGAAAAAGATTAAGTCTTGAATGAGCAGCCAGAGAAATCCTCCCTCGTGCGTAGCGAAAACAAATCATTCGGAGTCTCAAAATTACTCCTAAGATTTCGTAATTTATGAATCAGGAAATTGAAATTTAAAAATATTCCTTATTAGTCTTTCGCATTTCCCCTGCGAAGTTTAACGGAGAAAACCTCCTAGAAGGGATCGTAACGGTGTTAAGGATTGTTTCCCTATCGTGGAGCTACCTAGATTAAATTCTGGCAGGCTCACTCATAGCAGAAAATAACGACCTTTATATCCTCTGACTGAAGCCAGAAAAACATTTCCAACAGTATTACACGTTCTCTAAACACTAGAACACAGAACTCCTCCAATTCCTCACATAAAACAGGACTAAGCATGTGTTCTTTCATATAAAGTAGCACTATGTCCGGATGCGGGCTGTGTGCATGAACTTTCAATTAAACACTCGTTGGAATTACTGAGAATCAGTGAGAATATTAAATGTTACCTTTTCTCGTGGAATATTTCTCAGACCACAATTGTTGGGACATTGAACCGGAAACTTTTGACAGACGTTATGATGTTGCTGAAGAAAATCGAAAATAAGTTTTTTAAAATTTCAAAATTCTCTCCGTCTTATAAAAATTATGACTAATAAAGACAGGCTGTTGTACTAACGAAATTTATAGAGTAAAATACCCACTTTCTTATCAGTAGAGGACCAAAGTTCTCGAATCCAACATTAAAGCCCAACTTTACTAAGATGTTTCTGTGTAACAATTTTATATCGAATAAGAGAAGATATCGAGAGCTCAACAAAATCTTGACTTAATAAAGATTGATAGTCGTCACCACTTTTCCACTTTGGATAAAAAGCAAAAGTTTGAGATACTGCCTTTGTAGAAGCTATATAAAGAATATGTTTTTGTTAACAAACCTGCTTGTTTTTCACGATAAACGATCCTCGACAATATTTACAACTAACTTCCCTCCAGACACATTCCGTTATCTTGTGATTGTTCATATCTCGCCTGATGAGCTTCTCTTTACATCCTTCATTTGGACACTCCACCGCGTTGAACAGGCATTCTGACTGATGTTTCTGAAATCATAATTTATCGATAATAAACTGCAATGTAATCATGATCCAATCTGCTAAGACATACAACAGGCTAAAGAAAAGAGAGACTTGATTGACAGGAAAACAATCGGTTAACTGACGGTTTAGGATCTAAGAAAAGAAATGTGAAATTTACGTGTGACTTGTTGATAATAATGATATCTCTAAGACCGGTGATAAATATTAAATAAACGTGTAATAAAATAAGCATGCACGCACGCAAACTGCTGTCCATGACACCGCAGATGGCAAATACTAAAACAACACCGCTGTTCAGTCCAGACCGTTACTATTGTACAAGAAACTATTGAGTTGAGCTCCACAAGTTATCCTTATCTGCTTCGTATAACATCTTATCTTGTTGCAACGATGCTCAAGAGTAGCAAGAATATGCACAATGCTTGCTTATGATTTAGGAGACAAATGGCAATGTTTGAGAGACTTTTAAAGTTTTGGGACTGACTGTGGATGCGCCGTAGATATATTACCTCGCAAATAAAATCTATTAAAGTTCACACGGCAACCAGGTGGACAATCAAACATGGTTTGATGCTACTCTGGTTTACAGATTTAATGAATGTAACCGAAGAAGTTACGATTCATAGACCCAACGTTTCGACACTCCTGTCTAGTGCCTTCATCAGGAGTGAAAAAAATTACCTGCACAGCTCGGAGTTCTCCAGTCCAAGGACACCCAACATAAGAACATTTCACCTTGAGATCCAGAATTTTGCGATAACAAGCAACATCTGGAAATATCTGACAACCCAGACACATTCATGGTCAATACATTCTAACCAGGTATCAGGTTACACCAATGTCAACATAATTACGCTCAATTACAATCTTTGCGCACTTTAATGACGGCGTGGAGGACTTGAAATATGATAGAAAGAGAATGATATCTTGAGCAAGAAAAAACAAAACAAAAAAATACCGTCAGTTTTTGCTTGTAGCATAAACTGAACGGGCAGTGTTTAAATGGACTGGCAGTATTATAAAATAAAATTATAATGCAGTATTACCATGGTGAGCCATTTATGCCAAAATTTTCAATCGCTAGTGATAAAACTCAATCGCTAGCAACATATCATAATTGTAAATGGGAATACAGATAACGGCGTTATATGTGAACGCCACTGTAAGACTGCAAGTAAAAGCGCTAATTATGAATCGCCGGTGTTCTGAGGCTGATCGATAGCGCTAAATATCAATCACAGGTTTTAGTATCAATCGAAAAAGTGAAGCCTTTACGGCTTGTGAAATCTTAACCATGTCAATCAACGTTGCCACCGATCGTTTGTGAAAAGTTGAAATAGCCGCCGCAAAACATTAATCGTTAGTGCTAGTATCGATTTTTTATTGATTTTAACTTGAACCAGTCTCCCACTTGTTTAGCAAAGATAAATCAATCAAATCTTGCTCACTTTCTTGCAATCAAACATATTTTGAATAATAATTTTAAAAATAAATCCGTATTGAAAAGTTATTGTAAATCTAAAAAACAATTACAAATTCTTGATAGGATCACTTTTTCCAAAAATGACTTATTTAAAACCCAAAAATAATTTGCGATCCAAGATTCCTTGGAAATCCAGAAAAATGTTTCAAATCGCGGAAAATGACCTAAGTGATCGTGTCGTCTAGAATTCTTGAGATGAACAACGAGATGGCGTCCTCAAACAGATTCATTTATTGGCAGATTAAGGGAAGCAAATCCTCCAAGTGCCTGTTGTCACACAGTCGGCCCAAGCTCTAGCTGTGAGATGATCTTAATGCGTAAGAAGCGTCATGGCGAAAATATAAGAGTTTGTATGGGAATATTTACAACTGCTCTTTGGAGGTAAAAATACAGTTAAATTCTCGATAAAAAAAATACCTCACCATAATTCCAAGTGCATCGCGTCTTGTCTGAACGCTTACTGTGTTGAAACGAGGCCACTTTAGCGACTTATCCATTTCTAGTTACTTACTCATAAGAGAAGCTGGAGCTTGGGTCGCCTGTGGGATTTTGCGCCTTCGGAAAATGAGTGAGCAGCCTTGTCCTTCTCCCAAGAGTAGGAAACCTAAAAATGAATTACTCCCTGAAATGGCCTCGTTTCAACAAAGTAAGCTTTCAGACAACAAGCAATGCACTGTGGAAGTTAGGTGAGGTATTTTTTAAGGACAATTTGACTCTATTTTTACTTCCTCAAGGAGATCATTAATATTCCCATACGAACTCTTATGATCACCTCGCAGCTGGAGCGTGGGTACTTTCGTCGTTTAAAATACGCCGCAAAACAGCAGAAGAATTTTGTAAGCTGTTCACCGCTCTCGAACAAGACCAGAATCCTAAATTCCCTCATGCGCTACACTGCCGCAAAATCGCATCCACCACCTCCGGGAAATAATGCAGTTGGTGATAACTAAGCGATGGAACTCACTTTCTATCGGCCTACCCGCGTAATAACCCACGCAGGATGTTGGGAGAACCCGAGAATCGTTTGTCAATCACTTGCCTCTGCTAGCTCGTGATTTACAAACTTGTTTTTAAGCTGGTAAACCGATAAAAACGCAGTCTATCGCTTTAAAATATATTTCAATTTTCTATGGTTTTACCCTCGGAGAATTTCGCGTAATTAATGAAGACACAAACATGTACACACACACGAATATCTTAAAGTGAGGATCCTATTTCAAAACAAATTTCTGCGTTTGTGACACTGAAACGAAAGAGTAACGATGATTTCTACCCTTGTGCTAGACATGTTTTGTTTTGACTTAACTTTGCAATAGGGGCCACCCATTTGAAGGATACGGCGTTTCGAGTTGTAAGTTAAAATGCCTAAGGATCTGTTAACCGAGAGTAGAGCGTGGAATCGCTAGTTTGCCGTGCGATATCATTACCTTATCACGTGAAAGAGGCTCTCTGTCTACTGGACATTTTGGAGAATGGCCCCTGAAGGAAGGAAATTTGCAACAACAGAAAAAAAAAGTCAGAAAACAAACATTTAGAAATTGGTCATCTTGTATATTATTTACTATCAAGTCTTGGCGTTTTTCATCGCTGGGCCATACGCTGCTGCATAAAGAATCCACAATGGTGGACTTGTTGCATATAATTAACATTTGCATCCGAAAGACAAATTATAATTAGTTTAAGTCGATTCCTTTTTTAACAAAGTAAACGAAAGATCAAAGTGAAAGATCAAAGTTAAATTGAAAGATCATATCATTCGATGAATCAGTTAGATGCGCTTGTACTAAAGCGATCGAAGACACCTAAAAGGCAACAAGCAACTATTTGGTGAAATATTTGATAGCTTTCAGTCGCATTCATAAGTACTCACGGCGACCTCGAACCTGTTTGAATTGTTTTGTACCGGATAAAGCTATTTAGCTGTTACTTATGTATAGCCGAGGCACACAATAATTCCCTTGGAAAGTGACTCAACCGGTCGATATCGTCGTTCAACTTAGGTGATTGTCACGTAAGATGATTGTTTTCAGTTGTAACTTGATACAGCGTACCGTGATGCGCCCCCCTACCTCAACAAGCTCCCCAAGCAGGTGTTACAAAGTCTATGGCCGCATCCTCCAATCTGTATGGGATCTTTCATTGTTAACTGACACGCAGGGCATTCAAAATCATCGGGAACTACACTTATAAACTCAAAATCATAGCCGCCAAGTTCTGGAATTTTCTGGTCAGCCGCCATTGTGAATTCGGATTAGAACGAAACTGGAAGAGATAATCAGTCTTGCGTGAAGACTAAGGAATCTAGTTCCCAGACTCTCTAAGACTTAAACTAAGCCCTCTGATTCAAGAACTTGGAAAAACCTGAACATACATACAATGTTGTACGGCAAAACATGCATAAACAAATCAGTGTAAAACAATCGAGGCTGGGGAAGGAAGAACACCGCAAAATACCAATCTTTAAAAAGACGTTTTCAAAGTTTTTTACTAAATCGTTCAATATAATGATATAGTCAAGGTTGATGGTTTGGTAAACGAAATGCAAAATACGTCCGTCAACGACCATTTTGGTGAATTGCTCATATTTTGCCCAACGATACCCTTTTGGTAAACTATTTTCAAAAATCAAGTTTAAAAGTTCCGACGATTATTAAATTTTTAGAGAAATTGGCGAAAATTTGAAAACGCGGTTTAAGTGCGGTTTTCCGCCTATCAAATTGTCCAAAATTCACTGTAAAACCAAGCTCCGTTGAAGGCTTAAAATGAATTCAATTAACAATTCGTAATATAATGATATTATTTATTTCCTGAGTAAAATTTGATGCTTTGAATCGGACCGCTTCCCTTCGAAAATACCGCAAATGTTTGTGTCCAGAGTGACCGAGATGATGTGTGTTGTGTAAACAAACGCCAATCTAATCATTCCTTCCCTGGTGGAAAAAGGTTTTAAAATAAACTTTAATTTTGGAAATTTTTGGCTAGTACTCTACAAAATATTGAGTAATAGGGAAGTCGTACATTCGGAGTTGTGAGAGCTGAGAGAAAATAAAATCACCGTCGAAAATGTTCTTACAGTCATTTCATCAATCACCATTATATGTCTTTCAGAAGTTATTATTTCTTGTCATTTTATGGCTCTCTGTAGCTATATAACGCTAGTTGGTAAGGTGACCCCTTGCGGGCGATCTCCTGATTATCCTGGTCAGGTGGAATGCATTACACTCGAGGATTGCTCGAAAGATGTAACTGGACATCTATCGACTCTTGGACTGAGTGCAGATGAAGGTTCTAGAACTGAAATGAAGCTGCTATTAGCCAGAGCCGGTAAATATTGATTTTGTGTGTTTCCAGGTAACTTTACTGTGCTTATGAATGAGTCCTGCAACAGATTTAAGATATTTTTACAGGTGTTTTCTCATTTGAACAAAAACATCTTACCCTGACTATTTGCCCACGCCATAGGGCAGACTTTGGCATACGTTGGAGGACTAGGAAAACCCTTTGTGCAATTCCCAAGGATCTAGCAACACATAAGTCCTCGAGTGCCAAAGGAAGCAACTGTGTGGATAGCCGAAAATCGATGTATATTTTTTGCAACTCCTACACCTTAGTTCCAGTTGGGTCGCGTAATTTGAAAAGACGTTTTCAAAGTTTTTTACTAAATCGTTCAATATAATGATATAGTCAAGGTTGATGGTTTGGTAAACGAAATGTTTCCAATGAATGCGTATCGCTTCCAAACACATTTTTTCCCCATGATTATGGAGGTCTTAAAACTATATCGGGGTTGGCTAGAAAAAAAAATGAAAAATACTGGTTAGGCATTCCCAATATACAGATTGGCATGTGCTTGGGAATAAAATGGATGAGAAATATTTATCTCCGGGGGGTTCCGCGATTGTTGATTCTGTTCCAAAATATGAATCGAATATCATAGGATATTTGCTTTGGTTTCCACCGCCATGAAAGCTTATACTGTCTGCATTCTTGTTAAGTCAAAGAAATGTTTTAAGACGCTAAAATTACGCCTTATTTCGACGAATGAGTTACTATTTCATCAATGTAAATGAAGCCTCCGATTTGTGCTGTTTACTAAAGTATCCAACGGTGGTTCCGAGAGGAATAATCTAAAGTGGTTAAAAGTGAGAGTCTACTCAATTCATGTTCCTTTGTCAAAAAATATATCTTTAATTATAAAATTCTGTTAAGAGTGGAGTTTCTCAAATTCACCTGCCCTTAGATAAACAATCAGATAATGATATGTATGGTGGCCGACAGCTGCCATTCAAAAATAGGGCATATCTTTATTTTTACGCGTCTAGGTCACTAACAGCAACCCTAAGGTCATCCGCCATTGGTACTTGGAATATTTGTACGAGACCAAAGTTATTCCTGGTACAATGGCAACGATACATGCTTTTCTTCGAAGAAACCATGTTGATATAGATGACCCTCGCGATTCCATCATATATGGACCATCAACCTCATATCAAGTAAGTTTCTGGATACATTGTATATGTACCTGGTAAAAGTTGCTTCCACCTTGTTTGATCTGTAAATTCCTTTGTCTGATGTTCATTCCAATAGATGAGACAAAAGAATTGCAACAAACGTCTGCAGCTTTGCTTTCTCTATAGACTGAGAGATGGTGGAAGGAACTCCATGAAAGAATGGAAAAATACTTCAAGGAACAACTAAATTGGTTAAAGGACCAAGGTCATTACAATCCACATAGTGAAAGAGACAGGTCGATATATATTAAATGCATGTAGACCATAAGGACTTCTCCTTCCCTCCTTTGTGACAGGTTCACATCCAAATGCATGTGCTATGCAAAAAAACCAAACACTTGTGCATTTCCCAGCCTCAACCATCTGAATCGACTGGGTGAATGGATTCATGTATAGGCTAAGCAGTCACGCATTTGTGCGTACTTGTGTCTATCCATAACTTGTGTCCTTTAGCCCGAGTCATAATAATGAACTTGACGACCTGGTTTTGTGTTATATTTTTAGAATGCTATTAGCTTTCATAATGATACCAGTGGTACAGAAACAACTTGATGTATTCCGGACAGTTGTGTGGACCAGCCACAGAACAAGAGCAAAGAAAGATACAGCTTTGCCCGATGGAGTCCCTGATCATATCTACAGCTTTCCAGACATGTATGGTCTGGAAGATTGTGGTATGGTTATGTCACATTTATATATGTTGATGCATTTTACGCACATGTACAGTGTACTACCCTGTATACACCATATGCCCGAGCTTCACGTGGGGTCACTCTAGTTTTGCTTAACACAGCTGAAATGTAATTCAGTGCACTCAAATGGTGTTTTTCATGCAGCGGTTACTTCCTTTGACGTTTTTCTGCTCTTTTATTGTCCACTAATGGAATTTTTGCTGATGTCTTTCATGACATCGAAAAAGATATTGTGATTTTTCATAATCTTAACGAGTTGTGTTTGATTGTGTCAAAGTTTACTTGTTTTTAGCCTAATCGCCTACTGTTATCAAACCTACCTGTTTGCTTCACGGAATCCTCCCTTTCAAAATGGGTCCTTTTCAATATTGAACTCTACAGTAGTTGCTGTTAAGGACCATCCCACAGGATCCAAGTCAAAGGATCTCAGCTCGATCAAAGTAATGGCTTTCGTCTTTATGATCTTACCAGGCTTCATCATATCAGACACTGACAGACTCTTGGGGTAAACCTTGATGCGTTTGGGTGACAAAGCACTTCTTGAATCCTTTTCGGGAGAAGTTGATGTAATGGGGACACTCAAAACTGCTCTTTCCTTCCTCCGGGTGTTTGGGGTGAGAAACATTGTATTGGGCTTCTCCGCGTGGTCTTGTTAGAGTTCCCGTTGAATGAATCGAATGTGTATGAGTCTCAAGTCAGGAACCTGTTCCAGTGTGGAACAAGACGGCCCTTGCTCACTTGCGAGAACATCGCATACAACGCTTTTACCAACTGTATTTGAGAAGTACTTCTCACAGGCAAGTTTAATGTTCGCTAGCGTTAAATCCTCATACTCGGCGAATGGCACAAACTCCCTGGCTCCGATTCTGCTAAACTTTTGCGCCTTGCCAGAGACCTCCTGAACTTAGGCGCTTTACTGTCAATTCACCACGTTGGTGAATAATCCCAGCACTTACAGCATCTGCTTTTGACTTTCTCTGTACACGTTTGTGTTTCATCTGGGCTTGAAACTTTGTCTAAGCTCGATCCCCCATGTTGAATCGGATAGTCTGGGAAGAAAATAGCCATCAGTCCCGCACGCACATGTGTTAACGCAAAGCATGACGGTTTTCTATGGCAGCTTTCGGCCATCGGGAAAACCAAAATTTTTTTTTTTCAAAATTTCAACGGCAGTTTTCGACCATGGACATTTTACAATGATTTTTTTTTTTGGTTTACTTTTTACTTTTATTTTGATTTCGAAATTAAAACGTTTTTTTCTTGTTTTAATTTAAACGAAAAAAGTTGTTATACATATGTTTTTTATAACAAAAAAAAAAAAAAAAGATATGCCCTATTTTTGAATGGCAGCTGTCGGCCACCATAGATATGTTTGAGCGTAAAAAATTGCGCAAAGACCAAGAAGCAGATAGCTCACAATGATATATAACTCCAAATTAAGTCATTTCTGTTGCTTAAATCATGACGATTTATCGAAACATTTCTGAAGATGGCAAGGAGGAAACTTACGAGCGGTTGTTTTGCTCTCAGGAATTAACTACAGGAATACCCGGCTTTTTGACATTTCTTTTGGTGTTCAATTTTTATTGCTGGCCATTTTTTCATCTCTGGGCAATATTCTAATCCCGATTGCTCTTCATAAAGAGACACCTCTTCACGCGCCGTCCAAACTGTTTCTCCGATCCCTGGCTACAACTGATCTCCTTGTTGGTGTCATTTCGGAGCCTCCAACCATCACCTACTGGATTTCAGCGATGAGAAAACGGTGGAATGAATGTTATAACACGTTTTCCACCAGTATCATTGCGGGGTATCTCCTCTGCGGCATGTCTTTGTTAACAACGACTGCAATAAGCGTGGACAGACTTCTTGTTTTGTCATTAAGGGTAAGATATAAAAAAATTGTGACTCTGAACGAGCAATTGTTCTTGTATTCTGGATTTTTTGTGGTCCTATAGTGGACGGTTATCATCTGTTACTGTGCTCTTGCAAAGAGTATAATGAGCCGTGCAGGCCTGAATTTATCTTTTCAGGCCATATTTTTCACTACTGTTCGAGTAGTGTTTATTACCGCGAGGATCGCTTTCATATTCACGTCTTTTAAAATTAGCCACAGTTCATGTAATATAATTTTCATATATTCACAGTCAAGTATAGTGAACGTAGCTCCTAGTGTTGTGGTTTGCCTATAATTTCTGACTAAGATTTTAATCTATTAAGTAAAGACCCTTGGGTCTTCATATGACCATTTCTCTTCATTACACTTAGCAATAGTTTCTAAATTTTACCAAATACGACCTAGTTTATTTAACATTCAAGGCTTTCTTAAGTGCATATTGAACACAGCATAATTTTTTTTTGTAGACATAGCCAGAGGGGTAAAACATTTGACCAATCATATTACGTGAACCATGTGGAACTTCTTTTAAATTTTTATTTCATTTTCGACATATTTAACAACTATTTGTCCGAGGCAAAGTAAATACTGTTGGAAAATCCCCAAGACGAAGTAAGGTGGATTATTCAATAATATTTACTGAGCCTGAGGCGAATTATCATTTTCGTAAAATTATGAAACCATTCTTTGCATAAAGAAAACCTTTTTTACAGTTGTTTTGATTACTCGTGTCGAGATATTAAGCCAGTTTCCACTAGAATTTAACAGTAAATACCTCACACCGTAGTTTTGAAAGTGTTACGCCTAACTTAGAACTATCTGTTTTCTGTCAGTATCGAGTTCATCACTTCCCGGAAACATTCGGAAAAAATGCGAGGCAGCTGTTTCGAAATTTAGCGCTCCTGCTATAATCACCGCGAGCTGATTATAGCGAGATAGGACGCAACCCTCGACCAATCTTAGCGCGAGAATTTCTACAATCACTAGAGGAATTATACCATTTTGAAATGTTGCGTGTGACACCAAAATCTTGTTCTCTAGATGGTAGAGGGTATTCAAACCATGGACATTCTTTTTAAAGCCACAGAACGTTGCTTTAAAGAAAGTGAAGAAAAGCAATCTCCCCTTTGCTCCATCATATCTTGGAGGTAGAAAAGCTTTTCACACAAATTAGCGACAAACGTTTTGACATTAAATAAGACCGCAGTTGAGCAAAACGCGAATACTAGCGTAATTATCATACAAAAAATGATGAAATAATAGTATTTCTCCTGCTTCGAAAACATGACAACTTCACCTGGTGCAGTTGGCGTATCGTTATATCGTTACCTGAGAAGATATCAGTGTTATTATGGTAACTGTGTTTATCAACATGGCGGTGTAACTTTCCACGACAATTTCCTTTTTTTAATTTACAGATGTTGCTAAGATTGAATTCAACTCTTTTAATAGCAAGACATCGTTTTTACAAGAAATTGTTTTGTTTTCGAGTTAGAAATTAAAGCAGTTTTCTTGCAGGTGACCTCTTCATTAGGCGTTGATAAAATGAACTTTAAAGGTCCATTTCCAACCTTGATGCAATGCGCGCCGGGACCCAATTTCCCGTAACACGAAATTCCCAGATCACTGAAAGTCTTTCTCAAGAGCCATCCTGGACATATATTCAACTGTTTTATGGTAAATACATTCGCCGTTCGTCATTTTACAGTTTCCTTACAGTATTTTGAATTTTGTCCGGAAGAATCCGCAGAAAATTTTTTTCAAGTGTAACGCCTGGATCTCTTCGTATTCTGTGAACAGAGTCGGTGAAAAGGACAACGTTCAAATTTTTTTCACTTTCTAGAAGTGCTTGAGGATTCTAAATGAAGATAAAATATTCCAACAGAAATTGGTATTTTTCAAAGAGAAATATGAAAAAATATCAGACTGCCGGACGTTTAGTTATTCGAAGACCGTGTCCGGTAGTGTTCGGTGAAAATTTTCTTAGTGTCACGCTTGGATCTCTTCGCACTGTGTGTACAAGGTCAGCGAAACGGACAATGTTAAAATTTTTTCACTTTCTAGAAGCGCTTGAGGATTGTTAATGAAGGTAGAATATTTTCCCACGAAAAATTGGTATATTTCAAAGAGAAATATGGAGTTATTTGTGGACCGTGTCCAACCGTGTCATTGGAAAGTTTTTAAGTGTCAAGCGTTTGGATGGCTTCGTACTATTTATACAGGGTTAGCGGAAAACATCAAGTTCGAAATTTTAGGCTGCCTGGAAGCGCTTGAGGATTGTAACTAAAGGTAGAACATTTCCGTATAAATATTTTTTGGATTTCGAAGAGAAATATGAAAAAATTTCGGACTGTCGGACGTCTAATTATTTTAAGTTTAGTCACTTCGTTGCAGGAACGTTAGCGACACTGACAGTTTGCGTTACCATTCATATTTGCTGCTCTGCTTGGACAACAACCTCGACCACTCTTTCGAGCGCAAGCTCCTCTCCACGGGCAGGAAATTTTAACTGACCCTTGGTCCTATTTAACAAGGATGGCAAACTTCAATTAAAAAAAATTGATGAATAGATGAAAACGTGGTGGATCAACATTTTCACCTTCTTCGAAATGCTCGCAAGGATTTTCGTGTTCCTCTTTAGCAACAATCGATCCATAAGCGTTTACTGCCTCGGAATCTACAAAATCAATGGATGAATCTAATTCCATGTCCGATCAAAACGTATAGAACTGTTTCGAACAGAATTATTTTGACAAGCTCTTCAAATTCATCGGAGAAAACGCAGAAGGTACTCTGAGCAACGTGACAAGGTAAAAATAACTGACCAATCAGAGGCGCTATTTAAACAAAAGCGGTGGTTCAAAACAAAAACAAACGACCACATTGCATCAATGTTGGAAACGGGCCTTTTTAAAGTGGTATTTTTAAAAAGTGGTACTTTATAAAAAAAAAAACCAAAATCTTTATTTTTAAAAAGTGGTATTTTATAAAAAAAAAAAAAAAAATCTTTATTTTTAAAAAGTGGTATTTCATCTAAACACAATATCTAAAATAAACAGAACTTTACAGGTCTGTATGTGGATAAAACTAGATCTTCTTCCGTTGATGATACATCTGATTAGTTCGCTTCACTCCCTCGTGAGAAATATTATTAACATTTGCGGTTGAAATTCAAATCCAAGCACTGGACGTAATATGCCTTTTTTTTCCATTAGCTAGGTATATATTGAAATTGGTGGTGTCAATTATGGGAAAGAACAGCTGCTCTTTTTTAATTTACATCTTGCTCTTATTCGTCATATTGATAAAGGAAATTAAGATTGTTCAGCAATATCATCTACAAATGACTGACGGCTTGGGTCTCAAAAATTGCTACTAAAAGAATTGGAAATCCGGTATAAGCTCCAACTAAAGTTTAAAATTTCATCAATTCTATAAAGTGGCTGAAAGCACTTTTTGGACAATTTCAAGCCTTTAAATTCATTAGCAGCAAAATGATCTTCTGAGTAATTCCTTCACCAATTGTCTCACCTCGCTAATCTTCCAGCAGTAAAGTAAAGGGTTTAGTGTCGAATTAAAGTAAACTAGAGTTAGTGTTAACTGTCTGAGCACAATAATAGCCGACGACTGTCCACTATAGGTCCACAAAGCTGTGACTATACCATGTGGAAGATAACAAACAGCAACTGCCACCTGCAACCAAATTACACTGGACACTCCTTTTCTATATTGAGATATGTTCAGTGGAGCGGAACTCGAGTTGCTAGATTGCTCTCGCTGAATGATGTTGCCGCGTACCTGCCTTTCATGGCGATGGAGTTCCCAAAAAATCTTTGTATAAGACGAAACTGAGGTGAAGAAGCTTACTGGTATAACTATATGGCTATACCATATTGTTATTCGGACGTTCTGCGCATACATTGCTGAGCAGGTAATGGAAACAATCCAGAACATGATGACACACGCGCACGCCTTTTTCACAGTCACAACTTGTCTGTACCTCAGCCCTAATGTCAAGGCGAGCAGCCTATCCACGCTTATTGCAGTCAGTGTTAACAAAGACATGCCGCAGAGAAGATAGCTTGCTATAAAGCTGGTAAATAATGCGTTGTAGCAGTCATCCTGTCGCTTTCTCACCGCGGACATCCAGTAAGTTATGGTAAGAGGCTCAGAAATGACACCAACGAGGAGATCAGTTGTAGCCAGGGATCGGAGAAATAGTTTGGACGGCGCGTGAAGAGTAGTCTCTTTGTGAAGGGCAATCAGGATCAGAATATTCCCCAGAGATGAACAAATGGCCAGCAAAACATTGAACGCCGAAATAAATATCAGATAACCGCGTATTCCTGCTGTTATTTCCTGAGAGCAAAACAATCGCTCGTAGGTTTTCTCCTCTGCATTTTCAGTAATGTTTTGGTAAATCGTCATGTTTTAAGCGACAGAAATGACTTAATGAGTTTTTGTATACTCAATTTGGAGTTATATATCACTGCGAGCTTCCTGCTTATTGGTCTTTGTGCAATTAAAATGCAATTTAATTATTCATGAAATTAGTCATGACTTCTTTCTTGAGGAAGGAGAGAACCATTAACTGTAAACATATCGAAAGTTGCTTTTGTATTGATAAAACACCAGCTTATTTGTCGTATTAAGGCGTAATTTCAGCGTCTTAAGACACTTCATTGTATTTATAATATTATCAAATTAACACAAATACAAACAGTATTAGCCTCCCTGGTAAAGGAAACCAGAACAAACATTCTTTGCTATTGATTCAGTGTTTTTTCGATCCAACTTTCGATATCTTTCAGTGTTTTTCGATCCATCTTGCGATATCTTTCAGTGTCTTTCGATCCATCTTTTGATATCTTTCAGCATTTTTCGATCTATTTTTCAGAACGTACACGGATCTTTCAGAACTATAATTTACTCGCCTATTTATAACTGAGTACTACAGCTTGTCCTTTGACAAACCCTCACCGTTTTCTTTTCCTTTTTTTTTTTTTTAATCAGTTCTTCTAGTTTTTAAGGTCTACCTTTCTTTTCGATTTTGTTATTGTTGTTGTTTTTTTTCATGAAACTATGCCGCCACTGATTTTCCAGCATGCAATAAACTGACCACTCAACTTATAGCGGAAGTCATCAGCTAAGTCCAGGGAAGAGTTGTTTGCCTGAATAATATATTTCTGGCTCTTGGAAACTGATTGGTTAGTCGCTGTGATGTTATTTGTTGTTTAGCAGTTGCAAATAGTCAGTCGTCGGTGTTTGCGTTTATTCGTTGCTGTTAATGTCGTGGATGAGTTGTCTGTGCCAGTAGCTGCTTGCATCTCTTTCAATGAGGAGTCTGTTCTAAGTTATCGATGAGCGCTCATGCTCTAATAAGCACCCTTCCCCACACCGAGCCCGATGCCATAATATCAAACAAGCGCCTATCTCGAATAAGCACAGGCTCTTCCCTCGCTATCTTTAATAATAGGGATACAAGAAAAACCTCTTTCTATTGCAGCTTTATTTATAACTTTTTAAGCATCAAACACAGCCAATTTGGTACAGGAGAACAGTTACGCTTCCAGTTATGGCTCCCTCCATACTGACTTGACGTCTACGTGGATGTTGCAGCTTTTGTCTTTTTTTCTTTTTAAGATATAGCCAAAGTAAAGTTACAACTCGTTGAAAAAAAAACTCAATAAGAACCCCCTAGATGAATGGGGTTAACTGACATCTGACAAATGGCCAAAATTCTAACTGAAAACTGAAAAATGGCTGAAAGTCTAAGTGACAATTGACATTTGTGGTGGGCATTCACTGACAGCTGACAAAAGGCTGGATCGCCCTAAATATCCTTAAAACTGAATGTAAAATAAGGTCAGTTTATTTCTTTTGTCCAATAAAAGTACGTTTTTTACTACATATCAGTAAGAGTACGCCAGAGTGTCATATTTCGTTAATAATTACCGCATGGACCATCCACATCAATGTCATATATCACATATCGGTGAAATGATCTTTGATACCAAACTCGATCGTCAACTTACGCGATGGCCTTCAATTCTGTTAATTTAAAAGCTGTTGTAGGCTTTTATCGAATTGATTCGGAAAAGGCATTTGAGCGTCACAGAAGCCCCGTTCTATTAATGATGTAAACACCGTATTGGCGCTAAAAAAAGCACCTTATTTCGTTCCTTGGTCTAAAAGATTTGTTCAGTAAATATGGCCTCGGATATTTTGATGTGAAACTTTATCACATGGCTCCGAAATAAGGAGGGAAGAGCGACAATTTTGCCCTAACTACGTAAGAGCAATAGAATCTGGAGCTTCCGACCATGCCAGCTGGAATAGGAAGCGAATTCAAGAGTGTGTATTGGAATGGTTTGGTATTTGGTATTGTGTAAATATATCAGTTAAAAGCCTACTCTGTAGTATAAAACGCCTCTAATACCAACTTATCAGTAAGCGCTCAGAATTTTGCGAGGACTGTGATAAGAAGGCCTTGTTAGCACTGAATTCTAGTGTACAGAATGAGACCTTGCCTGCAGAACTTTCCCTGGTTATTGCCTTGCCAGATGTGGTTCACCGCGGGAAGAGTCTCAGGAGTAGCTGGTTCATTGACCTTAAGGGCGCAAGAAGTAAGCTCGTCTTAATACGCACATTGCGTGATCCTGGAAGCCTTGATATTCGCAAAAATTTTGGTGAAGCCTTACCCTCGATTGTGTGCGAAACGAAGATCATATGGCAGTTGAACCAATCGTGCACCTCACCAGACCAACAGTCTTAGATGTTTTATAAGAAGTCACGTCTGTGGTTCACACCTTGGTGCCAGAAAGTGTCGCTTTTGGTAATCCACTCAAGGTGGACAGGCCTCTTTATGCAAAAGACCTATCGCTCTTTAACGTGGAACCCAAGGCAAAATTCTTGCTTCGGACTACGGTTTTGATTCTCTTGAGGCTCCTGTAAGAGAGTTGCGATCGCACCAACCTCAGCGTAGACGTTGAAGTGCTCTAAAGAACGTTCAACGATGCTAGAGACTTGTGTTTTATCAATGATGTTGTTTTTATCGCAGAACGTGCTTCATCTTTGATTTGCTTCATTGACCTTGAAGGCAAGGTATCTGCCAAGCCAGGAAGCTTGAAATATCGCGCTGATCTGTTGCGTCAGCTAGCTCGTTTCAGTTTACCGTTTGATGGCACAATATGCGAAAAGGATTGAACACCCATCTGCAAACTTTAGCCGCTAAATTCGGAAACTGGAAGCTTGTCCAGCTTCGCCCTCCTTTAGAAAAGCCAACTTCAATATGTGCTGCGAGTGAAAACACTCTTTTGTGTGCAAACGATGCCCAGAGAGGAATTATACAAGTGACATTACATTACAATGGAGTTGGCACTGCTGGTACTGTACTCAAACTCGTGACCTACCCGACTGGCATTTCGAATGTCATATCTATGGAAGTTCTCACACAGAGAGCTTAATCTGTAGCAGTCGGTCTAGACGATGGCCTTTAAGTTTGCAACCTTTCAAGCTGAGAAGTTAACCTACTTCTTAAGAACAACGCGGGGTCTTGGAGAGAAATCGAAAGACTTTGTGAATTTGAAGACGGGATAGCCTTCGTTGATCATGACTCAGGAGATCGAAAGGTAGAGTTCTTCTGTCCTTCAAAGGAAAACTTTTAAACCTTGATGGGCTCTGGTCCAAAGGAGCAAGTGATGGAACGGATGAATCGAATTCTTTTAGGTAAGTTCAAGGCTTCTCTATGGAGAAGACTCTATTCGTATCGGATGTTGCTACAGGTTGCCTTAAACTAGCATCGGGACTCCGTGGTACTGTGTCGTCCTTGAAAGTCGCTATAACAGTTTTGGTATCAGAGCCCAATGTATTGAGAAAGCACACATGTCTCTTCAAGATGCCGTAGACAAAGTATCGTATGTAAATGACAGCATCACAAAGACCGTTTCTGCGGTGAAACAACGGCACAGTATAAAGTAACCACAGCCACCAACGGCCCTGAAGGAACTGTGTCTAATAAAACTTAAGTCTCACTTAAACTTTTAGAAGAAGGAATGCACCGCCTGCACAACAGCATAGCTTCAATTAGCAACGATTATCTCGAAGACATTGAATTGTGCTCATTACTCACAACAGTTGTGGAGAATCTACACGCAGTTTCCCATTTTAAGCATGAGACCTTCACAGCATTGCAGTATTCCCAATATTTTGGTATAACTACCAAGGAGTCGTTGATGAGAGTAACAAAATGGGCAGCCAAGTATTTTACTCGTGAAAAAATCCTACTATCCTGTCTCTCAGACCAGCAAGAAGTTTGCAAATTTCAACTTTATGCGACCTCTACCTTCAGACGAGATCAACCCCGAGACTGCAAGTGTTATGAAAGAATATGTGGAGCAGTATTGTCCGTTGAGGTAAAGGACAGTTCGGGAAGAAATTACCAAGGACGAGGCAGCGGCTTTACCACCGGCCGTCTACACGAAGCAACAAGATTCCACCAAAGTGGACTTGTTGGCGAGACTAGGAAACGATTTTAACTCCGGAGATCAGGCAGAAGGGCTCAGCAGTGACAAAGGAGCCGTTCAAGCTACTTCAAAACGTGGGAATGTGACAAATGCCGCATTTGTTGACGACTGTATCGTCTAAGTGGCAGTTGCTGAGGTGCGAACATATGCAGACGAATATGACACGGACTCAGAAAGCAATTTTTCTGAGCGAAAGGATGATAGTATTACCCCAAGTACTCTTTCTAGATCCGGGCGGGCAATTCGCGCCCATTTTCGCCTGGATTTCTGAGGTACGCTTACAGTAGATATTTCTCATAACCTAATTGAAAAGGAGACAAAAGAACATTCCTTTCCGATCATTTCATCGAAACCAATCGTAATCGATGCATTGTAAAACAAAACATAAAAACCAATATATTGTGCTAAAGGACTCTTCAAAAGTTTGTTGTCTTTCTTACGATCTTCTTTCAAACATTTTGACCGGCTAAGTGCGCACGGGCAAACAGAAGTTTGTGTGCAGAAGAGCTGTAACTTGCTTAAACAACCTGAAAGTCGCTTGGAAGATCTTGAAATTACTTCATTCCAGAGTTGAGAAAAAGCAGTTCTTATTGTATCAATTTTCGAGTTAAAGGCTATATGTGCCATTTTAGCCAAAAATAGGGTCAGAAAGCAGTGATTTTAATGTAGTGAGTTAAAACTCGCCAAGTTAATTATTAACAGTTATTTAACTGACAACTGATAAATGGCCTATAATCTGAGTCATTTAATTGACAACTAATAAATGGCCGAGATTTTAACTGACAACTGTCTTTCTTTCAAAATTGCAATTAGTTTACTACCCTAAGATCTACCCTAATTTTGTCATTTAAAAAACTCAGAAAAATTAAAAAACTCAATCTCCTTTAATGTCATACGTTTGTAAAATCTTTGAATTTCTACGAGTAATAAAGTGTCAGATACGAGTAAGAGTGTGATTATTGGTTAGACTTCCATTTTTCTGCATATAAAACACACGCTACCCAAAATTTCTCTACTCGCTCTGACGAAGGGCTGCCGGTCGAAACGTCAGCTTTAAATATTCTTTACAGTGGCTAATTTACATCATCAACTCAGTTGATGAAACCAAGTTATGTTTCTATATCCCTCGTCGAAGTCCACCAGAACACCTTGATATCGATCCTGGCCTGTCAGGCGTTCTACCTGCTGTACCAGACCCTGCACAGTCGACGTTAAACTGGTTATCTGCTGTGACTGTTCTATATTTTTGGCCACCGATCTTTCTATTTGCTGTGACTGATCTTTAACCTGATTCTGAGTGGTCTCTAGGCTGCTTACAGCTAAGTTCAAGTGGCTCTCCATGTGTGATTCTAAGTGAGATTTGGTCCTTGTTCTTGAAAACTGAAAAAAAGACGATGAGGTCATTAAACTCTTTTAAAACAATCCAACTTTTAACACAGCACGGTTTAATTCGACTGCTACAATTTTTAAACTCTAGAAAATGAAGAAAGTATATATATTTGAAAATTCGTTGTAATTCGTTTTACAACATGATATGGAAATGTAATACACACATACGACTTTCCCGCCAAACCTGCAATTTAATATAAACTGAAAGCTGTTTCATACCGCATTGTGGCATCGTAAGTTCTTGTATTTAAAATCAATTTCAGTTAAAGGACAGTCATCACGAATATGAGCCAAGAGCTAAAACAAAAAGATGAAAAAGAATTAGTCTTGAATGAGCAGCCAGAGAAATCCTCCCACGTGCATTGAGAAGACAAATCACTCAGCGTCTCAAAATGACCCCTTAGATTTCGTAATAGATGAGTAAGGAAACTGAATTTAACGACCAGATTTAAAAATTTTCCATATCAGTCTAAAGTATTTTTTCCTGCAAAGTCTAACGGAGCAAGCTTCCTTGAAGGGATCGTTACGGTATTGTGCTTCCCTATCATGGAGCTACCTAAATAAAACTGAGATCCTGGCAGGCTCACTCATGGCAGAAAATAGCGACCTTAATGTCCGCTGACTGAAGTGAGGAAAATATTCAAAACAGTATTGTACGTTCTTTGAACACTTGAGCACGGGACGCCTCCAATTGCTCACATAAAACAGGACTAAGCCTGTGGTGTTTGATATAAAGCAGTACTATGTCGTATGCGGAGTGTCGGCATGAAATTTCAATTAATCTCAATTACAGAGAATCACTGAGAATATTGAACGGTTACCTTTCCTCGTGGAATATTACTCAGACCACAACTGTTGGTACATTGAACTGGAAACTTTTGACAGACGTTATGATGTTGCTGAAGAAAATCGAAAAGAAGTTTTTACAGCGTAAGTACTTTCAAACTTTCTTGACGGCATGGAGGATTTGAAACAAGATTGAAAGAGAATGAGATCTTGAGCGAGAAAAAAGAAAACAAAAGAAATGCCGTCAGTTTTTACTTGTAGCACAAAAAAAACGGGCAGTATTTAAATGGCTGACAGTATAAAATAAAAGGTAGGTTTCACAAGTCACTGGTGGTCGCAGAACTCTCATGCCTTTACGCAAAGTTCTCAGGCTAAATTTCCATGGCAAGAGCTTTTCTAGCCATGAAAAATACTATATGCCATATGGCATAGGTTTTGTACTCTACTTTTCATATAGACAATTCTCCTTTTCCAGTATTTCTCACAGTGAACCGTTATCAATCGCAGACAATGGCGAGTAGAAGATAATTAAGCGATAGAACGGACTTCCTGTCGGTTTACCGGGGTAACAACCCACCCAGGATGTTAGGAGAACCCGAGATGCGTTTTTCAATGACTTACCTCCGCCAGCTTGTGATTTACAAACTTTCCTGGTGTTCTTTCAACATCCCGAGTAAGTAGTTAAGCTGGTAACCAATAGAAAATGCAGAATATTGCTTCAAAATAAGCTTTAATTTTCAGTAGGTTTGCCCTCAAAGAATCTCGCTCATTTTTTAAAGGCACAAACATGTACATGAACATGAACGTCGAAAAGTGAGGATCGTAAGTCAATTAATACAAAATTCTGCTTTTGTGACAAACAAAAGAGCAACGATGTTTTCTACCCTTATGCAATAAGGGCCACCCATTTGAAGGAAACTGCTTTTCGAGTTGCGCGTTAAAATGCCTACGGATCTGTTCACTGAGAGCAGAACGTGGAATCGCTAGTTTGCGTGACCCACAAGTATGAAGTTATGCGTTATCATTACCTTGTCACGTGAAAGAGGCTGTCTGTCAACTGGACATTTTCGAGAATGGCTCATGAAAGAAGGAAATTTGCAACAGCGACAAACAAACAAATAAATCAGAAAACAAACAAAATATTTAACAATCGTTCAATATGAGTATTATAATTATTTATTATGCTGGCATAATAGACCGGCACGGTTCTATATTTAAAATAATTAAAAAAAAGGTTCTGTATATCCGAGGTGGTTGTCTACGCTTTTTGGCTAGGAACTTAAATCGATAAGGCGAAAGTGAAATCATCTTCTCATGTAAACAAACTTGATTTCAGCGAAGAAGGCATCCGCCTGAATTATTCATTGTTGGAACTTAAGGGATAGGTATAGGTTCCATAGCGTAATTTATGTTTTCTTATCATAGCCGTTTACTTCCGCTTGCAAATACATTTTTTTTATATCAGTAAGGAGGCCTCCCTCGTATAGACTCCGTGGTTTCTGGAGGGCCCTCTTCCATCTGTTGAACTATTGGTTTAAGAATTGTAAACTCAATAATTTTGTGATGTAAACCACGTTTCTCTTTATGAATGTCTTGTCTTGTCTTGTTAACCATCCGCGGAGGGAAAAAAAACGTAGGTAACACAGTTTCACTCCAATCATCTTTTTAAATTTTTGGTAAAACCTGTAGAGAGAAAGCATAGGTAAACAACTTATTTATGCCTCTGTCTCTTTTATCAAGAACTAATCAGATTCATCCGCGTATGGAATTACCATCCGAAACAATTAGGCTACAATATCATCAGTATTCTGTACTTGAGCAACAAGCAAGTCATCAAAGCTGGCACGGTTACTTTCGTTTGATTTCGTAGTCATTCCTGTATACGGAAAGCAAAACAAATATTTTGACAAAATTGTAAGCTAAAATGACTCACGTTTACTTTATTCCAAAACGTCTAGCTTTCTCATGGCTCATAAATACGATTTTGTCTTTAATGCATAAAATGTAATTATAGCGAAATCAAGAAGATATAGAGAAAACAAGTAGTGGGTGGTCTTAATTAATTGTAACCATCAAGTGACCCCACGTTCTCGATCTGGTCACGAGAAAGTTTCACTGCTTAGATATAATCGCAAAACCTCACATAAAACTGGGTATGTGTGTTTTAAACCACATTTTAAAATGTTCACAGAAATACGCGCCGTGATTGGTCAGAACGAGCTCATTATATTTCTATGAAGCACGCGCCTTTAAGTCACACGAGTGCACTGTTGAGATACAATGTACGCAGTCTACGTCATCGGTACGAGCGCGCGCAATTCACGATACATTTTATAAAAAAAAATTTTAAAAATGTTCTTTAAGCACTTGGGTTTTTTTTAACACTTCTCTCGTGTTCTTAAAAATTCCCGGCTGCTTATATAATTCAACAAGGCACTCAGCGCGTTTTTTATTTCTTTAAGAACGCTCAGATGAAAGAAAATCCGGCTGTTTTCTTTTCAACGGTTAGTGGAACATATCAAGTACGAAAATGATTTTTCTTTCTGCCAAGTTGCATGTGATCCCATGCAGATGGTTGATTTTGATCGAGAATACTCTCCACGATGGGAGTCTTTATTTCCAGCTGTCTGATGACAGGTAAACTTTGCTTAGCTTGTCGCAATTGACTTGGATGTTCTGGTTTCTCATGATTTCAGACATATACGCTTATAATTACCGTTCATAATTTGTGATAATTTACTCGCTTATTTATTACTAGGTGTTAGAGCTTGTCTTATGATAAAGCCTAAATGTTTTCTTCTTTTTTTCTTTTTTGAACCAAGTCTTCTAGTTTCAAGTCTAAATTTCCATTCGATTTTGTTGTTGTTGTCGTTATTTTTTTCACAAAAGTACGCTGTTACTGATTTTCTAGCATGCAATAAAAAATAAATTCTATTATCACATAAACTGCGGCGTTATACAAGGATTTCCAGCCCTGAGAAAAGCCGTAACAACACACGTGAAAAAATATCGTATTTTTTCACGTGTGTTGATATAGCTTATCAATAAAGGGCAAAATTACTGAGCGCTGATTGGTTGAGAGAGAGGGCATTTTTTCTTAATCGAGGGCATTTTTAGTAATCAAGAGAGGGCATGATTACCTTGTTCAGTTAAAAGCACTTTGTTGTTTTTCTGTTGGCAGAAACGCTCTGTTGAAATGAGCTTTATTTTCTAGACTTTTGGCAGTGTATCACGACACAGTTTTGGAGAATAAAATTTCATTGAATCGATTGGTCAGTTCAATTTGATTGATGATTTGCCGTAGCGCTAAACAGGCTTCCCAGATAAAAATAGACTGCGCGCGTGATTTTCCTTCGTATAAATTTTGCCCTTTATTGATAAACAAGTAATCCCGTGAGACCTCGTACTATTAAGGATTAATTGCACTTGAGTTTTCAAAATTTTCCAAATTGCCCTCGTCGCTTCGCGACTCGGGCAATTTTGGAAAATTTTGAAAACTCTCGTGCAATTAATCCTTAATAGTACTTGGCCTCATGTGATTACATATACTAATCAGCTGCTTACACGTCACTAGCCTTTGGCGCCACTCGGTCAGGTTGATGAATGAACGGCAAAGCCTTCACGATTCTCAATACAAGTTGTTTGTCGGAGTTTTTCTCGAATTATGGCGGCTAAAACACTAAAAAATCCGTATCGCTGGCAGACAGTGAGGTTCAAACTTAGAAAGGGAAGAAAACCAATATACTAAATGAAAAACCGAAAGTTGTGTATTGAGTAGCTTTGGTGTTAGCATTTCTCTCGTCTGAGAATGAAAATCGACAACTGGAAGATTTGCTACTAGCCGACTTTGGCCGTTTACCTGAAAGACTTCCTCTGTCGGTAAGGACAAATTCAATAAATGAGAATTTTGTAAATTGGAAATTACGACCATTGTTGTTTTTGTAATCATGATTCAACGCATTTTTCCATCTGAAGAGTCAGCGCCAACGCACTCTACGATTATTATTCGAGGATTTCCGATTCATTTATTTTCATTCATTAATGAAGTCGGCTTTTCTTCCCAATAAAGGGCTATTGTGTTTATATGATAAACAAAATAATACATGGTTGCTTGTAGATATGGAATTTCTCTTCTCGTGTTCAACTCGATAGCTCACGAGTTCGCTGCGCTCACTCGTGAGCTATCGAGTTAAACACTCGAAGAGAAATTCCATATCTACGCGCGCCCATGTATTATTCTCTATTTATCTGAATGAGTGTAGATCTGGAAGGACTGCTTTCTTTGAAAGAGACTGACCACTCCACTGATTGCAAAAGTCACCAGCAGAGTCCAGGGAAGAGTTATTTGCCTGAAATATATATTTCTGGCTCGTGGAAACTGATTGGTTAGCCGCCGTGATGTTATTTGTTGTTTGTCAGTTGCTGTTAGTCAGTCCGTGGTGTTTGCGTTCATTTGCTGTTGTTAATGCCGTGAATTAGTTGTCTGTGCCAGTAGCTGCTAACATCTCTTTTCAATAATGAGGTTGTTTTAAGTTGCCGATCGATGAGGAGTCTGTTCTAAGTTACCGATAAGCGCCCATGCTCAAATAAGCGCCCTTCCCCGAGTACGGGCCGAGCCCCCGATGTCATAATACCAAACAAGCACCTTTCTTGAATTAGTACAGCCTTTTCCCTCGCTTTCTCGCATGAGTAAGGATACGAGGAAGACTTGTTTCTATTGCAGCTTTATTTAAAACTTTTTAATCATTAACCACAACCGAATCAGTACAGCAGAATAGTTTCGCCTCCAGTTATTGCTATCTCAATACTGACTTGGCGTCTACGCGGATGTAGACGTTTTTTTCTATTTAAAATATAGCAAAAGAGAAAAGTTACATTTCGTTAAAAGGAAAACTTAATAAGCACTTTCCTCGATTAAGTGCCATCGTCTGTCCTTTTTGCCGACATGTTAAATACGCTGCTCGGACGCCTATTCGAGGAAATACGGTAATACTTAATTGATGTCTTGTCGTGTAATCAGTCCTGAGCAGCCGATATAAACTCAGTCCCAGCATGAAATGCTGAAAGTAAAGCAAGGTGACGCTCGTCAACTGAGGTATGTGTTGAGGCCGAGAATTAAAATTCCCCCCCAGTTTACCCAGTTTACCCAGTTTGTGGCGGTCCTAGCTCTCCAAAATTGCAATTAGTTTACATATAGTATCTACCTTACTATTGTAATTTCAAAAATATCAGAAAAATTATCCGTGCATGACACTTGAAAGACAAAAAAATGAGAAAAGAGAAAAATGATTAAAATATTATCGATTAGCGGGAAAGTTTACTCAATGCTTTCTTGAAGAAACATCTGGATATTTCAAAATCTATAGTATCTACTTCAATAACATGTTTATAAAATCTTTGAAATTCTTCGAGCCTTAAGACACGCCTGTTAACTTCTATTGAATCTAAAAACAGACGGTAGACCAAGGAGTAGTTGCTGTGATGGGTCGACGAAATCTTCTTTGAGCAGTGGACGAACATCTCAAGATGGTAGACAGAGACTGTTCTAAATTTTCTTTCACATTGGAAGCAAAGAAACAGGAACCATATTACTGGTGTCGTCATCTGTAACACTCAATAACGTCACCAAGCACGGTGAAGTAGCCTCTACCAGGTGCACTGAGGGTTAATAAAACAGACAAAAAAGATTCTTTATCATTTTTAAAGAAACCAACCGAAAACAGATGTGTATGTGTAAATGGAAACGTCAAAGAATTAATCTCCTGCTTATTTGACGCCATCGATGTCACATGGCTTATACATCGAATAAGAATTTCTGGGTTACAAAAACTATCTTAAGCGGAAGACACATTACCCACCAGCTAAAGTATCTTTTTCCGTCATATGTTCCGTCGTACCTAAAGGAAAACCACGGTAACAAGTTCTCTGAATAAAGAGAAAAAAACTTTCAGTTATCTAAAGTAAGAGAAAATCAATACAAAACGCGAGCCTCATTTACTACTAAAAAACACGCTAGCAAGTTGTTTTAATCTAAATGCAGGTTTAGTTTTATAATGAATGATGGGAGAACATTTTCCCACAAAACTTCATCATAAAAGGATAACGTTTCGATCTTAGGGTGGATTATCTTTTGGTAATAAACTTCAGTGAGTACTCTCGTTCTATAATCTTCAGAATATATTTCCATGATGCCTATCAATGTTAGTGCTTTAAGACAGCTCCCTAGACAGTGCGTATAAAATAGCTCTTCTGAACGAAAGATTCTTGATCCTTACACCTACAGCAGGCGATGTACAGTCTTTTTTAGAAGTTTCAAGTTCACGAGCTTATTCAATTTTACCATGAGCAATTACTCTCACGTAATGTTATTAGTTCATTTCAATATTCATATTACCTTGACCTGGATCTTATTCTACGCCGAGCCAATCTTGAAATGCACCGACAGGTCCGACGTACCTGACTGTTCCTCGATAATTCCCTTTCAATCCAAACAATACCTTCATACCAACTTCAATATCATTGATTGATTTAGGCTTGAAGCCCTGTTTCATAGTATAACCTGTAATATATAACAAAAGCAATAGATAATTAAAACGACTAAATACATCAATTCGACTTCATTGATGTTTTTAGTTCATCAAAGGCTAACATAACCAAGTAGTTTTACTCGGAGTTCAAATGACTTAGTTCTGCGTAATAGCTTATGAGCAAAACTACAAACCAGTAACCTCGTCTCCCCTCCCCCCCCCCCCCCCCCCCCCCCTCCCCCAAAAAAATCCTATTAAATACAAACTTGCGGGTTATAAATGTGTCAGATTCAAGTGAGAGTATGATTATTAGTGAGACTACCATTTCATTTGCATATAAAACACACACAACCCAAAATTTCTTTATTCGCTCTGACGAAGGGCTGCCGGTCAAAACGCCAGCTTTAGAAATTCTTTACGGTGACCAATTTACATCACCAACTCAGCTGATAAAACCAAGTTATCTCATTATATCCCCATCGACGCAGCGCCACAGTTTCTATAGAAACTTACCCTCTTTAACCTTGACACTAGTTGCCCCTATCTTGTTTGTCTCGTCATTGGTTTGGTTGGTCGTTTTGTCCACCAGCACAGCCTGGCCTGTCAGGCGTTCTAACTGCTGCACCAGACCCCGCACAGTGGACGTTAAACTGGTTATCTGCTGTGACTGTTCTATATTTTTGGCCATCAATATTTCTATCTGCTGTGACTGACCATTCAGCTGCTGTGACTGATCATTGAATATGGATGTCAATCGCTCAATCTGCTTTGATTGATCTTTAACCTGATTCTGAGTGGTCTCAAGGCCGCAGAGAGCTAAGTTCTAGTGGCTTCCCGTGTGTGATTTTAAGTGAGATTTTGTCCTTGTTCTTGGAAACTGAAAAAAAGACGACGAGGTTATTAAACTCTCTTAAAACAATCCTAACATTCAATTTTTGTCAATTATTGATCTGGTTGGTCCTTCCAGCAATACACAGCCTAATTCAACTACCGCACAGGTTATTAGGAATTTTCTAAACTCTACAAAATGAAAAAATGTATATGTATTTGACAATCTGTTGTAATTCGTTTTATTATATGTAAATACAATACAAACAGACGACCTTCCCGTCAAACCTGCAATTCAATATAAACTGAAATCTGTTTCATACCGCATTTTGGCATCCTAAGTTCTTGTATTTACAATCAATTTCAGTTAAAGGACATCTATCACGAAGATGAGCCAAGAGCTAAAACAAAAAGATGAAGAAGATTTAATCTAGAGTGAGCAGCCAGAGAAATCCTCCCTCGTGCATGGCAAAAACGAATCATTCGGCGTCTCAAAATTATTCTTTACACTTCATAATTTATGAATCAGGAAACTGAATTCAGAGAAAGAATTTTAAAATGTTCCCTTTTAGTCTAAGGCATTTCCCCTACAAAGTTTAAAAGAGCAAACCTCCTTGAAGGGATCGTTACGGTGTTATGGATTGTTTCCCTATCATGGAGCTACCTAGATTAATTTCTGGCAGGCTGACTCATGGCAGAAAATAACGACTTTAATGTCCTCTGACTGAAGTCAGGAAAATATTCACAACAAGGTTGCATGTTCTTTGACCAATTGCGCATGGAACGCCTTCAAATTGCTCACATAAAACAGGACTAAGCCTGGTTGTTTCACATAAAGCAGCACTATGTCCCATGCGGGCTGTGTGCATGAACTTCTAATTAAACTCTCGTTAAAATTACAGAGAATCACTGACAATATTAAATGTTACCTTTTCTCGTGGAATATTTCTCAGACCACAATTGTTGGTACATTGAACCGGAAACTTTTGACAGACGTTATGATGTTGCTGAAGAAAATCGAAAATAAGTTTTTATAGCTTAGGTACTTTTCAAAATTCGCCCCGTATTACCAAAATTATGACCAATAAAGACAGGCTGTTGTACTAACGAAATTTATGTAGTAAAATACTCTTATTTTTATCCGTAAGGGATTGAAGTGTTCGAACCCAACATTTAAGCTCAACTTTTGTTCGATGTTTCTGTGAAACAATTTTATATCGAATAAGAGAAGATACCTAGAGCACATCATAATATTGATTTGATAAAGATTGAAAGTCGTCACCACTTTACCACTTAAGATGAAAAGCAAAAGCTATGTAAAGAATATATTTTTGTTATCAAACCTGTTTGTTTTTCACGATAAATGATACTCGACAATACTCGCAACTAACTTCCCTCCAGACACATTCCGTTATCTTGTGATTGTTTACATCTCGCCTGGTGACCTTTTCTTCACATCCTTCATTTGGACACTCCACCATTTCGAACAGGCATTCTAACTGATGTTCCTTAGATCATAATATATCGATAATAAACTGCAATGTAATCATGATCTAATCTACTAAGACATACAATAGGCTAAAGAAAGAGAGACTTGATTGACAGCAAAACAATCGGTTAACTGACGGTTTAGGATCTCAGAAAAGAAATGTGAAATTGATGTGTGACTTGTTGATAATAATGATATCATGCCGCACGCAAACTGCCAACCATGACACCGCAGATTGCAAACACTAAAACAGTTTTTGTGTTGGCAACATCGTTGTCCAGTCCAGACAGTTACTAGAGTGTATTATGCAAGAAACTGTTGAGTTGAGCTCCACAAATTACCCCTATCTACTTCGTATAACATCTTATCTTGATGATTAAGAGTAGCAGGAATAAGAGCAACGCTTGCTTATTATTTAGGAGACAAATTACAATGTTTAGGAGATTTTTAATTTTTGGGATTAACTGCAAATGAAGTGACGGGGAACGCCCTTTCTGTGGATCTGACGTAGATATATTACCTGCACAGCTCGAAGTTCTCCCGTCCAAGGACACCCAACATGAGAACATTTCACCTTGAGATCCAAAATTTGGCGACAAAAAGCGACATCTGGAAATATCTGACAACCCAGACACAGGCATATTCACGGTCAATACATTCTAATCAGGTATCAGGTTACACTGATGTCAACATAATTATGTTCAATTACCATCTTTACACACTTTAACGACGGCATGGAGGACTTGAAACAAGATAGAAGGAGATAAAATTCCGTCAGTTTTTGCTCGTAACACAAAAAGAACGGGCAGCGTTTAAATGGACTGGCATATTAAAGGAAAACTGACGCCAAATTTTTCTCCTTTTTTTTTGTCCCAATACATTCCTCTTAGGTTAAAGAATCCTAAATGAACAAATTAACGATATATTATGCAAAAACAAATTTTCTTTTTTGACGCTTATTTGACGACCATTTTGAAAACGGTCCGATTCAGGTCACGTGGTGTGATACCTCACCTCACCTTACGAGCGGAAAAAAGTGAGATTTGTTCCATTCTGTTATGGGCCACCGTTTAGAGACTACGAAATACGAAATAAGAAATAAAATAACGAAGGCTAGATAATCGAAACGCGACGGATCGCATGTCTATATTCAGAGCCACAGGCAATTTGCACGCCATTCCAAAAAGCTGTAAAAAAATATATGTTCCCACAATTTTTTCCTCTTAACCATCATCGAGTCCTATACTAAAAGAAGTATTTTGTGAAAAGTATTTGACATTAGATTTTTTCCGGCGTATATCACCTCAGGCCCATTGGTTCTTGACTGGGCGCGTCTAAACGCAAATTAAAGCGCTGTCGCGTATTATGGGAGGTCGTCATCTGGTTTCGTGAACAAAACTCCTCTTCCACGTTCCGGAAATTTACAAGATCTGTCATTTTTATTTTTTTTAACTGAGACTAGTGAGCAGCACAAAGGAAGACTTCCTACTGTTGTAACTTTTTGTTTATTTCTTTCGATGCGTTACGTCTCTAACTGAGAGTTCTCCAGGAATGGCTACAACTACCATTGAGCAGCATATACAGCACATTCGTATGCCTAAGTGTAATTAACTTCCAATGGAAGTGAATAATAACAGAAACATGCTGTAAATGGATGTTACAAGAAACGCCTTGTTATGAGCGCCACACTTTAGCATTGTTTCTCATTTGCTACCGGAAACATGATCAAATCAATCCTGTCCGAAAGGTTACTCGTTTCAAAAAAGTACCAATGTCAGCTGAGTGAACAGTAAATTGCTCGCGCTCGTTTATCGTAAATAAAACAAGCCGACAGCCTGAGAGAGGAAATTACTTAAGCACATGTCATGGGACTTCCACCACCCACCCACCGTTTAAAAGGCAGTGCTTTGGTAAAAAAAAGGAACCGAGTCCGCGACAAACTCGTGCCACGGAAATAACAAACACGTAGTGTTTCTAAAATTGCGACCTTAAGCTTAAAAAAATATATATGTGTATATATATATATCTATATATGTTCACGCTCAAGTTATCCAAAACTGTACTGCTCTTAGCCGCGTTGACATTTACAATGTGGACGGAAAATAACAGGATGTAAAACAAAGAAAACGAAAACCAGGGAGGTGCTGCATGTGTAGTGATGTTCTGTAACAAAACAAATGCAGACAGAGTCAGCCTTCACCAGTTTCCTCAAACGCTGGATGCTGGACAATACATTTGGCTTTTGCCTGCAACTGTTCCACCGCCGGTAACATCCTCCAAATTTTTATTTTTGACGACATCTACTTCCTGGCAAAAGATGTTTCCTTCCTCCCTCCACATTGATTGCCAATTTCTACACTGACACCTTGTAATGAAAAAATCAGTAAAGTAGCAATTTCTTTCACGATGTTGAATAGAAGGAATAGAGAATACAACTTGTATGATTGATTTCACTAAAAGAAACAGTTATCAGCTCTGTAACTGTCACAAACGTGAGAGATAACTCAAACTTTAGCCTAATTTACTTTATTTACAATTCTACATGTGCGAATGCTATTTTTTGCTGCATCGTTTTAAAATAAAAGCCGAGAAATCTTCAATCGTTAGCCAAATTCAACACAGGAAAACTCCGAACCGATTCTATCGCGTGTGAACGTGTATAATCCACCAAATTCACCTCAACAAGCATGTATGTTTATATTTTCAGTCAATGAAACCCTAGCTTGGGAAGGTGCGTCCGTGTAGCATAAAAACATTTCACTCCCATGGTATTCAAGAGTCTGCACATTTGGTTTTCTTTACTTGATCGCTCCTACACTTAATAAGCGACTGATTTTTCGATACTTTATTTACAATCGTAAACGCACTCACCGTTCTCGCTCTCTTGATTGAGGCAGCCGCGACGCACGGGCTCTTGATCCTCTTCTGACTCTCGCGCTCTATTTTAGGTTACGTTCTTCACGAACAGATTCATAAACCCTTTCATTATGTTGGCCTTCCACCGAGGCCTCAAAATTCGAACAATCAGACCCCGAAATAGAACTGCCTTCACTCGAAGTGCTATCCGCCATATTTACTTTGCCTAATTAGCACACGTGTGACATGTAATGTCACATGATCAAAATCGAAGCGTTTACGTCGGATGACTCACGAAGCTGCATTTAGAACAGTTTTCCCGGCGAAAAAAGGCACAAAGAGGCATTCGAAGCACCTTGTATCTGTTTCAATGTGTTACCCGAGGCATTTAGACGGTATTCCGAAAAAGTGACCTGTTAGCCGTTAGTTACCCTTTAAAATATAATTATAGTACAGTATTACAAGATGGGTTTCACAAGATCGCAGAATTCTCCAGCTTCTACGCAAAATTGTAGGGCTAACTTGAGGTAATAATGCTTGACAAGCCATTTCTGTGCGTGTCGTAAAGAGTGCGAGATGCACTCAATCTTACTTGACATATGCAATTCTCTGCGTACCGTGGAGAGTACGAGTGTTGTAGTCAATCTCAATGGAAATGTGCGTATCTGTGCGTGCCGAACAGAGTACAAGACTTGAAGTCTACCTTACTTAACATGTACGTTTTGTGTACGTGCCGAATAGAGCACAACACTTGTGGTCAATCTTGCTTGACATGTGTGTTTCTGTGCTTGCTGAATAAAGCGTAAATTTTGAGGCAATGACACTTGACATATGCGTTTTTCTAAGAGTGCTTAAAGAGAGTGCGAGACTTGAAGTCAATTTTATTCGACATAGGCATTTTCTGAGCGGGCCGAATAGAGTGGGAGAGTTGAAATCAACTTATTTGACATGTGCGTTTTCTGTGCGTGCCAAATAATGTGCGAAACTTGAGGCAAACTTACTTGACATGTGTGTTTTCTGAGCGTACGGAATAGAATGCAAGACTTGAAATCGATCTTACTTCACATGTACGTTTTCTGTGCTTGTTGAATAGATTACGGAATCAGTAGTTAGTTCTAATAACTGAAGGGTGTGGTGCGAGTTTTTCTTCAAACACCGAAACCAACTCTTTTGGAAGAGCAACTCTGATAAGCTCAGATATAGAGCAAACCAAGACTTGGAAGAAAGGATTCGATGTTACTTGGAATACAAAACAAAGATTTGGTGTTGACTGCAACCCGAACTTAGTCTTAGTAACGCATTGTTAACGTGCGAAGAATTTAGTGTGATCACCTTTCATTACGTAACGTTATGTAACTAGCAGTAAAATATAATCAGTTGTCCATGTTTCTTAGGTTAGGTTAAGTTAAGTCATTCGTTTTCTGTCCAAAAGGTTGTTCTTTGCCTATACGCAACAAAAGAGCGGTAAGGATGTGTGTACGCCAGATCGAGAGAGATCGAACTTATGGTTAAACCGATCATTTTCCTTTTACAGATATATTTTGAAAGTACTCGCCGAGGAAGCGATAAAGTTCCTATTCATGGAACGGGAAAGCTGTGACTATGATATGGTTATGGGGAAAGCGCTACGTGAGGACAAGGCGTTAAACACCGTTTATTTCGAAAAAGTAGAATGAGCTGCTTCCAAAATTAAAACATTCATCTGTGGCAGTTAAAGTTCCGTACCCGTTTTGACAAAAAATATGCGAAGAGGATCGCCGCAAATAACCGACGGGATTCTTATTATATCTATATAGCTCAAGTCAGTCCCATGCGGGGAAAGATATGAATTACTGTTGCGTTGAAAAGTCATCAGAATCCTGATGTCGTACTGTGTTAAACAAAATGAAATTGTTGGCAGATTTCTTTTAGGTTCGCAAGTAGTTTCTTTATCAGCTATCAAATTCTTCACCTATTCAAACATTTGTCAACTTTGGTGAATATTACTATGTTATCTTTGTATTATCTCTCCCTTGAAAGCTTATTTCGATTACATTACAAAGCCATTTGTTACAATAAGTAACATTGTCATTATAGGACCTTATTGTTGTCCTTATACTCTTGGGAAAATTGTCGCTACCGAAAGTTAAATAAAGCTAATGGAGTATTGGTAAAACAGGGTAAGAATTAGGAGACCCGTGGTACTATTTCTTTCAAGTTGTGGATCAATTCAGGATACCGCTGAAGAAACCAACGTGGAAATGTCAAAGACAATTCTCAAAGAAAAATTTCAATCCTAGCAGTGGAGTACAGTACACTGAAAACCAAAGGGATTGATTGCGTGCATGAGCGCCTAATAGGCAGCACTTGCATTGCTCTGCTTATATTTTATATTTTGTTCTTAATTCTTAACTCTTCAACGGTCGCAACTCACTTGGCAGCTTTGGTATGGCCCTGAGATACACAAGATCATTTTTGACGACTATTTCATAATCATTCCTCGTGCTTCAGCCGCGTTGCCGTTCTGATCTATCTTGGAACGCGCATATCACAGAAGTGATAAAAAAGGAAGCTAAGAGGCTCTATTTTCTCATCCAGCTTAAAAGAGCCCACGCTTCTCAGAAAGATCTTTGTCTTTTTTACAGCACATGTGTGCACTCCGTTATCGATTATGCTGTACCTGTGTTTCATTATGCTCTGCCTGCCTAATTAATGCAAGAACAAGGGCGCGTCCAGAAAAGGGCAATGCGAATCATCTACCTTGGCATGGAATAGCAGCACGCGTTAGCGCTAACGAACCTACCATCCGTAGCAGAGGATCACAGTGATATTTACAAGCGTACGTTTGAAAGTATTTTCAATGACAGCGGCCATAAACTCAGGAAATTACTGACGCCCCTACATGAGAGCAAGTAAAATCTTAGGCACGCACGATCCTTCATACCGCGCTGTAAAACAAACAGATTTAAGAAAAGTTTTATTATGGCTTCATGCGCCCTAGGGAATACTGTTTAAATTATTAGACTTTCAACAATATGATTTCAATACGATGCTGATAGTTTTTAAATTTTTTTAGATATTACTATCATTAGCTCTTATCATTAGGTACTATTCAATTTGTAAGTTTGTACATTCAATTAGAATTTTAATAAAAATACGTAATTTAGCTCTTAGAGCTGCGATGTATTTCAATAAAGAATCTATCTATCTTAAAAAACTTAATTTACGCAACGTTACACTTGGGGATGTAAGCGTCTTGTGAGCTGTTTTGACTTACTGTAAAACGAGTAGCCTAAAGGTTAGACAAGAATTCAGCGCCAAACAAACTCTCACCGAAAGGACAGCATATACAGCGAGAGCAATTCCACGAAGCCGTATCATGCGTGACAAATATTGCATGGCTTCAATTGCATAATCAGTTATAATTTATGCGTCGTGCACGTCGGCACGTTGCTCCATTCGACATTTTACAGGCCACCCATTTCACTGAGACTGCGTTTCGAGTTTTGAGTTGAAATACGTAAAGATCAGTTCCCCGCGAGCTGAACGTGGAATCGCTAGTTTGCGTGACCAACAATTATGAAGACATGCTTTATCATTACCTTGTCACGTGAAAGAGGCTGTCTGCAGCAACAGACAAACAAAAAATCAGAAAACAAACAAAATCTTTAAAAAATCGTTCATCGCGTATATTATTTACTTGCAAGTCTTGGCGTTTTTCAACCCTTGGTCATACCCTGCTGTGTAAGGAAACATAATGGTGGAACTGCTGCATATAATTAACATTTGCATTTGAAAGACAAATTATAATAAGTTTAAGTCGATTCGTGTTTAACAAAGTAAACGAAAAAGATCATATTATTCGATGACTCTGTTAGATGCACTTGTGCTGAGGCAATCGAAGTCACCTAAAAGGCAGCCAACAACTATTTGATGAAATATTTGTCGCACTCTTAAGTACTCACACCAAACTCGAACCTGTTTGAATTGTTTTGTACCGGATAAAGCTATCTAGCAGTTACTTATATATGGCTGAGGCACACAATAATTCCCTTGGAAAGTGAATCAACCAGTCAATATCGTCGTTCAACTTAGGTGATTGTAACTAATGCTGATTCTTTTCAGTTGTAACTTGATTCAACAAACAATGATCCGCCCTTACCTAAACAAGCTCTCCAAACAAATGTTACAAAGTCTATGGCCACATCCTCCAATCTGTATGGGATCTTTCATTGTTAGCTGACACACAGGGCATTCAAAATCTTTGAGAACTACACTAATAAACTCAAAATCATAGCCTCCAAGCTCTGGAATATTCCGCTCAGCCGCCATTGTGAGTTCGGTTTAGAACGAAAGCGGAAGAGATAATCGGTCTTGCGCGACGACAAGGGAAACTAGTTCCCAGACTCTCTAAGACTTAAACTAAGCCCTCTGATTCAAGAACTGGGAAAAATCCCAACATATAAACAATGTTGTGAGACAAAAATTGCGTTAAAAAATCAGTGTACTACAACAGAGGCGGGGGGAATGGAGAGCAACGTACAAAACCAATCTGTACCAACTGGGCAGCGTGCAGAATCGAGGGGAAACAAGAAATTAGAATTTTCTAAAAGAACTATTTCATGAAATGCATAGAATACTAACCCCGGGGTAGAGTACTGAATACCCTAGAGAAAAGTGTGCAATATCCACAGCTAAAAAAGCTTCTAAAGATCTGCAAGAGCGCTGCGAGGATTAAAAGTAAGTGGATTTGTGACAGGAATTTAGAAAAAATTAATGGATAAGTCCTGTCTGGTGTGTTGGTATGACTCTGGGCGAGGCGCTCTTTCCTCCCCCCTCCCCAGTCATAAAAGATTCTGAAGAGTATTTAGATGTTAAGGTCTGTTTACGCACTGCTATTCTGAAGGGTGTAAGCGAAAAGAACTTTTTGAGTTGAATTATTTGCTCATATAGCGAACATGCCACGCAGGAAAACACTCGATAGCAGGATAAGTGTCATAAGTATTGTCGTAGTCATATTGAGTAGAGTTGAATTCTCCAAAGACAGATTCCAGTGTAATTCCTGAATACATCAATAATAGCCTTTGAATCATACTTGCTTCCCAGGCAGAAAAGTAGCCACAAATATCATGAATAAACAATACTAAACTCCAACTTATATACTGTTATAAAATTCCCTTTCCTTTGCTTTTGCACCTGACAGCTTTAAAAAGAAACTAATTTCTTGACAGCATTTAGTTTTAATTGTGTTCTTTACTGCTTACCTCACTTCAGCAACGAAGAATCGAGTTCAGAGATGAATGTACGTTAACCAATGTCCCTGTAAGTTGCCCAACAAAGAAAATTGATGAAGATTGTCCGTTATGAGTAAACAACGCCTCCACTAAGCCGTGGGGCAAACAGTAAGCGAATATAACCAACTGCAGCCTCAGTGCACTTGCCACTGCTTTCCTGTATCGCGGCATGTTCGGTGGAGTTTCATGAGGAGTTGTTTGGTTATGTTAATCATATTGTGAATGAAGTAATGTCTGTACATGCGTTTGATGATGACGAAGAGTGAAGAAGATAAGAAGAAAAACAGAAAACGGATATCGATATGCAAAAAAGGAATCACTACATAGCTGCACCATAATGAGCTGAAAAAATTCTTAAAAATATATTGCAGCATTAAGAAAGCATACGAACCAAACTACAACTGTGCGCTTTCAAGTTAAAAACTAGCTCGTATTTTTTCCCAAATAATTGGGCATTAAGTCTGTCCACGCTGATTGAAGTCATCGTCACAAGCGACACCGAACTCAGATTATACCCTACCACGAAACTTGACATCAGTGAGATGCGGCAAATATCCCGTTATTCGTTTACCGCCGACAAACTCTGAGAAACAGCTACAGGTTGTGCTACCAGTCCAACGTAAAGATTTGAGAGGCTACGGAGCAGTATTTTGGACGGCGGATGAAGGGAAGATTCTCTGAGAAGAGCGACAAGGATCAGCGAATTCAACAGAGTTGCAGTAAATGACAACGGAATGTTGAAGACCGACAGAAATATCAGATGTTATTGTATTTCACCAATGATATCTGCTGAGCACAACAGGTCCAGTGCTTTTTGATGGTCCTGTGCGAAATTATGGTTTTCTTGTTTCCATTTTTTTTTCTTAAAGTATAAACTATTCGTATTAGCCAATTTCACGTAAGTCGTCAAACACGCATTAGAGGCAATCATATCATTCATATTTCCACTGATAATACGTAATCTTCCCCTTTACGACTTCAGCAGGTTAATAGCAAATCATTTCCACTCAGTTTGCCGTTATCATATATTGACAAGCAGGTGGCTTTTAAGATGACTAAGCGTTTCCTAAAGATGATGTTTCTTCGGTATGTTTAATTATCGATTCATTTAAACCAAATAATTTTTTTTAAAAAATTAATGTGAAGCACAGCCACGGTTCTATATCTTTAAATATAAAAAAAAATCTGTATTTCCGAGATGGTTAACTACGCTGTTAATATAGGGGCTTAAATCAATAACGCAAAAGTAAAATTATTACCTTCCTATGTTAACAAAACTTAGTTCGGCGAAGAGGGCATCCGCTTGAAATATTCATTTTTGGAACTTAAGGGATAAGGTTGTAGTTCCATCGCATCATTAATATTTTCCTATCATAGCCACGTACATATGTAACACAGTTTTTACTCCAACTGCCCTTTTTTAATTTTTTCCCTTAATCCTAATAATGATTACTTGCAATTGCGCCTAACGTTTTGTTGAGAAGAGCTTTTCACGAACATGACTAAAGAAGGGAAGAAATGAGCGAAACACTTCGCACGTAAACGGTATTGAAATTTGTGCATGGTAAAACCCGTAAAGAGAGATCATAAGTAAATAACTTTAGCCTTACCGTTTTCCTCTTTTTTGTTTTTTTGAACCAGGTCTTCTAGTTTAAAGTCTACATCTATTTTAGATTTTTGTTTTGTTTTTTTGTTTTGTTTGTTTTGTTGTTGGTTTTTTTTTTTTATCGTCTGAATGAGAGTAGATCATTTGAGTATTTGAGTAGATCTTCTTTGAAAGAGACTGACCACTCCACTTATAGCGGAAGTCACCAGCAGAGTCTAGGGAAGAGTTATTTGCCTGAAATGTACATTTCTGGCTCGTGGAAACTGATTGGTCAGCCGCTGTGATGTTATTTGGTGTTTGTAAGTTGCTCTTAGTCAGTCCTCGGTATTTGCGTTCTTCGTTGTTGTTATTGTCGTGAATGAGTTGTCTGTGCCAGTAGCTGCTTATATCTCTTTCAATAAGGATTCTAAGTTATCGGTAAGCGCCCATGCTCTAATAAGCGCCCTCCCCTGAGTATATAACGTTTTAAACGTTAACTACAACCGAATCAGTTATCGCTATCTCCATACTGACTTGACGTCTACGTGGATGTTGCATCTTTTGTTTTTTCTATTTAAAATATAGCCAAAATAAAGTTACAGTTCGTCAAAAGAAAAACCCTATAGACACCTTCCTAGATAAAGCGCGCCATCCTTCGTCCTTTTTGCCGATATTTTGAATACTTCGCCGGGCGCTTATACGAGGAAATACAGTAATACGGTTACCTAATTGATATCTTGTCGCGTTATAAATCCTGAGTAGCTGTTATAAACTCAGGTAATTTAGTGTTAACAACTGAGTTGAAATCGTAAATTAGCTACCGTTAAGGGTAAGAAAGCTGACGTTTCGAGCGTTAGCGCTTCGCCTACCTGCTATACTCTCCCACCGACGCAAAACCCAGTTTCTTCAGAAACTTGCTCCCTTTATTCATTTGTTATAAACTCAGTCCAAGCATAAAATGCTGAAAGTGATGCAAGGCGACGCTCGTCTACTGAGGCATGTGTTGAGGCCGAGAACTAAGAATTCCCCTCAGTTTGCCCGGTTTGTGGCGGTCCTGGCTTTTCAAAATTGTAATTAATTTACATAGTACCTACCTTAATTAAGTAGTTTCAAAAAACTCAGAAAATTCTCCGTAGTGACACTTGAAAGACAAAAAAAAAAATAAGAACAGAGAAAAATTATTAAAAAATTATCGATTATATCTACTTTATAATACGTTTGTAAAATATTTGAAAATCTACGAGCCTGAAGTCAAGCCTGTTAACTTCTATTGACTTTACAAACAGACGGTAGACCGAGGAGTAGTTATTGTAATTGGTCGACGAAATCTTCTTTGAGTATTGAACGATCATCTCAAGATGGTAACCAGAGACTGTTCTGAGTTTTCTTCTTCTTTCACATTGGAAGCAAAGAAACAGCAGCCACATAACTGTTATCGTCATCTGTAACACTCAATAACGTTACCAAACGTGGTGAAGCAGCCTCTACGAGGTGCACTGAGGTTTAATACAACAAGCAAAAAAAGATTCTTTATCATTTTTAACGTAACCAGCCGAAAACAGATGTGCATGAGTAAATAGAGACGTTACAGAATTAATTCCGTCCTTGTCTATATGTTAAACGCCATCGATGTCAAGTGACGTATACATCGAATAAGAATTTCTGGGTTGAAAAATTATCTTAAGCGGGAGACATAACATTACCTACCAGGTAAAGATTCTTTTTCCGTCAAATGTCCCGTTGTGCCGCCGGTAAAAGTCCGGTAACGATCGCTCTACATAAAAAAAAAATTCAGCCATCTAAAGTACGAGAAAATTAATATAAAGGCGAGCCTGATTTATTGCTAAAAAACACGTGAAAAAGTTGTTTTAATCTAAATGCAGGTTTGGTTTTAAAATGAATGAGGGGAGAACCTTTTCTCACAAAACATGAAACAACATGAAAGGACAACGTTTCGGTCTTGGGGCGGATTATCTCGGTATTAAATTTCAATGAGCACCCTCGTTTTATTACCTTCATAATACATTTCCATGATGCCTATCAATGTTAGTGCTTTAGGAAAGCTCCCTAGACAGTGCGTATGAAATAGCTCTTCCGAACGATAGATACTTACACTTACAGCAGTGGATGTACAGTCTTTTTAAAAGTTTCAAGTTCACGAACTTATTCACTTTTACCTTGAGCAATTACTCTCACGTAATTTTATTAGTTCATTTTAATCATCATATTACCTTGATCTGGATCTAACTCTACGCTGAGCCAATCTCTAGATCCATGGCCAGCAACAGGTCCAACGTACTTGACTGTTCCTCGACGTTTCCCAAAAAGACTAAACAAGACCTTCATACCTACTTCAATATCATTGATTAATTTAGGCTTGAAGCCCTGTTTCATAGTACCACCTGTAATAAATAAAAAACAGTAGATAATTAAGACGACCATCATACTAAATACATTACGATCATCAATCAGACTTCATTGATGTTTTTAGAACAGAAAAGAACCTAGCTCTGCGTAACATAGGCTTATCAATACACCAGTACCCCCCCCCGCCCTTAAAAAAAAAGAGATTCCTATTCAATAATAACTTGCGGGAAATGATGTGTCAGATACGAGTAAGAGTGTGATTATTGGTAAGACTACTATTTTTCTGCATATAAAACAAGCAAACCCAAAATTTCTATGTTCGCTCTAACGAAGGGCTGCCGGTCGAAACGTCAGCTTTAGAAATTCTTTATGGTGAACAATTTACATCATCAACTCAGTTGATAAAACCAAGTTATCCTATTATACCCCCCATTGAAGCAGCACCTCAATTTCTATAGAGACATACCCTCTTTAACATTGGCATTGGTTGTCCCTTTCACGTTTGTCTGGTCCTTGGTTTGGTCGGTCGTTTTGTCCATTAGCACAGCTTGATATCGATCCTGGCCTGTCAGGCGTTCTACCTGCTGCACCAGACCCTGCACAGTGGATGTTAAACTGGCTATCTGCTGTGACTGGTCATTCAGAGAGGACATCAATCGCTCATTTTTTTGAGAATAATTCATATCTTTATCTGCTTTATATAACATCTTATCTTGTTGCCTCGATGGTTAAGAGTAGCAGGAATAAGCGCAACGCTTGCTAATTGTTTAGGAGACAAATTATAATGTTCGAGAGATTTTTTAATTTTTTTGGGACTAACTGAAGTGATGGAGAACGCCCTTACAGTGGATATGACGTAGATATATTACCTGCACAGCTCGGAGTTCTCCTGTCCAAGGACACCCAACATAAGAACATTTCACCTTGAGATCCAGAATTTTGCGACGACAAGCGATATCTGGAAGTATCTGACAACCCAGACACAGACATTAGTCATATTCATGGTCAGTAGATTCTAATCAGGTATCAGGTTACACGGATTTCAAGATAATTATGTTCAATTACGATCTTTACACTCTTTAATAACGGCATGGAGGACTTGAATCAAGATAGAAAGAGAATGAGATCTTGAGCGAGAAAAAAGAAAACGAAAGAAATGCGGTCAGTTTTTGCTAGCAGCATAAAAAGGACGGGCAGTATTTAAATGGCTGACAGTATTAAAATAAAAGGTCGGTTTCACAAGTCACCGGTGATCGCAGAACTCTCAAGCCTTTACGCAAAATTCTCAGGCTAAATCTCCACGGCTAGAGCTTCTTTCCTATTCAATCCTCTGGCATATGTTTTGTACTCTACTTGTCATGAAGACAATTCTCCTTTTCCAGCATTTCTCGCAGTGAACCGTGATCAATCACAGACAATGGTAAGAAGAAAATAATTAAGCGATGGAACGCACTTTCTATCGACTTACCGGCGAAATAACCCACCCAGGATGTTGGAAGAACCTGAGAAACGTTTGTCAATCGCTTGCCTCTACCAGCTCGTGATTTACAAACTTTCCTCGTGTTCTTTCAACATCCCAAGTAAGTTGTTAAGGTGGTAAACCAACGTTCTTTCAACATCCCAAGTAAGTTGTTAAGGTGGTAAACCAACAGAAAATGCAGACTATTGCTTCAAAATAAACTTTAATTTTCGGTGGGTTTGCCCTCAAAGAATTTCGCTTATTTTATAAAGATACAAACATATATATGAACATGAACGTCAAAAAGTGAGGATCCTATGTCAATTAAAACAAAATTCTGCGTTTGTGACAAACGAAACAACGCAACAATTTTTTCTACCGTTATGCCTGACATGTTTTGTTTTGACCTCGTTTTGCAATAAGGGCCACCTATTTTAAGGAAACTGCGTTTCGAGTTGTGCGTTAAAATGCCTACGGATCTGTTCACTGAGAGCAGAACGTGGAATCTTAGTTTGCGTAACCCACAAGTATGAAGTTATGCGTTACCATTACCTTGTCACGTGAAAGAGGCTGTCTGTCAACTGGACATTTTGGAGAATGGCTCCTGAAAGAAGGAAATTTGCAACAGCAGACAAACAAAAAAATAAAAAAACAAATGAAATATTAACAATCGTTCATCATGTGTATTATAATTATTTACTTTCAAGTCTTGGCGTTTTTCATCGCTGGGCCATATTCTGTTGCGTGAGGAACCATAATGGTGGACTTGCTGCATGTAATTAACATTTGCATTTAAAAGACAAATTATGATTAGTTTCAGTCGATTCATGTTTAACAAAGTAAACGTGAACGATCACATCATTCAATGACTCTGTTAAATGCGCTTGTGCTAAAGCAATCGAAGACATCTAAAAGGCAGCCAGCCACTCTTTGATAAAATATTTGATAGATTTCCGTCGCATTCATAAGTACTCACAGTGACCTCGAACTTGTTTGAATTGTTTTTTTGCCGGATGAGGCTATCTAGTAGTTACTTTTATATAGCTAAGGCACCTCTTAGAAAGTGAATCAACCGGTCAATATCGTCATTCAACTTTCAGGTAAGCTTGATTGTTTCACAAACAATGATACGCCTTTACCTCAACAAGCTCTCCAAGAAGATGTTACAAAGTCTGTGGCCACATCCTCCAATGTTTATGGGATCTTTCAATGTTAACTGACAGACAGGGCATTCCAAATCATTGGGAACTACACTTGTAAACTCAAAATCATAGCCGCCAAGCTCTGGCATATTCTTGCCAGCCGCCATAGTGAGTTCAATTTCAGACCGAAACCGGAAGAGATAATCCGTCTTGCGTGACGACTAATGAAACAAGCCTAATTCCCAGACTCTCTAAGACTCAAACTAAGCCCTCTGATTCAAGAATTGGGAAAAGTCTTAACATATAGAAAATGTTGTAAGGCAAAACACGCATTAACAAATAAGTGTATAACAACAGAGGCGGGGGATGGAAGAGAAGATGGAGAACTGTCATAAATAGTTATTGAGTAGAGTTAATTTTTCCTAAGTCAGGTTCCAGTACAATTCCTAAATACATCGGTAACAGTCTTTAAATTATACTTGCTTCCCGGACAGAAAAGTAGCCACAAACATTATGAATGAATAAGTCAAATACGCATGTACTTATCCTGAGTTTGTAGCGATTATTTCCAGCTGCATCATAATATAATAAACTGACTTTTAAGTCATGAGACACATTTTTGTGTTTCTGACAAAAGTATCCACTGGAACAGGCGCACAAGAAGGCCAACGACCTTCATTTATATTTCAGTCTGTGACAATTAAACAAACTACAACATTGAAGCAATCCTCGAATACGACTTTAGGTGGGATTTGCAAGTTAAGACACGTATGAGCTGTTATAAATTTTCCTTTCCTTTACTTTTGCACCTGACAGCTTTAAATAGGAACTATTTTCTTAAACAGCATTTAGTTTTAATTGTATTCTTCACTGCTTGTCTCACTTCTGTGATTTTCCAGCAATAAAGAATCGGATTCATGGATGAGTGTTAGTTTACCAATGTCCCTGTAAGTTTCCTAACAAAGAAAATTAACGAAGGCTGTTCGCTATGAGTAAATAAAGCCTCCACTACACCGTGGGGCAGATAGCACTTGCCACTGCTTTCCTGCATCGAGACATGATCAGTGGAATTCGTGAGAAATTGTTTGGTTATGTTGATCATACTGTGGATGAAGTACTGTCTGTAACTGCATTTGATGATGACAATGACTGAAGAAGATCCAAGTATAGTTGAAGAAGGATATCAATACGCAAAGAGGAATCGCTACATTGCTGCACCATACTGCGATGAGAGAATTCCAAAACTACATTGCACCATTAAGAAAGCATACGAACTAAATTATAGATGTAGCGACAACTGTATGCTTTAGGGCCTATTTACATAGAGGTGGAGGCTCAGGTAGGTGAGGTAACCCGCCTGTTCATATAATCTCTTGTTTTATCTTGATCACGTATACATGATAGGTGGGGTAACCCGTCCAGATGGGTTGCCCGGTCTGCTGAGTAGGGTAACCCTGTCAGCCGGGATAACAATTTGCCATGTAAACGTCTCAAAGTGGGGTAATCGCCTAGCCAAGGTGGCTTCCTGTTGCCTAAAGATGATGTTTCTTTGGTATGTTTATTATCGATTCATGTAAACAATTTTATAAATGTGAAGCACCGTCAAAAAAAGAGTCTGTATATCCGAGATGGTTGACTACACTTTTAACATAGGAACTTAAATCGATAAGGCGAAAGTGAAATTATCTTCTTATGTAATAAAATTTACTTCGGCGAAAAAGGCATCCGCTTGAAATATTCATTTTTGGAACTTAAGGGATGAGGTTGTAGTTCATAACGTCATTTATGTTTTCCAATCATAACCACTTACTTTCGCCTTCATTTCTCAATCTATCTGTCACCAATAACAGCATATATTCATATTACACATACATTCGTAAAAGGCACTGACTACCGATATCATTAATTTCGAACCAATGTTAAATATTTTTTTTGTGTTTTTTCAAGGACCAAAAATTTGGAATTCCTTACCTGCTCTGGGTAAAAACGAAAGGGGAAAGAAACTATGAGCCTTGAAAAATTGTATGAAAAAATCAGAAAAATAAGCGGGTCGTTGCAACATCAAGACAAAGATTGATGAGTTTAACGTTTTTCAAAAATTTGATATACATTTGGTTTCTTTTTTCATTTCGCTATTTAATTAACTGTATACATCCTTCATACTGACAACTTGTATTAATTGTTATAGACTCACAACCGAGAATACGTACCTTTTATGGAAATAATTATAAGCTTTTATAGATCTAACAGGCAGGTTGTTACATTTATGGAATATCAAATATTCACCATTATCAATTCCCCGGCTTTGTTATGAATGTACGGTTCAAAGATGCCTAGCACCAATTATTTGTGTGAGCATATATTGCAGTTATGCTACCAGTGCAATTCACCGTAACGTTATTTTCAATCTTCCTTTATCCCTTCATCTACTCGTTTTTTTGAGCTGGTCCATTAGTCTTCCGTGGAGAATAAAGGAGTGTAAAAAAAATATGAGCTTTGTGCAGCAAATTGTTTCACCTGCATGTAAGAAATGTAGATAATTTAACAGTTTTTTTTTTGTACTTTACTTTTGTTGATGTTATCATTTTTTCCTTTATTGTTGAAAACTCGTCCCTGACAGCTTAATCGTTAATTTTTTTGTACGGACTTATTTTGGAATGAAATTGCATTTGGGCAGAGTAGAACTTTTACTTTGCTTTTTATTCGCTTTTTATCATCATCACTCGTCTATTTTATGCTAAAATAACAAATGTCTTCTGAGGCATTTTTCGACAGCAACATAAACAGCTACCGGCATTTTTCATAAATTTCTCATATTACATGTACAACGAAAATGGCATTTGTTGAAACGTAACGAAGTGGGTTACGGTTATTTGACTCGGAACCCGGGCAGTAACTGGTAACTTTCAGACCTTTTTCATGAAAGTGAACGAGAGACTATGAAGTTGAGTCCACACAGCGCATCACGATTACTTTTCTTTTGTTACCCACACAGGGCATAACGATTCTCCTCTTTCAATCACGTGAGCCCACACAGTGAATCACGATTACGTATCTTTTGTTAGCCACACAGGGCATAACGATTGTCCTCTTTCACTCACGTGGACCCATCCAGCGCCTCACGATCCTTTTCTTTTGTTATCCGCACAAGGCATAACGATTCTTCCCTTTTTTAATCACGTGAGCCTACACAGCGTATCACGTTTACTTTTGTTTCGTTGAATCGCATAGGCCCACACAAAGCATAACGGTTTCCTCTTTAAATCATGCGAGCCCATATAGCGTATTGATCACGACTTTAACTTGAATCACGTGAGCCACACAGTGCATCACGTTTGATTTTTTCAGTCCCCAGCACACGAGTTTCCCGATCTAACTTACATAGGGTTAATTACAAATAAACTTAAATGCTCCCCAAACGGCTACTCGCTTCCTAACGAGAAAAGTTACATCATGGGGGAACCAGCAAATCAGAGTTAAAATACATTCTTGCAAACTAAAGAAATACATTTGACCTTAAATCTTCCGGGAAAACCATTTCCAACAAATCTGCATAATTATAGTCTCGTGGTGGAAACCAAAACAAACATCCTATGCGCCGTGTCCTCATACGCCATGTTCACTAGGACGCCTAGAGCTTTTTTTTTTTTTTTTCGGCGAACTCAGCAAAGGCAAGCGTGACAATGCAGGCGCTACAAGGACCAACTGAAACGACAGCTGGCTCAGGCTGGTGTTGATCACAAAGCCTGGCAGACGCTCGCATCAGACAGGGTCAAATGGAGGTCAGCTAACAAACGCGTAGCTCAGCAGTTCGAGGACTCTAGAGTGAACACTGCTAAGGAGAAACGCAAGCATCGAAAGGAGTCGGCCAATCAAGCAACGTCTTGCAGCAATCAGACCTTACCCTACCCCACCTGCTCAAGAATATGTAAATCCCGAATTGGACTCATCAGTCATCAGAGGGCATGCCGCTGATCTTCGGAGTACGAAGAATCTGCCATCATCATCTCCAGTTCTTCCACATTTATTGTTGTTGTTGTTTTTTCACGAAACTACGCTGTTACTGATTTTCTAGTGTGCGATAAAACATAAATCCTATCGTCTGAATGAGAGTAGATCTGGAAGAACTGCTTCCTTTGAAAGAGGCTGACCAATCCACTTATAGCAAAAGTCATCTGCAGAGTCCAGGAAACAGTTAGTTGCCTGAAATATATACTTCTGGCTCGTGGAAACTGATTGGTCAGCCACTTTGATGTTATTTGTTGTTTGTGAGTGCTGTTATTCAGTCCTCGGTGTTTGCGTTCTTCGCTGTTGTCAATGTCGTGAATGAGTTGTCTGTGCCAGTAGCTGCTTACAGTTCTTACAATGACGAGTCTAATTTACCAATAAGCGCCCATGCTCTACTCCCCCGAGTAAGCGCCGAGCCCCCGATACCATGATATCAAATGAGCGCCCACCTCGAATAAGCACAGCCTCTTCCCTCGCTTTCTTAATGAGTAGGGATACAAGGAAAATCGGTTTCTATTGCAGCTTTATTTGTAGCTTTTTAAGGACCAACCACAACCGAATCAGTACAGGAGAATAGTTTCGCTTCTAGTTATTGCTATCGCCATACTGACTTGACGTCTGCGTGGATGTTGCAGCTTTGTTTTTTTTCTATTTAAGATATAGCCAAAATAAGGAGACAGTTCGTTGAAAGGAAAACTTAATAAGCACGCCCTAGATTAACCACCATCCTTCGTATAAAAGTGCCTCTCCTTTTGCCGTAATTTTAGATACGCTGCCCGGACGCCTATTCGAGGAAATACGGTATTACCTAAATTATGTCTTGTGATGTCAGTACAAGCATGAAATGCTGCTGAAAGTGATGCAAAGTGATGCTCGTCTACTGAGGCATGTATTGAGGCCGATGATTAAAATTTTCCTCCAGTTTCCTCAGTTCGTGGCGGTCCTGGCTTTATAAAGTTGCAATTAATTTACATAGTATCTACCTATTCTCCGTAAATGGCACTTGAAAGACAAAAAACAAATAACAAAAGAGCTGTGAATAATGATTAAAAGCTTATTGACTACGGAGAAAGTTTACACAATGCTTTCTTGAAGAAACGTCTGTAAATTAAGAATCTTTGGTTTCTACTTTAATATCATACGTTCGTAAAATCTTTGAAATTCTTCGAGCCTTAAGACAGGCCTGTTAACTTCTATTGAATTCACAAACAGACCAAGGAGTAGTTGCTGTGATTGGTCGACGAAATCTCCTTCGAGCAGTGGACGAACATCTCAAGATGGTAGACAGAGAATGTTCTGAATTTTCTTCTACTTTCACATTGGAAGCAAAGAATCAGGAGCCACATTATTGTTTTCGTCATCTGTAACACTCAATAACGTTGGAAAACCCGATGAAGATGCCTCTATCAGGTGGACTGAGGGTTAATACAAAAAAAAAAAAGATCCTATGTCATTTTTAAAGAAACCAACCGAAAACAGATGTGTATGAGTAGATGGAAACGTTACAGAATTAATCTCCTGCTTATTTGACACCATCGATGTCACATGGCGTATACATCGAATAAGAATTTCTGGGTTACAACAATTATCTTAAGCGAAAGATATGACATTACCCACCAGCTAAAGTATCTTTTTCCGTAATATGTTCCGTTGTGTTTAAGGCAATACCGCGGTAAGTCTTTCCCTGAATAAAGAGAAAAAACTTTCAGCTATCTAAAGTAAGAGAAAATCAATATAAAAGGCGAGTCTTATTTACTAAATCTAAATGCAGGTTTAGTTTTACTATGAATGATGGGAGAACCTTTTCCCACAAACCTTCATCATGAAAGGACAACGTTTCGATCTTGGGGCGGATTATCTTGGTACCAAACCTCAATGAGTACCCTCGTTTTATTACCTTCAGAATACATTTTCATGATGCCTATCAATGTTAGTGCTTCAGGACAGCTCCCTAGACAGTGCGTATAAAATAGCAAGATAGAAACGAAAAATACCTGATACTTACAGCAATCGATGTACAGTCTTTTTAAAAATTTCAAATTCACGAACTTATTCACTTTTACATTTACTCTTACTCTTACGTAGTTCTATCAAAACATTTCAATATTCATATATCAATATTCACCTTTACCTGGATCTAACTCTACGCCGAGCCGAAGTCCAATTGTAGAGACAGATCCGACGTACCTGACCGTTCCTCGAACTGCCCATCCCCCACATACAAACGATACCTTCATACCTACTTTAATATCATTAATTGATTTAGGCTTGAAGCCCTGTTTCATTGTATCACCTGTAATAAATAACAAAAACAATAGATAATCAAAACGATAATCAAACTAAATACATCACGATTATCAATTAGAATTCATTGATCTTTTTAGGTCACCAAAGGCCAACATAACCCAGTAGTTTTACTCGGAGTTTAAATGACTTAGCTCTGCCTAACATGAGCTTATGAGCGAATCTACACACCAGTGCCCCCGTCCCCCCCCCCCCCCCCAAAAATAAAAATGCTATCAAATACTCACTTGTGGGTAATAATTTGTCAGATACGAGTAAGAGTGTGATTATTGGTAAGACTACTATTTTTATGCATATAAAACACACGCAAGCCAAAATTTCACTATTAACTCTGACGAAGGGCTGCCAGTCAAAACGTCAGCTTTAGAAATTCTTTACGGTGGCCAATTTACTTCATCAACTCAATTGATAAAACCAAGATATCTTACTATACCCCCCATTGACGCAGCGCCACAGTTTCTTCAGAAACTTACCCTCTTCAACCTTGTCAATATTTGCCTCTGTCTTGTTTGTCATGCCCTTGGTTTGGTTGGTCGGTTTGTCCACCAGCACAGCTTGATGTCGATCCTGGCCTGTGAGGCGTTCTACCTGCTGCACCAGACCCTGCATAGAGGACGTTAAACTGGCTATCTGCTGTGACTGTTCTGTATTCTTGGCCACCAATCCTTCTATCTGCTGTGACTGATTATTCAACTGTTGTGACTGATCATTCAGCTGCTGTAACTGATCATTCAGCTGCTGTGACTGATTATTCAGCTGCTGTGACTGGTTATTCAGCTGCTGTGACTGATCATTCAGCTGCTGTGACTGATTATTCAGCTGCTGTGACTGATTATTCAGCTGCTGTGACTGATCATTCAACTGCTGTGACTGATCATTGAATAGAGATGTCAATCGCTCTATCTGCTTTGACTGGTCTTTAACCTGATTCTGAGTGGTCTCAAGGCTGCATACAGCTAAGAGCAAGTGGCTTTCCATGTGCGATTCTAAGTGAGATTTTGTTCTTGTTCTTGGAAACTGAAAAAAAAAGACCATGTGGTTAGTAAAATCTTTAAAAACAATCCTAACATTCAATTTTTGTCAATTTTTTATCTAATTGTTCCATCCAGCAGTGCACAGTTTAATTCAACTACAACACTGCTTAGTTGGAATTTTTTAAACCCTACAAAATGAAAAATGTATATATTTGAGAATCCGTTTTACTTCATTTTACAACATGATTTGCAAATACAATACAAAGTTACGATCTCCCCTCCAAACCTGCAAGTTAATATAAACTGAAAGCTGTTTCATACCGCACTTTGGCATCCTACGTTCTTGTATTTACAATCAATTTCTGTTAAAGGACAGTCATCACGAATATGAGCCACGAGCTAAAACATAAAGATGAAAAAAATTTAGTCTAGAGCGAGCAGCCAGACAAATCCCCCCTCGTGCCTAGCGAAAAGAAATCATTCAGCGTTTCAAAATTACTCCTTAGATTTCGTATTTTATGAATCAGGAAACTGAATTTAGGGACTAAATTTAAAAATGTTCCCTAATTAGTCTAAGGCATTCCTCAGAAAAATTCAACGGAGCAAACTTCCTTGAAGGGATCGTTACGGTGTTATGGATTGCTTCCCTGTCATGGAGCAATCAAGATTAAATTCTGGCGGGCACACTCAAGGCAGAAAATAACGACCTTAATGCCCTCTGACTGATGAAGCAAGGAAAGTATTCAAAACAGTATTGCACGTTCTTTGAACACTAAAGCACGGAAAGCCTCCAATTGCTCACATAAAACAGGACTAAGCACTATGTCCCATGCGGGCTGTGTGCATGAACTTTCAATTAAACTCTCGTGAGAATTACTGAGAATCCCTGAGAATATTACATCTTACCTTTTCTCGTGGAATATTACTCAGACCACAAATGTTGGTACATTGAACCGGAAACTTTTGACAGACGTTATGATGTTGCTGAAGAAAATCGAAAATAAGTTTTTATAGCTAAAGTGCTTTCAAAATTCCCCCGTCTTATTAAAATTATGACCAATAAAGATAGGTTGTTGTACGAATATTTTCATCAGTGAGGGATCAAAGTTTTTGAACCCGACATTTAAGCTCATCTTTAGTAAGATGTTTCTGTGTAACAATTTTATATCGAATAAGAGAAGATACCTAGAGCTCAACAAAACCTTGACTTAATAAAGACTGAAAGTCGTCACCACTTTTCCACTTTGGGTAAAAAGCAAAAGTTTGAGATGCTGCCCTTGTAGAAGCTGTACAAGGAACATAATTTTGTTAACAAACCTGTTTGTTTTTCACGATAAATGATCTTCGACAATATCCACAACTAACTTCCCTCCAGACACATTCCGTTATCTTGTGATTGTTCATATCTCGCCTGGTGAGCTTCTCTTTACATCCTTCATTTGGACACTCCACCACTTTGAACAGGCATTCTGACTGATGTTTCTTAAATCATAATTTATCAAGAATAAACACAAATGTAATCATTAATCAATCTGCTAAGACATACAACAGGCAAAAGAAAATAAGGGAGACTTGATTGAACGTGAAACAATCGGTTGACTGACGGTTTAGGATCTAAGAAAAGAAATGTGAAATTTACGTGTGACTTTTGGATAATAATGATATCGCTAAAATTAGGGATAAATATTAATTAATCGTCTAATATGATAAGCGAATAAAGGGGGTAAGTTTCTAAAGAAACTGTGGTGCTGCGTCAGTGGGAGAGTATAGCAGGTAATTTAGTGTTAACAACTGAGTTGACAACTTAAATTGGCCACCGTAAAGGGTAAAAAAGCTGACGTTTCGAGCGTTAGCCCTTCGTCAGTGATAAGCACCTATCAAAGAATAGTAGATATTGGGAAAATCTGTCATGTCACGCGCAAACTGCTGACTATGACACCGCAGATTGAAAATGGTAAAACAACACCGCTGTCCACTCCAGACCTTTACTATTGTGCAAGAAATTGTCGAAGTCTTATCTTGTTGCCTCAGTGATTAAGAGTAGCGGGAATAAGCGCAACGCTTGCTTATTATTTAGGAGACAAATTACAATGCTTAAGAGATTTTTACATTTTTGGGATTAACTGCAAATGAGGTGATGGAGAACGCCCTTACGTGGGTTTGACGTAAATATAATACCTGCACAGCTCGGAGTTCTCCCTTCCAAGGACACCCAACATGAGGGCATTTCACCTTCAGATCCAGAATTTTGCGATGACAGGCGACATCTGGAAATATCTGACAACCCAGACACAAGCATATTATTGGGCAATACATTCTAATCAGGTTACACTGATGTCAACAAGATCTTACGATCTTTCACTCTTCAACAAAGGCGTGGAGGACTTGAAAGAAGATATAAAAAGAATGAGATCTTGAGCGAGAAAAAAGAAAAAGAAAAAAATGCCGTCAGTTTTTGCTTGTAGCATAAAAAGAACGGGCAGTGTTTAAATGGACTGGTAGTATTAAAATAAAACTATAATGCACTATTACAAGATGGATTTCCCAATTCTCCAGCTTCTACGCAAAATTTTCTGGCTGAATTTACATGGCCGAAGCTTTTTTTCCAATTCAAATCAAGGGCATACGTTTTGTACTCTACTTGAAGATAATTAAGAAAGGAAACGCACTTTCTATCGGCTTACCGGCGCAATAACCCGCGCAGGATGTAGGAAGAACCTCCGCTAGCTCGAGATTTATAAACTTTTCTCGTGTTCTTCCAACATCCCCAGTAAGTTGTTAAGCTGTTAGACTAATAGAAATGCAGTCTGTTGCTTCCAAATTAACTTCAATTCTCTGTGGTTTTACCCTTCGGAAAACGCCGAATTGAGCACCATGCCGAAGAGAGTAAGACGCTTAAATTGTGACTGATTATGCAATCGGAACCATGCGGTTACTCAATATTTTTCACGCAAGATGCGGCTTCGTCGAGTTGCTCTTGCTGCAAAGGCTGTCCTTTTGGTAACATACTTTGTTTGATGCTGAATTCTTGTCTAATCTTTAGGCTACTCGTTCTACAAATATTCAAAACAGCCCTCAAACGCTAACATCCCCAAATGTAACGTTGCCTAAATTGAGTACTGCGGGTCTCCTACAATGATTATTACCATTCCTGAATTATTTCATTGACGGTCATGCCAGGTTGTGAAAATGGTAAGAGAAAATAGAAGGTAAATTGAATGCGTAATACCCATCACTATCACGTTGTAATCACACAGCAGTGGTAGTGTGTGATTCAAACAAAAATTACGAAAACCTCGGTTTTGATAAAAACGATCTGCGATTGCTGATTATCAAGAGCGCTTACAAAAATATCAAATTACGACACAGAGCCATTCGTAACTTGTTGCTTAAGTTGCAAAATCCTTCGCTATGTCCCTATATAAACTTGTCAAAACTTAAAATAAGATACAATGTAAGAGCTCAACCATTAACTCCAAAATTTGTAACTTTATGTCAAGTAAGGCAAGCTTCATTATTCCCAGCTGTCAGAATAACAGGCTGACGAATAACAATAACAATATTGCAATAGAAGCAGATTGTCAAAGAAAAGAGCTATAGAATTCTAAAATAGGATAGGAAATCCACAGATCAGCTGTCTGTATCGAGTCCGAATAGAGTGCGAGACTTGATTTCAATCTTGATTAACTGTGCACTTTCTGTGCGTGCCCAAATTAGTACGAGACTTGAGGCAATCTTACTATAGCTAGATATGTGCGTTTTCTGTGCGTGCCGAATAGAGAGTGAGACTTGTAGTCAACCTAAATTGACATATGCGTTTTCTGAGCGCGCTGAACAGAGTGCAAGAAGTCATTTACACTTGACATGCCAGTTTCGTGCGTGCCGAATAGAGTACGTGTGTTGTAGTCAATCTTGCTTGACATGTGAGTTTTCTGAGCGTGCCGAATAGGGTACGTTTTCTGTGTGTGCTGAATATAGTGCGAAACTTAAGGCAATCTTACTTGACATGTGCGTTTCTGTGCGTGTCGAATAGAGTGCGAGTATCGTAGTCAATCTTTCTTGATATGTGCGTTGTTTCGCGTATCGAATAGAGTACGAGGCCTCGACGTCAGCCGTACTTAATATGCGCGAAACTTAAGGCAATCTTAATTGACATGCATGTGCGTTTTTGTGCGTGTCGAATAAAGCACAAGACTTGTAGTCAATCTCACTCGACATGTGCGTTTTCTGTGCGTGCCGAATAGAGTGCGAAACATGAATTTAATCTTACCAACCATGTGCGTTTTAAGCGTGCCGAATAGAGTACGAGTTTGTAGACAATCTCACCGACATGTGCGTTTTCTGTGCGTGCTGAATAGAGTGCGAGACTTGAGGCAATTTAGCTTTACATATGCGTTTTTGTGCGTCTCAAATAGTGAGCGAGACGTTTTCAATGTTAATTGACATGTGCAATTCTGTGCGTGCCGAATAGAATACGAGTGTTGCGGTCAATCTCACTGGAAATGTGCGTATCTGTGCGTGCCGAACAGAGTACGAGACTTGAAGTCCGCCTTACTTAACATGTACGTTTTGTGTGCGTGCCGAATAGAACACGATACTTTTAGTCAATCTCATTTGACATGTGCGTTTCGTGCGTACCGAATAGAGTACGTGTGTTGTAGTCAATCTTGCTTGACAAGTATGTTTATATGCGTGCCAAATAGTGTGCGAAACCTGAGGCGATCTTACTTAACATGTGTGTTTTGAGAGAAGTCGAACTTTTAGTTAAAGCGATATTTTACAGATATATTTAGGAAGTACTATCAAATAAAGAGATTTTTGGAGACAACTATTCGAAAAATAAGATATTATGACGTCGCTTACCTAGCGATGGTACTTATACTCGCAGGGTATACTCGCAGTAAAACAGAAAACTAATATCAATTATGCATGCACTCTTCTGGCATCCTGATAAGTTCTTTACTCGTTTGACAAAACATATGCGAAGAGGATCGCCCGCAAATATGACTGACGGGATTCTTATTATATATAAAAACAGCTCAAGTCAGTCCCACAAGGGGAGAAATATGAATTGCTGTTGCGTTGAAAAGTCCTTATAATCCAGATAGCGTACGGTATTAGACAAAACGAAATCGTTGGCAGATTTCTTTTAGGTTCGCGGGTAGTTTCTTTATCGGCTATCACATTCTTTACCAATTCAAACGTTTGTCAACTTTGGGGAATATTACGATGTTATCTTTTCCTAATATTTGTATTATCTCTCCCTTGAAAATTTATTTCGATTACATTTCAAAGCCATATGTTACAATAAAGAACATTATCATTAATTGATCGTGTTGTTGTCCTTATTTTGTTGGCAAAATTGTCGCTACCCAAATTTAAATAACACTACTTGAGTATTAGTTAATCAGGGTAAGAATTTCGAGACCCGCGGTACTCAATTTACGCAACGTTACACTGAGGGATCTAAGCGTCTAGTGGGCTTTTATGACTCTTTGTGAAACGAGTAGCCTAAAGATTAGTCAAGAATTCAGCGTCAAACAAAGTATGTCACCGAAAGGTCAGCGTTTAAAGCGAGAGCAATTCGACGAAACCGTATTTTGCGTGACGAATACTGAGTGACCACATGGCGTCAATTGCATTGTCAGTCATAATTTATGCGTTATGCTCTTTTCGGCATTTTACAGGCACCCATTTGACGGAGAATGCGTTTCGAGTTGTAAGTTAAATGCTTAAGGATCTGTTCACCGAGCGCAGAACTTGGAATCGCTAGTTTGCGTGACCCGCAAATATGAAGACATGGGATATCATTACCTTATCACGTGAAAGAGGCTGTCTGTCTACTGGACATTTTGGAGAATGGCCTCTGATTAAAGGAAATTTGCAACATCAGACAAACAAAAAAATCAGACAACAAACAAAATCTTTAAAAATCAGTTACCGCGTGTATTATTTATTATAAAGTCATCACTGGGCCATATCTTGTTGCGGAATCCATAATGATAGACTTATAACATATAATTAACATTTGCATTTAAGAGACAAATTGTAATTAGTTTCAGTCGATTCATGTTTAACAAAGTAAACGAGAAAGATCAAATCATTCGATGACTCTCTTAGATGCGCTTGTGCTGAAGCAATCGAAGACACCTAGAAGGCAGCCAACAAATATTTGATCAAATATTTGATAGCTTTCCGTCGCATTCACAAGTACTCACAGCGACCTCGAACCTGTTTGAATTATTTTATGCCGGATAAAGCTATCTAGCAGTTATTTCTATATAGCTAAGGCACACTATGATACCCCTTGGAAAGTGACTCAACCGGTCAATATCGTAATTCAACTTTCAGATAACCTTGATTGTTTTCAGTTGTAGCTTGTTTCGACATACAGTGATTCGCCCTTACCTCAACAAACTCTCCAAGCATATGTTACAAAATCTATGGCCACATCCTCCGATCTGTATTGGATCTTTCATTGTTAACTGGCACACAGGACATTCAAAATCATCGGGAACTACACTTGTAAACTCAAAATCATAGCCTCCAAGCTCTGGAATATTCTGACCCGCCGCCATTGTGATCTGGGTTTCAGAACGAAGCCGGAAGAGAGAATTAGGTGTGCGCATGTGTGACTTTCAGAGTAACAAACCTAGTTCCCAAACTCTCTGAGACTCAAATTAGGCCCTCTGACTCCAGCACTGGGAAAAATCCCAACATATATTCAATATTTGTGAGACAAAACACGTATTAACAGATCAAAGAACAACAACAGAGGCGGGGCATGGGGGAGCACTGCACAAAACTAATCTGTACTGAGTACCAACTGGCACAGCGTGCTGAGTCGAGAGGGAAACAAGAAAATGAGAATTTTCTAAAAAAGAAATTTTAGGAAATACATAGAATACTAAGCCTGGGGTAGAATAAAACCCCCGAGCAAAGTGTGCAATATCCACAGGAGTGCTCTGTCTGTGTGTATAACTGAGCGAGAAACCAATGTCCCTGTAATTGCCTAACAGAGAAAATTAATGAAGGTTGTCAGCTTTGAGTAAACAAAGCCTCCACTACGCCGAGGGGCTTATAGCAAGCGACTAAAGCCAACTGCAGCCACAGTGCACTTGCCACTGCTTTCCTGTATCGCCACATGTTCAGTGGAGTTTCATGAAAAATTGTTTGGTTATGTTGATCATACTGTGGATGAAGTACTGTCTGTACCTGCGTTTGATGTTAACAATGACTGAAGAAGATCCAGGTATAATTGAAGACGGATATCAATACACAAAGAGGAATCGCTACATAGTTGCACCATACTGAGATGAGAGAATTCCAAAAATACTGATCGCAGCATTAAGAAAGCATACGAACTAAATTACAGATGTAGCGACAACTGTACGCTTTAGGGCCTGTTTACATGGAAGTGGGAGCCCAGGTAGGTGAGGTAACCCAGCTCGTCCATATAATCTCTTGTTTTATCTTAATCGTGTTTACAAGATAGATGGGGTGACCCGTCTAGGCGGGTTGGCAGGGTTAACCTACTCAGTAGATCGGGCAGCTGAGATGACTGCAGCAATGACGCCACAATATCACTATAGTACACTAAGCTTAAGGTTTATGCAGACGGTCTTAACTATGAGGGTTCAAACTGAAATTGGATTTGTGTAAAACATTTCCTGGTCCAAAGAGTGATTTGATCAAAAACCAAAATAACTTGCAAGGGAAAACTTATATTAAAAACATAAACAAAAACTTATATTAAAAATATAAACATAATCCTATTGCTCTTTCGAACATCTTGAGCTGGAACTCAGGGCTACGAAGTATTTTGTCCGTTTAATTGTCTTGTACCGTCCTCCTTCATCCGATGTGTCACTGTTTTTTGATGAGTTTGCTTGCTATCTTGCCCATATAGTAATGGATCAGGCTATTTGCTGATTGTTGGTGACTTCAACTTTCATGTTGATTCTCAAAATAATGCTGGTCGGCGATTTACTGGCCATTCATTTAACCTTCGCCAGCATGTAAATGATTCTACGCATAAGACCTCGTTATCACTAGAGAGGAACAATCTTCCATCAAGAATCTCAAGAGTCTTTGATCCTGCATTTTCTGATCATTTTATGATCCGGTGTAATCTGGATTTTGTAAACATGTTGCTCAAGATCAAATGTTATCTTTTCGACGTTTACGTGCCATTGACATGTATAAGTTCTCCTCTGACCTGGAAGACTCCGCGCTAATTAGATCACCTCTAAATGATGACCTTTCATTAGCTTTTGATCAATTCAACTCCACTCTGCAATCTATGATCGACAATCATGCCCCAATCATTCGTAGGTCTGTTACCCTTCGCCCTTATGCGTCATGGTTTACGGATGAAATCAAAGTTGCAAAGAGAAAGAGAAGAAAACTGGAAAGACAATGGCGCGCGCATAACACCGAAGCTAATCATCTATTATACACCGAACATTCTCGTGAGGTGAATGACTTGATTCGTTGTGCAAAAGAAAACCAATTTTCATCTATAATTGAAAGCAACCAAGGAGACCAGAAAATATTATTTAAAGCAGTTAATAATTTCTTATACAGGAAACCAATAGTACTTTATCCTTCTGTGGGTTTGGATATGGCTATAGCTGAAAAGTTCAAATCATTCTTTATTGACAAGATACGACGTATACGCGATAGTTTACCTGTTCATAGTACTGGATTTCCGAATGTCCCTTACTTGGATAACTCTGCGACTCAATCCCGGTCCTGTGAATTTGCGACTTTTCAACGTGTTTCTACCGACCTTATAGCTAACTTTATTAAATCCTCCAGAGTGAAAACTTGTGCTCTCGATCCCCTCCCAGATTATGCGCTAACTTAATGTTTACCAAGGTTGTTACCAGTCATAACTGATATTGTAAATCGTTCCTTAGATGAGGCTCTTATACCAAACTTACTCAAAACTGCCTTGATTATTCCATTGTAAAAGAAGACTAATTTAGATACTGAAGATTTTAAGAATTTTCGTCCTGTTTCTAACCTTCCGTTCGTCTCTAAATTGATTGAGAAATCGGTTGCGGTACAACTTGTGCAGTATATTGATGACAACAACCTTGATGAGAAATTACAATCTGCTTACAAGAAATTGCATAACACTGAGACTGCCCTTCCGGAGAGTTCATGACGACATCTTACGTACTGTGGATCGTGGCTGGACTGTTGTTTTATTACTGCTCGATCTTTCTGCGGCATTTGACACGGTCGACCATGGTTTATTACTTCACAGACTTAATACTCGGTTTGGTATCAAAGGCAAGGTTCTTGCTTGGTTTAAGTCTTATCTCACAGACCGAAGTCAATTTGTTGGCATAAATGGATCAAATTCCTGTCACTCTGATTCTGATTGTTTGGAGTTCCCCAGGGATCTGTTCTAGGTCCGATTTTGTACTTATTGTATACGTCTCCTCACGGCGACATTATAAGAAGACATAATATGAACTTCCATTTCTATGCAGATGACTTTCAGATTTATTTTTCGCTTGACTCAGTTTCATCAGTTACTACTACGAGAATCGAAGCCTGCCTACAAGATATTGGAACTTGGATGTCATTGAACAAGCTTAAACTAAACGATGATAAGACTGAGCTTTTGGTCATCGGATCGGGTAATTTGTCTACTTCTCAGCTTCCTTCGTTTACAGCGACTGACGGTTCTTTTATACAGCCTTCGCACTCTGCCAAGAACATAGGTGTAATCTTTGACAATAAGTTAAATATGGAACGTCAAGTTTCTGCTATTTGTAAATCTGCATTTTTTCACATCCGGAATATTTCTCGGATTAGAAAGTTTTTGTCAGTTAGTAGTACTACGGCGTTATTACACGCCTTCGTCACATGCAGATCAGACAACTGTAATTCTCTGTTATATGGTCTTCCGAAACGTTTTAGTTCATAGATTGCAATTAGCCCAGAATTGTGCGGCACGGCTGATCTTATGTGGTCGCAAGCATGATCACGCTACTCCTTTACTGAGGGAAATGCACTGGCTCCCCGTGGAGTAGAGGATTATTTTTAAAATCTTATTTTTTGCTTTTAAAGCTTTAAATAATTTATGCCCTAGTTATATCAGTGACTTGTTAGAAACAAGTATAAGCTTATTAGGTCCATACGATCATCGAGTAGGAATTTGTTAGTGATTCCTCGCTCCAAGTTGAAATCTTATGGCGATCGCGCCTTTTCTGTCTCTGCACCTAAGCTGTGGCATGACATTCCTGAAACCATAAAATGTAGTGTAGATCTTAACGCTTTTAAGCGTAATCTTAAAACTTATCTTTTCAAGCATTATTTTTATGAATGATTACCTTTGATTGTTATTTTTATTTTTTTCTTTGATTGTGAAGCGCCTTAGAGCTTTTGGATAGGGCGCTATATAAATTGTCATTTATTTATTTATTTATTTATTTATTTATTTATGAACCACCCACGTCCAAATCCTACTATATGCTCTGGGTAAACACAACTGAAAGGGAAGAGAAACTATGAGCCTTGGAAAATTGTATGAAAAAATCAGAGAAAGAAACGCATCCTTGTGACATCAAGACAATGATTGATGAGCGTGACGTTTTCCAAAAATTGATATACATTTGGTTTCTTTTTTCATTTCGCTATTTCATTAACTGTATTCATCCTTCATATTGACAACTTGTATTGTTGTAGAATGACAACCAAGAATACATACCTTTTATCAAAGTAATTATGAGCTTTCATAGATTTAACTGGCAGGTTGTTACATTCATGGAAAATCAAATATTTACCACTATCAATTCTACGGTTTTGTCATGAATACACGATTCAAAGATGCCCAACACACAATTATTTCTGTGAGCATATATTGCAGTTATGCTAACAATGCAATACACGTTATTTTCAATCTTCCTTTACTTCTTCATCTACTCAGTTTTTGAGCTGGTGAGCTTTGTAGAGCGAATGGCTTCACTTGCATGTAAGAAATTCAGATGGTTATTTACGGATACGAAATTTTGTATAATTTCTTTTGTTTTGCTATATTGTCGTTGATCGATAAGAATTTAAGATAGAGACAAAACTTTTGAGTCTGTAATACATGTTTCGACAGAAACTTCTGTCATCTTCAGTTAATTAATGTACAAAGTATTTGTTGATGTTATCATTTTTCCTCTGTTATTGAAAACTCGTCCCAGATAGCTTAATCTTAAATTTTTTGCGGACTCATTTTAGGGTGGAGGTGCCTTTGGGTAGAGTAAGAACTTTTGTTTTGCTTTTTATTTACACTTGGTCATCAACACGCGTCTATTTTCCCGCTAAATCAACAGTTGTCTTCAAAGGCTACCTGCGCTTTTCATAAATTTCTTATATTGAAGTGTGTTACGGTTATTTGACTCGAAACTCGGGTAGCAATTGGTTAATTTCAGATCTAGGCCTTTTCGATGAAAGTGAACGAGAGACCATGAAGTTGAGTCACATAAAAATGTTGAAAAGCTGTTGACCGCACGATAAGCTTACAAGCTAATTATGATGACCGACGAATAAACACCTGCATCAAAAGAGATTGCAACAGGAGTAAGATGCAATTCTTTAATACCATACGTTTGTAAAATCTTTGAAATTCTACGAGCCTTATGACAAGCTATGTTAACTTATGTTAACTTCTATTGAATTTACAAACAAACGGACCAAGGAGTAGTTGCTGTGATTGGTCGACGAAATCCCCTATGAGCAGTGAACGAACATCTCAAGGTGGTAGACAGAGACTGTTCTGACTTTTCTTGTTCTTTCACATTGGAAGCAAAGAAACAGCAGCCACATTACTGTTATCGTCATCTGTAACACTCAATAACTTCACAAAACTCAATGAAGAGGCCTCTACCAGGTGCACTGAGGGTTAATACAAAAAACAAAAAAGATCTTTTGTCATTTTTAATAAATCAAACCAAAAATAGATGTGCATGAGTAAATGGAGACGTTACAGAATTAATTCCGTCCTTATCAATATATCATACGCCATCGATGTCATGTGACGTATAAATCGAAAAAGAATTTCTGGGTTAAAAAAATTACCTTAAGCGGGAGACATAACATTACCCACCAGCTAAAGTATCTTTTTCCATCATACGTTCCGTTGCTCTCACGGTGACCTAACCAAATCGGTAATTCTGAAAGAAGGAAAAAAAAACTTTCAGTTATCTAAGGTTAGAGAAAATCATTATAAAAGGCGAGCCTCACTTACTATTAAAAAACACGCTAACCAATTGTTTTAATCTAAATGCAGGTTTAGTTTCACAATGAATGAGGGGAGAACCTTTTCCCACAACATCGCTTCGCTCTTGGGGCGGGTTATCTCGGTATTAGATCTCAATGAGTACTCTTGTTTTATTACCTTCAGAATACATTTCCTTGATGCCTATCAGTGTTAGTGCTTTAAGACAGCTCCCTAGACCAGAGCATATAAAATAACTCTTCTGAACGAAAGATACTTTATATTTACACTTACAGTCGATGTACAGTCTTTTTAAAGTCTCAAGTTCACGAACTTACTCACTTTTACTAGGAGCAATAACTTTCTCTTAATTTTATCAGTACATTTCAATATTCATAGATCGATATTCACCTTCACACGGATCTAACTCTACGCCGATGAAATGAAGTCGAAGTACAGGTCCGACGTACTTGATTGTTCCTCGAAGTTTCCTAAGCCTTTGATAAAACAAAACCTTCATACCTACTTCAATATAATGGATTGATTTAGGCTTGAAGCCCTGTTTCATAGTATCACCTGTAATAAATAACAAAAACAATAGATAATTAAAACGACCACAATACTAAATACATCACGATCATCAATTAGACTTCATTTAAGGTCATAGAGGCCAACATAACCCAGTAGTTTTACTCGGAGTTCAAATGACTCAGCTCTTCGTAACGTTAGCTTATAAGCGAATCTACACACCAGTACCCCCTTCCGCCCCTCAAAAAAATAATCTTACCAAATATTTTAATAAAGCCCGGGTATAACGCGCGCTGTCATAGGTTGAAACAGCGTGTTCTACCAGAGTATAGAACATAGAGCAAGAGAAATGAATAAAGGGGTAAGTTTCTAAAGAAACTATGGTGCTGCATCGGTGGGAGAGTATAACAGGTAATTTGGTGTTAACAACTGAGTTGAAAGCGAAAATTGGCCATCCTAAAGAGTAAAAAGGTTGACGTTTCGAGCATTAGCCCTTCGTCAGAGCGATTGAATCCGGCGGAACAAGTGAGTCGGCAAATAGAAGGACTAAACAAAGGTTTGCAACATGTCAAGCGCCGTAATTGGCGTAATTATAACGTAAGCAGAGACGAAAATCCTTAAAGAAAAAGAAATTGACATTCCGAGTTTTGAAGGTTTTCACACTCAGTTAGATTGCAAGCTTATATACGGTAATAAAAATCAAAACACAGCTTACACTCGTGTAGTACATATAATTTCGTGTTCAAAAACAAAACAGAACAACACGGGAATGATAAAAAATGTAGCCAAACTGGCATAACTGTTAAAATTCATCAATCATGACGGTGTCAGAGCGACTGCAGTTATGCTGAGGTCCAACACGGCTGGCTCATAATGGCGATCTTCGGTCATCGCGGTGAAGCAAGCCTCAGAAATTACATCGGCCGCCCTTCGAGTGAACAAATAAGAGCTTGCTCTGGTATTCTTTCCGATGCGTTCAGTGGAAGGCTACATCACTCAAAGCAGCCGAGTTTTACGACGCCGTCATCCCGATCAATCTTTATATTCCTGTGAATTCGGTTGTTGCTCATTCATAAAACATACACCTTGAGCAGTATGTTTTCTATCTATCATGGAAAAAAACTCGCGTGTTTTTATGAGCCACAATTCGGCTGGATTTCACCGAACATTTCACTTTCAGATTCTGTATTAAAGACTAAATTACTTTAGGCAACAGTGTTGGATTCAACTTGCCGAACTTTTTCAGTTTGTAAACTACTCAAGATTGTAAACTTTCATGGTTTGTGAACTTTAATGGTTTGACATTTTTGACAGCTTTAGTCTTGTTCAACCAATCAGATTAATTGAATCATTCTATCAAGGATTCTGATTGGCTTATTGTAGCTTGCGTTATGAGAGTATAGAGCATGCTGACGACACTGTTATTCGCTTTGGAAAGAAAGTTTGTTTTAAAAAATAGAACGCAATGAGTGGGGAATCTGTTCTATCGTAAGGCACGTGGGAAGCGGCTCGACTGCGTCTCGTGTGTCTCCCTACACTTCTTTCGTGCTTTAGCCGCTTCCTACGTGCTTTACTTTGCGAGTAATAATGTTTTAGATACGAGTGAGAGTGTGATTATTGGTGAGACTTCCATTTTATCTGCCTATAAAACGCACGCAACAATTTCTCTATTCACTCTGACGAAGGGTTACCGGTCGAAACGTCAGCTTTAGAAATTCTTTATGGTGGCCAATTTACGTCATCAACTCAGCTGATAAAACTGACCAAGATATCTTATTATACCCCCCCATCGACGCAAAGCCACAGTTTCTATAGAAACTTACCCTCTTTAACATTGGCATTGGTTGCCCCTATCTTGTTTGTCTGGTCCTTCGTTTGTTTGGTCGCGGTTTGGTCCACCATTGCAGCTTGATATCGAGCCTGGCTTGTCAGAGGTTCTACCTGCTGCACCAGACACTGCACAGTGGACGTTAAGATGGCTATCTGCTGTGACTGGTCATTCAGAGAGGACATCAATCGCTCATTTTGTTGAGAATGATTCAAATCTTTGGCCATCAAACTGGCTATCTGCTGTGACTGTTCTGTACTTTTGGCCACCAATCTTTCTATCTGCTCTGACTGATCATTCAACTGTTGTGACTGATTTATCAACTGCTGTAACTGATCCTTGAATATGGATGTCAATTGCTCAATCTGCTTTGACTGATCTTTAACCTGATTCTGAGTGATCTCAAGGCTGCACAGAGCTAAGTTCAAGTGGCTTTCCATGTGTGATTCTAAGTGAGATTTCGTTCTTTCTCTTGGAAACTGAAAAAAAGACGATGTGGTCATTAAACTCTTTTAATACAATCCAAACATTAAATTTTTGTCAATTATTGATCTACTTGTTCCTTCCAGCATTAAACAGTTTGATTCAACTGCCGCACAGGTTATTAGGAATTTTTTAAACCCTACAAAATGAAAAATGTTTTCATATTTGACAATCCGTTTTAATTCATTTTACAACATGATATGGAAATACAATACAGACATACGACCTCCCCGCCAAACCTGCAATTTAATATAAACTGAAAGCTGTTTCATACCGCATTTTGGCATCCTAAGTTCTTGTATTTACAATCAATTTCTGTTAAAGGACAGTCATCACGAATATGAGCCAAGAGCTAAAACAAAAAGATAGAGAAGATTTAGTCTTCTGTGAGCAGCCACAGGAATCCTCTCTCGTGCATAGCGAAAACAAATCATTCGGCGTCTCAAAATTACTCCTTATATTTAGTAATGTAAGAATCAGGAAACTGAATTCAGAGACAAAATTTTAAAATGTTCCTTAGTAGTGTAAGGCATTTCCCATGCAAAGTTTAACGGAGCAAACTTCCTTGAAGGGATCGTTACGGTGTTATGGATTGTTTCCCTATCATAGAGCTACCTAGATTAAATTCTGAAAGGCCCATTTAAGGCAGAAAATGACGACCTTCATGTCCTCTGACTGAAGTCAGGAACATATTCAAAACAAGATTGCATGTTCTTTGACCACTTGAGCACGGAACGTCTCCAAATTGCTCACATAAAACAAGACTTAGCCTGTGGCGTTTCAGATAGAGCAGCAATATGTCCCATGCGGGCTGTGTGCATGAACATTCAATTAAACTCTCGTTAGAATTACTGAGAATCACTGAGAATATTAAATGTTACCTTTTCTCGTGGAATATTACTCAGACCACAATTGTTGGCACATTGAACCGGAAACATTTGACAGACGGTATGATGGTGCTGAAGAAAATCGAAAAGAAGTTTTTATAGCTAATGTACTTTCAAAATTCTCTCCGTCTTATTAAAATTATGACTAATAAAGACAGGTTGTTGTACTAACGAAATTTATGAAGCAAAATAACCACATTTTTATCAGTAAGGGATCAAAGTTTTCGAACGCAACATTTAAGCCCAATTTAAGTAAGATGTTTCCGTGTAACAATTTTATATCAAATAAGAGAAGATACCTAGAGCTTAACAAAATCTTGACTTAATAAAGATCGAAATTCGTCACCACTTTGAGATGCTGCCCTTGTAGAAGTTATATAAGAAACATATTTTTGTCAGCAAACCTGCTTGTTTTTCACGATAAATGATCCTCGACAATATTCACAACTAACTTCTCTCCAGACACATTCCGTTGTCATGTGATTGTTCATATCTCGCCTAGTGTGCTTTACTTTACATCCTTCATTTGGACACTCCACCGCGTTGAACAGGCATTCTGACTGATGTTTCTGAAATCATAATTTATCGATAATAAACTGCAATGTAATCATGATCCAATCTGCTAAGACATACAACAGGCTAAAGAAAAGAGAGACTTGATTGACAGCGAAACAATCGGTTAACTGACGGTTTAGGATCTACGAAAAGAAATGTGAATTTTACGTGTGACTTATTGATAAAAAAGATATCCCTAAGACTAGTGATAAATATTAAATAAACGTTTAGTATAATAGGCACCTATTAAAGATTATCAGACAGGAAGAAAATCTGTCATGTCGCACGCAAACTGCTGACCACGACACCTCAGATTGCAAATACTAAAACAACACCGCTATTCAGTCCAGATATTTATTATTGTGCAAGAAACTGTTGAGTTGAGCTCCACAAGTTACCCTTATCTACTTCGTATAACATCATGTCTTGCTGCCTCGATGTTTAAGAGTAGGAGGAATAAGTGCAATGCTTGCTTATTATGTGGGAGACAACTTAAGAGCCGGTGTCAACATGCATCAGACAAATAGCGGCAAGTCCCCAAAATTCGTTTTCTCTCCTACTTTCGTATTTTGTAGCCAAATATTTCCTTATAATTGTGGTGTAGTTTTTTTGTGAAAATATATTTTAGATTTCGAGAAATGATTTTTTTCGTTCGACCGCTCAAATATGCAAATTTCACCCTGAATATTACCCGAGTTGTGTGACATCATGTAACAAATTTACTTGACCTCCGGTATTTCTGTCAACATAATCCTTTGTTTTATCATCTAAACGTAATCCCCTGTCATTATTGAAGCTGGCAAAGAAACATTTATTTTTTGGTGAATATTTTTGTCCGACATACTTTGTCGTAAAGTAGCCTCAAAACTAAGACAGATTTTACAGTGACCGATATGACAGAATCTACTGGGCTTCTAGTTTTTAAAAGAAAAAAGGATGGTTATAAAGTAACTGTAAAAATTTCTTTGTGTATTTGTGTCGTTATATCGTGAGACGAACTCAAAGTCCGGCAAAATTTACTTGCTCGCTACTATGAAATGTAAATGATGTACCTGCTTGTCGCCACCGTTTATTGGCATAAATCAGTACAATTTGTAAAAAAACTAACTCCCTTACCTTGTTTATGTATGATTTTATAAGACCAGTAAGCTGTTTCGGTTATTAGATTACGCTTGGGTATTACTTTTTGCCAGGGGCCCAGGTTTTACGTAGTGTTTTCCCCTACCCCATGTATATCATAAGCTAGTCACGCAATAATTGATACCAACACAAATGAATATCTACCCTGTATGAAGGTTTTTGTTTATGTTGAATTGACAATATTACAATATGTTACTTTTGTGGTCACTACCGTATTTCTTCACCTATAAGCCGAGACCCTAAAAGTTAGAGACCTTCCGACAGACTCGTGTTGTCCAAAAGAAAACGCAAAACCATCGGCTTTAAGCCGAGAGCGAAATTCTTGATTGTAACCGGCCATTTGAGTAAGCGAACCTCACGGGAAAAAATTGAGAAATGGCTCAATGAATACAAAAGCTGATGAATGAGAATAAACTCAAAAGGAAAAAAAGCGAATCAGTGAAGATGTAAATACTACTACGCAACTGTAGAAACACAACAATACTCTCAGTTACTTTAACCTGACTAACGTTTCAATCGAGTATCTCTTTCGTCACTGTTATTTTTCTCATCATGCCAAAAGCACGCCACTCTTCGTATACTATGACTTTCGGGATAAAGGTTGAGGGAAAACAGCTCGGAAATCGCTTGAGATTATGGATTATTAGCGAGTCCATGGTGCGACGCTGGAGACGAGACCAGGCGACTATTCTTTCTGGCAAGCTTAAGATGTCTGCAAGACGTGCAAAAATGGGCCGTTTCACTCCCAAGTGTCCCGAACTAGACGAGCAGGCGATGGAGTGGTTTTCACGGCAGAGAGACCAAATATTTCATTTGTGATGTGAAATGAGAAGAGTTTTTCCCGAGTTGAGTGAGATCGTTTTTCAATGCGTGGGAAGCAAAGAATCCGATTGGTGGTCAGAAATACGTTTTGTCATGTCAATTTTAAAGCATGTCACGTAAAGAGCGCTGTAGTCGCGGAATTTACAGTCATTTCGCATTAACATTAAATTTGTACTTTGTTTCCTTCCTTCCTTCCTCGGAACCGGTTAGATCAAATGACCACCACAAATCGTATAATATCAAGCCAAGCTTTAATAATTATTCGATCTAAAAAATAAATACATTTATAATTCGCAATTAGAAGAAACGCAAATCAAGTCTTTATCTTGTAACTAAATTCAAAAACTTCAATATAAACTAACTTCTGTGGCGGGTCGACACGTGCAGTACACTTTAGCAAGGTCAAATTTTGGTGTGATTTTCGGTGAAGAGAAAAAGTTTAGTCAGGAAATCTCCTTGTTAGCATGTAAGATGAAACGCTTATACAACAGATCAATTAGCTAAATCAGTATGTAGCTTGTCAATCGAATTAACTTTTGTGAACATTCTTTGACTTCCGTCGGCAAAGGAATCAGTGATGCATCTGGACATTTTAGTTTTCTGAATACAGTAATTCTTGGAAGGTTTTTATAGATATGCAAAGAGGGTAAAAAAACCCATCTATCGGTAATTTGGAGGTTGACTCATCTTTGAATTTATGTGTCACGCTTGTCATGCAACTGATATAATAATGTGGAGAAGTTTTATAAACTGCAAATTAAATCTGGCTAAAATGTGGTAGAGCATAACTTGATCATCAAAACAGTTCATAAAATCGCAAATAAATGAGGTAAGAGTATTATGCTAGATTTTTTTACAAATTGGAATGATTTATGTCAGTAAACGGTGGCGACAAATAGGCACAAGATGTATATTTCATAGTCGCTAGCAAGTAAATTTTGCCGGACTTCGAGTTCATCTCACGATAGAACGACACAAATACACAAAGAAATTTTTACAGTAACTTTATAACCATCCTTTTGTCTTTTAAAAACTATAAGTTCAGTAGATTCTGTCATATCGGTCATTGTTAAAACTGTCTTTGTTTTGATGCTACTTTTCGACATAGAAAAAGTATGTCGGACAAAAATATTCACCAAAAAATAAATATTTCTTTGCCAGCTTCAATAATGATAGGGGATTAAGTTTAGATGATAAAATAAAGGATGATGTTGACAGAAATACCGGAGGTCAAGTTAATTCGCTACATGAGGTCACACAACTCGGGTAATATTCTGGGTCAAAATTTGCATATTTGAGCGGTCGAACGAAAAAAATCATTTCTCGAAAACTAAAATGTATTTTCACAAATGAACTACGCCACTATTATCAGGACATATTGGGCTACAAAATACGAAAGTAGGAGAGAAAACAAATTTTGGGCGACTTGCCACAATATTTCAAATTTGTTCGATGGATGCTGACATCCTCTCTTTAAATGTTTGAGATTTTTTTAATTTTTGGGATTAACTGCAAATGAAGTGAAAGAGAACGCCCTTACAGTGGATATGACG